CCCCCCCCCCCTCCCGTGTGTTGTCCACCAACGCCGCACCCGTCTGACACACACACACATACATACAGAGACACACACTCGCGACTCCACTATTGATTGATCAATCTGCGTACTATGTTGGCCTGTGCGCTCTTTTTGGTTACCGCGTTGTACCTCACACTGTGTCTGCGTTTCTTCGTATTTCATGCGCATTCTCTCTCATCCCTCTTCTTTTTTTTCTATCATATTCTTCATGTTTTCACGTGCTGTTTCCTTTTATAATCGCTTCCAGGATTCTTTTCCGAACGAATTTTTCAATTTCGTAATTTGTGTAATCCATTACTTCATTGGGTCTTCAAATAGAAACCTTGTCTCGGTAATACTAGTAAAAAGACCGAAGATTGTGAGCTTTAGTTTAAAATCTCACTTTATTTACTGTTTTACTTGCTGTCTACACTTTTTGAATGCAATTTTTCTTACCTAAAACGCCGGTCACATGCATCACAAAAAACTTGATTAAGTGTCAGTATGTCACCGTTTCCCTTCTCAAACACCGAAACAGAGTTGAGTCAGCAAGCGGAAACTGTGCGTTTTGAATCAAAGAAAGGACGAAATGAAAAATGTTGGTTCTCAGCAATGAGCCATCCCATATGTTTTCTTTAAATTCACAGCAAGTTCGGAAATTTCTGAAAAACACTCGAAGCTTTTGAGAAAGCCCAAAAATTTTTAATCAGAGCTTTCAATGAATATCTCACTTCCACTTTTTCAACTAACGCACTTGTAAACTCTTACCCTTTTTCAGCTATGACCATCACATCCTAAACTGATATCGCAGCTTTAAACTGTATTCCATTAATTTATCCATCTAAAATGGGCTCCATTAATACAATTTTTCATCGGATACACCGATTTGTCAACGGCGGAAACAATGTGGTGAGCATCTCGAGCTAAAATATTCATGCGAGTCAATACTTACTTCCAGCGCTTCGTTCCAAACACAACTCCCGCGCCTGAGACATTGACGTTAAATCCAAGAGCAATGCCGAGCATTGTTTCTGTAAGTTTTTTGTTTTTGCTTTCTATTTCCAGTTTCCGGTTTTTTCTTCTATGGGAAGCTGGCGATGAGGCCACATTTTCCATTTGTTCCAGCGCTGTGACAAATTTCCCTCATTTTAGCTATTCGAAATCCCGCCAGCTTTGGAAATGCCTGGTTTTGGCTGTGAAGAGGTATTACGAGTTTTCTAAATCCCACAATTTTGTTTTTTGACGTAACCCCTAATTGAGTTGAACATTTTATTTGCTTCAATGCTAGCGACGAATAACCGCTTCACTGCGCGTTTGCTACTAAATTTTGTTAGATCGTAAAAAATGTGAGCAAACGATTTGCAGGACCGAAGGTTTCTTCTCAAAGCATGTAAATTTATGGATCAAGTGGTAAAAAGTTGTCATAGCCCAAGATTAAACTTGAAAAACTCGCCGCCTTTTATTCTGGATATATTGCCGGACACCTATACGCATGTGAGTTGTATTTATGAAATTCACTAGTTTTAAATTTTATTTTCAGTTAATGCTAATCTTCACCCACAACAATGACATACTCCAAGACAACGAGTATCTGAGACTGTTCCTGGAAAGTTTGATCAACAAATGCAAAGAAATTATCAAGCTATTCAAAACATCGGGAATATACAATGACCAATCTGATGAACGAAGGAAATTGACGAAGATGTCGCTTACGTTTTCTCATATGCTCTTCGAAATAAAAGCTCTGTTTCCGGAAGGTCAATACATTGAAGACCGGTTTCGTATGACTAAGAAAGAGGCCGACTGTTTTTGGAGTCAGCATTTTTTGAAAAAGTGAGTAACAAATCAAGGTGGCACAAAAACCAGATGAACATTTGTCTCTGTTCGATTATAGCGGGACCATGCCCGAATGGACGGGATCATGCCGGAATGAACGGGACCATGCCCGAATAAGCGGGATCAGGGCCGAACGAACAGGAAACTTGTTTTTTTAATAGAGTGAGGGGGAAACTATTAAAATTGTTTTAATTTTTCAATTTTTTAAAGTATTGTCGTTTCTTTATTGCTGTCAGACTTGTACAAATTAAAAGCCACTAATTGCTTTTTGCAATCCATCTAATAGAGAGATGAATAACCAAATATACTGCTCCACATAAATATACGTTCACCCATGAAAAATGGCGAAAACCCCAAATTTGCAGTTTCTAAAAAATATCGACCGGGGGTTCGAAAGAGTACAATATGAAAGACTTTTGGGACCCAGAGCGAATTCCAAATGAGAATGAGCAATATTTTTATTTTCATTTTTCATTTTTTTGACTTTTGCGGTTCCACATAAAGATACGTTCACCCCCATTTTTCACATGTTTCACCACCATACTCTTAAATTTTAAATGTTTTATATTCCCTTCGACTGTTCAAACGATGTGACGTAAAAAACCACTAACTGATTTCGAAAAAGGTCAAATTACAGCCAAAAATGCCCAAAACTTTTCAAACTCTCAGATTGCTTAGAATTTAGGAAGATTCTCAGACGTGGTCAATCGATTTGTCAAAAATTCGTTAAATTACGGTACAAAGAACTTTTCCGGACGTCGTTCTCTCCTTACAGTCCGAGAAAAACATCAAATCCTATGAAAAGCGCTCAATGTTGTGACCAGTTGTTCCAAAATCAAGAGTCGTTTGAAGCTTACTGTATCGAATGAGACAGTTTGACGTGTCATCCAGAAAAGCAAGTTCATCAATTATCAAAAGATGAAAGAAGCACTTATGCTGACATCAATCCATCCCCAAAAACGTCTGGAGTTTGCTCGTATTTACCTCCTCTGACATTGCATCTCTAAGATTGAAGTTTATCTTTTATACGGATAACGACCACTTTCCTAAATGTTCAGCACAGTTTCACATTATCTTTTGTGACAAGAACAATATCAACTGTGATGATCCAGACGGCTACAACTCTTATTGGCATGATTTGAGAAAAGATAAACTTCAATAGTTTTCCCCTCACTCTATTAGAAAAAAGCATGTTTTCTGTTCATTTGGCCATGGTCCCGTTCATTCCGGCATGATCCCGTCCATTCGGGCATGGTCCCGTCCATTCCGGCATGGTCCCGCTCATTCTTCATGATCCCGCTATAATCGAACAAAGCCGAAAATTTTTTCTGTGAGAGGACTTCAATTTGATTCAAAATGTTTTTCAGAAACATTGTGCCATGGCCAGCGTTTCTCATTGCGTTGGAAAAACACCACGGAGCAGTATTAGGTAAAATGGAAGCGGCAGAGCTCAAATCGACGATAGATTTGAGTGGAGACGATTTCATTTCTAACTTTGAATTTGACGTTTTCACCAGGTAATATAATGAGTTACATCTGCATTAAGCAAAATAATTATTCCAGATTGTTCTATCCATTCAAAACATTAATCAAGAACTGGCAAACTCTTACCTCCGCTCACCCCGGATACTGCGCGTTTTTGACCTACGATGAAGTCAAGAAGCGACTAGAAAAGCTGACAAGAAAACCAGGAAGCTATATTTTCCGGTTATCGTGTACACGACCCGGACAGTGGGCAATTGGTTATGTAGCACCGGATGGGAAAATATACCAAACGATTCCACAGAATAAAAGTTTAATCCAAGCACTTCATGAGGGTCATAAGGAAGGATTGTAAGTTCTCCACTTTACGGTCTCCCACAGAAAATTTTCAAACTGAAAAATTTTGGTCTTGTAGAGATTCAAGATGATTCATTTTTTAAAAATTAATCAGTAGATATAGAATTATTTATGGTTTTTTTCGAGAGAAAATATTCAAGGAAATAACAGTTTCAACACAGCAAGAACGCGTCGTGAGATTTTTTGATTATAAAACAGTTTTATCCGATGAACCAAAAATTCATCCATAAATATAAAAAAGAAATGACTGCGTTTTTTTGAGCTATAGGACTCCCAAAAATTAAGAGAGACGTTCTATTTTTTCTGTATCAAACTTTGAAAATTGATTTATTTCGGAATATATTTTTTCGGAAAAAGACCATACAAGATTCTATACCCACTAATAAACTTTCAAAAAATAATTTGAACCATCTTGAATCTCCACAAAACCAGATTATAAATGCTGAAAATATGCTTTAGACCTTAAAGCATGCTTCACATCAAAGTTTATTATAGTAGACCAAAAAAATTCGCAATTCGAGAATCTTTTGTGGGAGACCGTGCACTTGCATATGATGTCAGCCACTATAAACGTTAGTTACAGTTACATCTATCCAAACGGTCGTGAGCAAGACATCAACTTGTCAAAATTGATGGATGTACCACAAGCGGACCGAGTCCAAGTCACGAGTGAGCAATACGAACTTTACTGCGAGATGGGAACCACATTCGAGCTTTGCAAAATCTGCGACGATAACGAGAAAAACATCAAAATTGAGCGTGCGGACATTTGTTATGCTCAAAATGTTTGGGCAATTGGCAGGTGAGCGAAGCGCAGAAAATATATGTATTTGAGTGTACTAGCCTTTTTGCCGTGCCTCCGGCGCTTCAAACACTTTTCTCCTCTAATTTGAAACTCTAAAATTTTTTTCTAATTTTGTTTCAAGCCTGCAAACCCCAAAAGTTTCATGATAGAAATTTCCATGATATTAGTTTCATGATCAAATTTGGTCTGGCAGATTCTTCCTGTGGGAATCTTCCTTTCTGGAAAAAACGGAATGACATACAAAGAAGAAAATAACGAAAATAACGAAAGGGATACCACTCAATTCATTCATTATAAGAATGATTGTGAAAAATAAATTGTTTATCTTCACCTTTAATAACTTCAACTTTTCAGGACTCGGATGGTGGCGGAAATACGTGTCCATTCTGCCGTTATGAAATCAAAGGAACAAACCGTGTTATCATCGACAGGTTTAAGCCAACGTCAGCTGAAATTGCGAAAGTAGCCGAAAGGAAGCTGATTGCTATTGCTCCGGATATTCCTCCAAGGACGGTGAGTATATTTGGTTGAAAAAATAAAAACTGTCCAGAGTCCCACTGTTTCTAGTATGTGTCTCAAACTCAAAGTTTGCCGCATGAATCGCACTCCATACCATCGGTCGACGAGTTGCCATTGGTGCCGCCACCGTTGCCTGCTAAAACATTGGCTGTGAAAGAAATGATGAATGTAAGATACCTTAATATAATGTAATCTAAACTATTGAATACACCGAAGATACTTAATTTTAAAAAACCTAATGTTCATGAGAAAAGTTGAATATCTCGGAGTATTACTCGGCGTTCTTGTTAAACTTACTTCAGAAAATTGAGCACATTACGACAGGAAGACCGAAGCACGTCTTGCGCTTCTAGAGAAAGTATATGGGGTTTTCTTTCCGTCTTTAGAAACTTTGAAATGTGAATTTCATCATTTTCTACTATTGACAGAAGATTGTGAAGACGCCCCCTACACCCCGCCAACTTTCTTTTAAAATTCAAGTAAAACGTTGTGGTTTGAAAAAACTGATATTTAATAAATAACGAAACGTCGATTCTAATTTTAAATTAATTCACACCCTGTTTGTTTGTAACTAATCATATACGTCTGTTTCTAAAAGCCTGAAGAAAAGCTCTAATGAATTGATCAGCATGCATGTTCCAAATCGAAATTTTTAGAATTCTGCCCTTTTTATTCTTTTTTCTCATCATTTCTAGCGTTCTTATCTAAGTAATTTTCAGACCTCACAATCGTCAGCGTCGTACGTGAACGTGAGGGAATTGGAAAACGTGGCAACAAGTTCTGATGGCGAATTGAGCCGACAACGTGCACCATCCGTGCTAGCTCCACCACTTCCACCACGTCTCTCAATTCTGGAACCACCTCGTCATGAATATACAAATACTTCAAATCTCGCATAACGGTTTGACATAATATGAGTTTACAGTTTTCCGCTGGTATCCCCCCCCCCCCCCATTTTTATCTAATTTTTGTCATACATCTCGTCCCCATTCTTCCACAACAACATATTGCCGTGATTAGAACTGGTAACACAACATCATTCTTTGTTAAAACAATTGTCTCTATCTCGCCCATTTCTCTATACTATTGCTAAGCAATCTTGTTATTTTTCATGTTATTTTATCACTTTTATTATCTTAGCAAAGTTCTAGTGGAGTCCACAAAACCGAGCCCCCCTTAGACCATTTTGTTTCACAATCGTGTACTTCTCTGTGTCAATATTCAAGTATGAGTAACTAAACGTTTCAATTATGACTGCTTTATAATTTAGTTGACTAACAACTAGAGAAAGTCATTTGCAGAAAAAACAGTTTCAAAAGAGGAAAAAAAACCAATAAAGAAACATGGTCTTTCTAAATAATAAAAAAATTTGCAAAATTAACAGTTAAAATAAACCCAGAGTTTGTCTTTGATTATTTTCGTTTCCAATGAGATTTTACACTTTCTCACCGATTTTATCAAAAAGAAACAGGGTCGGGGATGTGATCCGTTGGAACATTGTGATATCTAGTTTTCATTTCATAAGGAAAAATTACAAAGTTACAACCGGAATGTTTTGAGGCATATTTCTTCGAGCAATTTCCGTTAGATTTTCGTTCGCTGTTATTGTCGGAACAAAAAACTGTCCTCTCCGTGTATATAGACTCAGTAAAAATGAGAGTGTTTTGCACTGAGTCATGACGACGACAGTTTTATAATTCCGACAATAACTCACATGGAATGACTCCCAAGTGTTACCCTCGAAAAAAATCGAGACCTATATGGTTGGATAGAGCGTAAAAAGTTCATTTAGATTCCAACCGGAATAGTTGGTAAAAATTATTTTTTGGGAGTTATGGTCCAAAAAGTACCAAAAAATGCCTAAATTTTCAAAAAAATCATAACTTTGTCAGTTTATGTCCGTTTGTTGAAATTTTAAAAACAGTGAATAGACAATTAATTGAACATTTGAGAACTAAAATTTTAATTTTTTTTCCTGTTGATTGGATTATTGATTTTTTGAAAAAATCAAAAAATTTTTCAATATCTCAAAAATCCTAGGTTAACTTTTTTTTTCATTATAACCATCGAATTTAGCACATTTTTTTTACTATAAAAACATATCAATACCCCGGGGGAAATCATGCTCACACAAGTTATGCCGAAAAATATCGATTTTTGGTACTTGGCTTCTTTGAATTCGTTGTCCTCGGCGGCCGGTATGGTAAGGGGCATACTTGTTTTTTGTGAGTTTTACTTGCGCATAGTTTGCTTAAAATGTTTGAAATAGAATCCTGCGACATACAAAGTCAATTTTTCAAATGCCGTACCATTTCTTAAAATCATCACCTTGAAAAAAGCAAAATTTTGACATGTGACAGGGCACATCTATAGTTAAACTTGATAGAAACTGCCAAAATATTTTTTTAAACATATTCAGAAGAACGTAATCTTATCAACGGCTTGAACAGAATTTTGATTTAGGCCCTAGAATCAAAAATATTTACGGTTTTCCGAGCCTGACCCCTATTTTTGGTGAAGTGTGACACGTGACAGGGCACATCTATAGATAAACTTGATGGAAACAGCTAACATTTCGTTTAAACATGATTAAAATGACAAAATCTTATCAACGGCTTAAACAGAATTTTTAATTAAGTCCTAAAAATAAAAATATTCACTGATGATGGGACACCTTTTGTTTTTGATCATAACTTGAGAACGAAAAAAAATATATCGAAAAACTGTTAACGCCATTTAATTTAAAATAAAACAATAACATAGAAAAAGTGGAATCAACTTGGTCCCTGTGGTGAAAGTAAGTTAAATGAACGATATCCGAAAGATATCCTTCCAGCTTCGGACAGCGGAAATCGACCATTTTCCATTTCACCTATTTTCATGATACGAAACAAACCAATAACATTTGTTTAATAGTATTTTATAATTTTAAATCGAATGGCGTTAACAGTTTTTGAATATTTTTTTTCGTTCTCAAGTTATGATCAAAAACAAAAGGTGTCCCATCATCAGCGAATATTTTTATTTTTAGGGCCTAATTGAAAATTCTGTTCAAGCCGTTGATAAGATTTTGTCATTTTAATTATGTTTAAACTAAAGTTTAGCTGTTTCCATCAAGTTTATCTATAGATGTGCCCTGTCACATTCACACTTCACCAAAAATAGGGGTCAGGCTCGGAAAACCGTAAATATTTTTGATTCTAGGGCCTAAATCAACATTTTGTTCAAGCCGTTGATAAGATTACGTTTTTTTGAATATGTTAAAAAAATAGTTTGGCCGTTTCTATCAAGTTTAACTATAGATGTGCCCTGTCACATGTCAAAATTTTGCTTTTTTCAAGGTGATGATTTTAAGAAATGGTACGGCATTTGAAAAATTGACTTCGTATGTCGCAGGATTATATTTCAAACACTCTAGACTAACGATACGCAAATAAAAATTACAAAAACAAGTATGCCCCTTACCATACCGGCCGCCGAGGACAACGAATTCAAAGAAGCCAAGTACCAAAAATCGATGTTTTTCGGCATAACTTGTGTGAGCATGATTTCCCCCGGGGTATTGATATGTTTCTATAGTAAATCAAATGTGCTGAATTTGATGGTCATAATGAAAAAAAAAGTTAACCTAGGATTTTTGAGATATTGAAAATTTTTTTTTGATTTTTTCAAAAAATCAATAATCCAATCAATAGGAAAAAAATTAAAATTTTAGTTCTCAAATGTTCAATTAATTGTCTATTTACTGTTTTTTAGATTTCAACAAATGGACATAAACTGACAAAGTTTTAATTTTTTGAAAATTTAGGCATTTTTTGGTAGTTTTTGGACCATAACTCCCAAAAAAAATGTTTTACCAACTATTCCGTTCGGAATCTCAGATAACTTTTTATGCTCTATCCAACCATATAGGTCTCGATTTTTTTCGAGGGTAACACTTGGGAGTCATTACATGTCAGTGTTATGTTTCTATAGAACTTAATCACGGTAATAATTTTTTTTACATTATTGATGAACAAAAACGTTTCATATTTTAAAATTTCTGACATTCCGACATTTTGAATATAAACTTTGTGAAAGATTCCCTAGATCGGAACAATAAATGAGTAAAATTTTAAAGTACTATTCAACCAATTCCTTTTGCTTTGCAATTGCAAAATTTAACATTTAACGGGAACATACAACGTTTTTACTTTATTCATTGCTTTTTTTGAACGTTGAATGGGGAGTTTCATAGATCATTATTTTCTTTAGACATTCAACTTATTCTATGAAAATTATTTTTCGTTTTATACAACAAGGCAATCGGTGTGTTTCCATGTGAGCCCGACCACAAATTCACATAAAAATCCAATTTTCAATGTATAGGGCACAAGGTCTTTCCTTCTTTTCCTTTACAGCGACGTTGGTTCAGAATTTGTGCAATTAATATTCTCAAATTCTCATTCATAAACTTCTAATTTTGTTGAAATGCAAAGGTTTGCAGACTTTTAAAGAGTTTTTTCTAATTTGAGCAGAAAACTTGAAGAATCTCCCAAGTCAAACGATTCTTCTTTGTTCCAGTTTATCCTTACTTGGTTCGGTACGTGTGAGTAGTTTGTTTAAAAGGCGAGAAGCGGAAAGCTCATTCATCCTCATTCTCAAGTACCGGCAGGTTTTATTTCTAACACACACTGCCCTTGTCCCACTTTTTGCGTGTTCTTGAAAATCTCATCATTCTTCTCTAAAGTTTTTCAAAAAGAGAAATAGGTATATCCTGCTCCATTTTTAAAATAATTTGTAATTGTGTGAACATTTCTGGACGGAAGAATCAAATGCTAAAATGTTTAAAAAATAGCTTGGCAGAATAACCTTGTTAGTAGTGTTTTAGATAAATAAGTATTTAATTACACAAAAGTCAACGAAGTAGCAAACATTCACTCAATTCCGCTCAAATCTTGTTTTGATTGATATGTATCCAGGTTAGAATAGAGAGGAGAAAAGTTGAATAAGGAAACAGTGTATCAAATAGATTGACAAGATAAACATTATAGAACGTCATCAAAAATTGTCAAGTGTCTTTTTTCGGTTATATTCACAGGATGCAAAACCGATTTTAAAAAAGATAAATGCACTTCAATTCACTTTTTCTGTTATCAGATTCCCCTTTTTCAACTTTTTTCAAATGTAGGAATCGAGTTTCTTGCTTTTCACAAATTTCAAGCTGGAAAGTGTCGATAAAACGTTTTTAGAAATGCCAAGAATGAATTACGATTTTACCAACTTGGTACCATCTAAATTATGATTAGTAAGAAGAAAATGTTTCACAAATGTCAACAATAGTTTTTTTCTCGTAAAAAGTCTGAAATTCTTTGTTCTTCCATTGAAAATATTGTTAATCTTGTGACAAAGATTAATGACGCAGTACTTCTGAATTAATTTATGTTTTTTCAATTCTTGTAATCCACAATCTGTCCTGTTCAATTTACACATTGTTATCAGTTTGCTTCAAACCTTTGAGAACAATTGGTTATCTTTGGTATTCAGAAAACTTAGTTTTCACTATATGATGTTTTGTTCAGAAATATGTTCCTGTCCCCGCCTATTTTTTTTATTTTGTACTATTTTTTTTTCGCAATAAGAAAAATCTCCCACCTATCTTTTTTTCTGCATGATTCAATTGTGTTCAAAAGTAAGCTAGAAAAGTAAACCATAGACATGTTACGCCAATAAAAAAAAAGAAGGCAGGTTTACTTTTCGAAAATGAAGTGAAAAAAGAAACAAAGAAATGCAAAATGGCTTCAGTGTAAGGAAGAAGGAGGCAAAATAACTGAAAAAAAACCTAGAGAGAAACAGGAAAACAAAGATAGAGTAAGGAAGGAACCAAGGAAAAAAAAGGACAAACAAAAAATAAGTAGAAAAAAAGATTTTTTGTCTCGTTTCACTGAAACGAACGAACTTTCTAATGCTATTCAATGTGACACGAAAATGACACCTGCGTCCCAAATAATTCCCACTCTTTTCATAGACTCACTATTTTTTTCCCCGAATAGACCTTCTTCTCCGAGTTTGTTCACCATTTCGTTTTTCTAGGGTCTCCCTATATTATCTAAGATTATCTTAAATCGTTTCGTGAGTTTTTTCTTTTCAAAAAATATTCACTTTCACTTAATTTTAATGTAAATGGAATCCGATAATTTTAAGTTCCTCAAATTTTGCCTCAATTCTGTTTAATCGATGTCATTTCTTGACAGATAACGGTCCCGTTAATTTTTCTTATGATTTAGTTTCAGATCTCAATTCAATTAGCTGAATGCCACAAAATTTTGTGGAGCGAGTGGAGCGGTTGGCTCTGGCCAATGGACGTCTTCCCGGCAGATCACTATTGCTGGACCGAGAACAAGGTAACTATTCATTTTAGAGTTTTTGGATTGCTTTTCCGCATGCTCTTTTTCTATTCCATCTCATGCATACTGCTGTCAGAAAACAAATCAGTGTTGCATTGCTATGCACACGTCCCACACACACACACAAGTTGGTAAGGAAAGACAATAAATAGGTCTCCTGTCTCTTTTTTTTTTCTTTTTTTTCTGTGAAGCAATTTGAGGTTACCCGTCAGTTTTTGATTTTAGTCTTTTTTTGGGTTAGATATTTGTAACATTCCCATTATATTTTGGTGGAGGACAAAAATTGTTTACACTTACTCATGAGGTACCGTACCATTGATCACGTTACAATTTATGTGAGTCATAAAAATTAGGAGGCCATAAAAACCACTTTAGTGCTATTGTTAAAGTTATTTATTTACTTTTCCAAAAATCCTATCAACTTGTATAGATTTTTCGATATTGGTGGTATGCTTATAACAAAAAAACATAGCTGACAAGGGAACCATGTTTAGCCGTCATCTCAGAATTTTTTCTAAATTTGCTCATTTATAGTTTCGAATGCGGGCCTTTTCGTGGTATATTTGGTTTTCTGCACAATTTAGAGAAGTTGAGTTACGGGCGGTTTAAGTGATTTCAGTACTAATTTCTCACTTTTGGAGTGAGTTTTCGAAAGGGTTAATGAGAGTTTCGGACATTTTTTGAGTGTGAACCGTAATTTTAAAAGTGTCTCTAATCTGACAAAGTTTTCTTATTTTTCAAAAAATACATTTTTTGAAAATATTTGCCATGGGTACCCCCCTTTGCGAAATTTTACAATTTTTCGAAAAATTTTCAATGTGCTAAAATGAATTCTAAACGAAATGATAAAATAAGTCTTTTCACAAGATTCTGTAGCATATACCCATTTTGAAATCCTAATCAAGTGATTTCTTCGGAAACTTCAATGAATCGTAGTCCTTCGTGCCTTCTCATCTTGTGAAAACGTAGATTTACATACTTCTTGACTGATTTATCACTGTTCCATAACCAATATGATCCAATCGGGGGGTTTCGACTGACATTTTGAGTAGATAAGGCTTTGCAGCAGTGCTTCAAGAAGTCTTCAGAGATTTTTTATTGGATATTTTTCCAAACAAGTCCAAAATGAATTTTTATCTCAAAATACATCGCTTTTTTAAAAACACAATTTTGATTTTCGAAAAATGCAAAACGTTCCTCCAACATCGAAGAAAAAAAAGTAAAAAGAAAATGGACAACGACGGAATCGAACCCCAAACTTGTGATTTCTATTCAGCGTCACTATCCACTAAGCCACTGTTGCTTGCTTTTTCTACAGTGAAGAATGCATAGAGGAATGTTAGGAAAGTGGAAGGGAAGGAAGAGAGAGAAAAACAACATATTTTCAGATGGAATTTTCTCAACTTTTAGAAATTTGTGCAGAAAACCAAATACACCACGAGAAAGCCCGTATTCGAAACTATAAATGATCAGATTTAGAAAAAATTGTGAGATGACGGCTAAACATGGTTCCCTTGTGAGGACAAGTTACGAGGAATTAATGTTCTTGTTCGAAATTGATTTTCTTTGCAATTCGTACTGACAAGGAGGTTTGTATTTGTCGATTTTCGTGAATACCATACTCAGTTTTGAAGTCTAATAAATTATTTGCATTCAAGAAAACCGTAACAAAAGACGAGCAGGTGGCTCGTTTTCTCATCTATCTTTGTGAAAGTTAAAGTTTGTTCTTTAGCTTTTATAATTATTCGTCTTCCGTCTACTATTGTATATCAAGCTCACACTTTTTCTCTCTTCTCAAATTCCTCTTTGCCTCACTGTGTATCGTTAACGCATTTCGATTGATTTTTGATGTAATTCGCGTGGCAGTAAGAGAAAAATTCATTCGATAAAGCTGAAGCTGAAAGAGTTTTTGATAAGCACTTCCAATTTGACAAAACATACAAATAATCTTAAATTATTTCAACTTTACATTAATGTTTTTTTTGACAGAGAAGAATAAACCCATGATGCTCTCTCTATGTCTTTATATCTCTCCATAGCAATAACATTATCTATTCATTTTTTTCGGCTTCTCTATCTATGTGTATCTCTCAATTGTCTATAGGATTTGTGCCACAAACGCACCAGCACCGTTTTGATTGTTTTATCATTTCATGCTATTTTCCTCGTTCTTTTCATTTTCTTCCCTCTTTTTCCCTTCTTGAATCCAATGCGTGTTACAAGTTTTTGTCATATGTCCTTGTAGTAGTGCTCGATCAAACATTTTTTTCTGTCGTCACCTTTTTACTCTTGCCAGACTTCGAAGACTTTTTTATTTTTGAGATATGTAAGTTGTTCAAGTCCGAGAGAGTATTTTAGTATAAAGTTTTATGTATAAGCAGAGGCAGGTCGTTAACATTCATGATAGCTTTCTTCAATACTTTACAACTGAAATTTTTTCCAACGAAACAGAAAAATGCAACTTTTTCTCACATGTGATTACTCAGCGCTCGTCATATTCTGCGTTTTTTTTTTTGCGCTACTCAAGCCTGAGAAAATGCCCTGTGGGCACGCTGATTGTACGGTATACGTGTCGCTTTTTTATGAACGCGTGATCAGTTTTCTACAACGTGATCAGTTTTCTACATATCCTCAGTGATCTTTTTCGAAATTGAGTCTTTAATTTTTTTTAAATTCTGATTTTTAGCGCCGTAAGCTTTCCTTAGTCATAAAATTTGTTTTCCATGCTGATCATAATTGGCTTAGCAGTTTGAGCGGTAGTTGGCGGAATCGCTCAGAAAAACGAGATGATCGATGCTTTTTTATGACCCTTCCAAACCGAAAAAGTGTTTTTTTTTCGAAACGATTCTCGAAAAATTAAGAACATCGAAAGGGGGAAAAGACTTCACAAAGACGCAATGAGACAGCTGGAAAAAAACAAAAAATTTCTATGTAAAGAAAAAAAGAACGAAGAAAAATTGCTTCTTCTTTTCACTCAAACTCATGAATTGGCACTCATAGTCACCCTCAACAGACTACACCCTTCATTCCTTTCGCATCTCAAAAAAAGCCTAGACAGAAGAAGGCTCAAAAGAAATAAGAAGGAACAAGAAAAGAAGCCGACGACCTCAAATTCAAATTTCAACCCAACGCGTCCGCATCATTCGTATTCTACACACTCGTCCCCATCTCATTCATTTAACTGTAGCGTAGTATGTGCTGCACACTGCCACTCTGCATTCAATCTTCTCTCGAAGGAGAAGCAATCTGACCTTTTTCACACACTCTATCTGACTATTATTCTTTCTTTTTTTCTTAAAAAATGGATCCTTCCTCATCCAGACTCGTCAGTTTTAACCAAAAAATAACGGTTAGAAGAGAAATCGAATCTGACGATAATGAAACTTTTATTTTGAAAATGCGAAATGGAAGGCATCGTAAAACTACCGTTGCGATGTCACCATCAGTAACTGATCTTTTAACAGCGCAACGAATGTTGGACATTGAGGAACCACTGGTCAAGAATAAAAAGTACCCATTTTTCAAAACACCTCGGCTTGGAGGATCTCGCCGTATTCGTAATCGTTTGGTACAGAAACAGGTAACATGACAATCAGGGAACATAACTTATGACATTATCTTACAGGGTCTCTGCAACATCAGTCTGAAAAATGTGCCGAAGCAAAGACGAAAATACTTTTCGTGAGTATCAGAATTCAACACGTTTCTACAAAAACATTTTTCCAGTGATATTTTCACAACAGTAATCGAAATGAAATGGCGATGGTGTCTTCTTTATTTTTCGTTATCTTTCATGATCAGTTGGTCGTTTTTTGCAACCGTCTACTACCTGATTGCCAAACAGCATGGGGACATTGAGCAGGTACTTGATTTTACAGTATTGCTTCAAATTTGAAATTGTTTGGAAGAATTTCGAATTATAAAAAAACAATCGAGAATTGGATAAACTCTCATATTTTTAGATATGTATTTTTCGCAGCATACGAACGTTTGAAAGGTCTTTTTGTAACTATTATTTCACGCCATAACAATTATTATTATTTCCATTTAGAATAGTTTTTTTTAAAGATCGCCAACGCTACTTGGACACCTTGCATAGTAAACGTACACAATGAACTCAACGCCTTCCTTTTTTCTTTCACAACACAAACAACAATTGGTTATGGCTTCAGGTACCATTGAACATTTCCAGGTGTTACTTCAAGAAAAACTGAGCTGAAAGAAAAAATGTTCTGTTTAAATGTAGGGTGTTGTTCAAAAATCATTTTCGACCAACCCTCTGAAAATTTTTTAGAGACCTTCTTGCTCATCTCAGTAACACTCCGTTTTCCATGAGGTTTCTATGATTCTTGAATTTTCAACTTCACCAAATTTTAAAAACTATTCCGTCAAACAGGCACAAAAAAGATTTCATGTAAAACAAGGTTTCCAGTTTTCAAAAAAATCAGCGATCAGAAAGAACTAAGAAAACGATTAGCATTTTTCGTTTATTTCAGATACCCAACTGACGCGTGCCCTCTGACCATTGTCACAATGTGCTTTCAATTCATGTGGGGCGTCATGACACAGGTTCGTTAGTTGTTCTTTCTTAATTCCATGAATTCTTTGCAGACCCTCATGGCTGGAATCATCTTTTCCAAGTTGGCTCGACCCATTAAACGAGCTGCCACTCTAATTTTTTCTAAGAATGCTGTAAGGAATTCCCGACGAAGCATAATAAGAATACTTTATTTACAGGTTATCTGTTTGAGGGACGGAAAATTGTGTCTTCTGTTTCGAGTTGGCGACATGAGAAAGTCCAGTTTGGCAGAGGCACATGTCCGACTACAGGTACGCGTGATTTGGGTCATTGCTATGGACAGAAATGAGATGAATGGTCCAAAATGAGTAAACAGAAAAAAATGAAATCCTTGAGACCTTTATAGTTTCATGTGTGTTCCTTGAGCAGTTGCAAGAAGTACTATGAGAGAGCAGAGTGCGAAAAATATGAAAACTATGCATCCTTTTAGAATAACCATTTTTAGCCGACGGTTATACTCTTCTGAAAGCCCAAACTTGCTTTGCAGAAGAAACTTCCTCAAACTCACTTTTTTCTAGTTTTCTCCTAATCGCCTGTTTTTTCCACTCTCTTTTTTTATCGGCTGGTATTTTTGTTGCGTGATAATCCAACTCGGATATATCAATTTCGGCAAAAGTGACTGTTCGCTTTTTTCTGAAATAGAATGAACTGTTTCACAAGAACATCAAGATTTTTGATTCAAACTAAAATTTGACATAAAAAAGCGTAACTCACTTTTCATTCGAACCATTTGGGCTGGGTATTTCACTGTTGGAAATAAGAGACGTTGACTGAGTAGAAACCGAGCAAACTGATAATCTGGATGGATCCAAAGTGACTGGTCTCAGTTGCTCCACTTGAGGAAGAGAATTCGAATCTTGGGAAATATCCATATCTGTTAAAATTTTGAGATACATCTATATGAAAATATAGCAAATGAGAAGTAACAAAAATCATGCAACGGAAATGATAATTTTCGGACTGGAATTTGGTAAAAGCGATGAATAATGTTCCAATTTTGGTATGAATAAGTCTAATATTCAGATGATCAAAAGATGTGTGACGTATGAAGGAGAACTGCTGCCTTTTCATCAATTCGATATGGACGTTGGGTGAGTAATTTCTCTAATTCTATCGAAATAAAAAATGAAAACAGTCTGTTATTGGTGATTAGTCTGCATTGTTATTTTTTATTTTTTAGATACGATCAAGGACTAGATCGAGTATTTGTCATTTGGCCAATCACCATATGCCACGAGATTGATGAAAGAAGCCCATTGTGGGAAATAGGTGCAGAAGATTTGAAAAGCGCAAAATTTGAAATAATTGGTGAGAAAAATATGATAATGAATTTAAACCAATGAACATGTTTCAGCTATTCTGGAAGGTGTTGTTGAAAGTGTGGGCTCTACGACACAAGCCAGAACTAGTTATCTTCCTTCGGAAATCCTCTGGGGACACAGGTAATCCTTATCGCTGCCCCTAATTTGATAAATACCCAAATTCAAAAAAAAGCGAGCTAGCGAACACTTGAAGGTGTGCTCGAGGTTCACAAGTTGAAGCTGCCAAAAATATGCGAGAGAAAAAAAAGGAGCCTTTGAAAGCCGGATTTGGCTTGTTTTGAAGACGTCACACTAGGATAATTTTCGTGAAGAGGCGAGGAGGTTTTCAAAATAATAGTGATGGCTGTCAAGAGTTGCGAGATTTCATTTGGATAAAAACACACAACAAAATATTCACAAAAACAAACATATATATTCAAAAACACAAACAGTAACCAAAAGTTTTTCTCACACAAACGTAATAGTCTGTAATTGCAAATCGGTAATATATATTATTTCAGGTTCGAAAAACTGGTGCATTACAAAAAAGAAAACGGACAATACAACATTGATTTTGGGAAATTCCATAATGTGTACTCAATCAACACGCCAACTTGCTCAGCCGCGGAAATTGAACGTTTAAGAGTGAGTCTATCTAACTCGTTTTGAGCATTGTCGTATTTAGTAAAATAGCTGGAGGTGTGACGTAAACAAAACTTGAGCGGATTTTGTGAGACGTCACTGGCTTATTTCGCATAACAATCTTTAGTTTCACTCTTGCAATCTGACATTCCAGTTTCAGAAAGATTAACTCACAGAAAAGAGAGACATTTGAAGTTCGTTTCATTTTCAGACCGAAGGAACATTCAACGAGTCGGATTATCAAATGTACCCGCCGTCAGATAACAAGTTGAACCTTCTCGACAACGATGAAATGTCACCAGTTCGTGATTCTATGGATCTTTCAAATCAGGTACCACAGGTAACTCAAAGCTACCGAGAAAAAACTTGCGTTTTGTTTGGCTATGATGAATAGCCTTCGAAAGTTATGCTGATAGTGCAAACCGTTTAATATTATTCACAAAGCATGAATCTCACTGAACTCTTTAATGGTTTTCATTTCGCCGTGCCATTTTTGTTTGAATGTTGCTGAGAATTGCAGTGAACACTAACAGCTCGATCAGCACGCACGTTTTTTTTCACAGCTTTGAGTTAGAAATCTCGAAAAGTTAATTATTGTTTTTTCAGATCCAAATATTACGCAGAGATAGTGATGAAGACCCAGATGCTGGTGAGGAGAGCATGGAACTGGTAAAGTTGCAGCTTCTTGCCAACATGTATTGTTTTTGTCTTCAGGTGGATCTTGGAATTCACCATAAGTGCTCTATCCGTTCTCAGTCACCGATCATCAACTCTACAGCTCACCTTCTTCAGCCAATGCACAAAAATTCGTGCTCTGTCCGACGAGGCATGTTAGCTCCTCCGGCCTCTCACTCTTAGAATTTTTTCTTTTTTTGTCGTGTTTTTTGTCTTCAGACTATTGTCAAGCATGTTACAACAGTTGTTTATAATTTCCTTTTAAATCTACAACATTATTTGTGACTTCTTTTGTTACACACGTCCACTTCTTTATTTTTATGTTTTGGTAATTTATTCTCAATTTTGCATGCGATTTTTAAAAAATTAACCCTTCTATGTACTCTCTTTTTCATAAATGTGAACTTCTTAAGTCTATTTGGTGTGGAAAATTATTGGTGAAATTTATCGAGCTTATAACTAACATTTTCCAGGATCTTCTACTCTCAACGTCAGCTTACATGGATAGCACGTTATTTGATGCACTTCTTTCTCCAATCTGTGATACCTAAATGCATTTTCCTTCTTTTTGGATTTAATGTTGTTATTTTTTGCGGGTTTTCTATTGATAATTACCCAATCAATTCATTAGAGAAATTAAATTTACATAAAATAGTGAAACAGTGAAAAAAAGGAAAAGCTTTTCAGGATGAAATTAAGTATGAAAAACGAACCCGGCGTTCCGAGTGAAGCGTGGTCAATTGGGAGGCGTGAGGCAATTGAAAGTGGAGCAAAAAGAATAAAATAATATTTTTGACCAGAGAAAATGTTGAAGCAAAGCTTCCCAATAGGAACAAAAAGTCAATAATCTAAAATATATTGACATAAGAAGTGATTAGACGGTAGTCGTGAGCGGTTCCATAAACCTGAAAGTAAAATATAGACACTTTATAATCAAATCACAGTAATTCAACGGATGACGTTCACTGTATAACTTCACTCACCAAAAAATGGACATTAAAATGAACATTCTTGCACAAAAACTCATATAGTTTTTTCTTCACAAACACATTTTACCTAGCACCACTGGAATCCAAAAGTCGATTGCTCTCTGGTCCACTTCTACAAAAATAATCTTAATGACTTTTCCAGATATCTTTCCTTCTACCTTCCAGATTCTAAATCACTCTGTTTTCCTCCAGAACTCTTTCCACATAAGTTTAGACAAATACACGAAATCAATCCACATCTATTGGTGATATAACATCCGAGATCAATGAGAAGAAGAAGGACCAACACACCAATGGCTATGGCAATAGTCAGATGTGTGGTATCGAATCCTTCGTCGTATTTTGTCGGAGATTCTGGAAAATGTTCAATCACTATTGAAATCAAATTAATTATCTATTCACCATTTGTTTGATGTTCGAATTCTGCTGGTTCTCCTTGTCCAATTGCATTTTCAGCTGAGACCGCAACTTTATAATAAGAATGTGATTTAATGTTTGTAAGTTGCAACTGATTTTCGCTAGCATCTACTTCCAAAACCATCAAACTGCCATAAGCGACCATTTCTAAGCTATCTCTTTCCACGGATGTGGTTGGATCTGTAGGCAATATTTCAGCCGAATGCTGGTTTGTGAGAGATGTTTCATGATGCTCCGTGATTTCAATACTGGCGTTTTCTGTGTTCTCGGTGCTTTCTTCTGATTCATTATCACCAGTGGTTGATTCCACATTGTCCACAGAGTCCTCATCTTCACCTGAGTTTTGGCTGCTGCTTGTGCTCTCGGTCTTCTCGTGATGCTCCTCTTCTTCTTTACTTTCATTTGCGTTTTTTAATCTCATTTCTTGAATTGTGATTCTATATTTGAGCAATGGACTTCCATGACTGTTTGGCGTATCCCAAGAAACTGTACAATAATCCGAGCACTTCATTGTAACTTGTTGTGGTGACTGTGGCACCCATGGATCTGTGGTTTCAAAGTTGATCTCCTCGGTGTAGTCACTGTGTCCAGCCTCGTTGACTGCGCGAGCCTTGACCACATATTGTGTGTTAGGGGCTAAGTCTGGAATAGTGATATCTTCTTCAAACGGAACAGAAACAGCTCGAGCGTGATTCCAGTTGTAATCGGATTCCATTTCTTCAAATTTGGCAACCAAAAAGTCGATTGTCTGAGGTTTGCTCTCTTCCTTTTCGTACAAATCAGAATAAACGGCACATTTTCCATAGTTTGGATAAATCAATTTCTTGCAATCCATTCCCTCTGGGGTTGGTGGGGCCACTGAATAGAGTTTTTAATACTTCGTACTATGTATTCTGTTTCTACTCACCAACTTTGATTACTTCAATCTGCTTTTCTAGTTTTCCAACTCCATTGTCAGCTTTGCAAATGTAAACTCCAAAGTTATCACTGCCATAAAATGTTTCCAAAGTAAGTTTAGTGGAAGAAGCTTGTGTATCAATTTGGACAGAAGCTCCGTTAGCCTCCACCTCCTTTCCATCTTTATACCAATGCCACTTTGGACTTGGCACAGCGGAAACATCACAATAAATAGAAACAGTATTTCCATTGAAGGATCGAACATGTGGACCAGTATAGTGACGAAGGGTTGGTGGGTCTGAAAAAAATTAACTAGAATGTATACCTTGGAAATTCGAAAAAAAACTCACGAATAATTCCAACTTGAGTAACTTTGTTAGTTGTTCCGGCATCGTTGGTAACAGCACAAGTGTAATCAGCAGCGTCTTCCAAAGCAATGTTTTTGATGTGGAGAATCAGTTTGTTTTCTTCTGCTTGCAAAGTTATTCTCTCAGAGTTTACATCGTCAGCGAACTGTAAAAATTATAGGTTTTCCTTTCAAAAAAAAATCTAACTCACTCTCTTCCACCGCTTAGATTCTTCTTGCTCATCAGCGTGATCATCCTCATCGTTGTTAGACGCGGTTGTTTCCTCATTCTCATCATTATCAGAGGAGTCCGCAGATTTAATTTCAATTTCTTCATCAGTTGTGGCCGTTTCTTCAGAAGTAGAAGGTTCTTTCGTTCCAGTTTCCTGGGAATCAGTCTCTTCTTTTGGAATTTCTTCAGAATGAACTTCTTCAGAATGGTCCTTCTTGACCGTGAATTCGCGTGATCCAGAGGTAAATTTAGCTGTGACATGTCCACCTCCATTATAGCTGCATACAAGTTCAACATCTTCTCCTTCCTTGACAACATGATCGTGTTTCAAATCGACTTTTGGCTTCACTAAATAACTAATCATTGGAACTAATTCAGTGTTCGATTTGCTTACAGAAAACAGATAATTCAAAGCTTCTTTCATTTGTTCCAACAGTGTTGTTAGCGATGCATTTATAGGTTCCGGCATCTTCTGAATTCAACGATTCGATGATAAGAAGACCTTCGTCGACATTGTGCTTGTCAGAACGAGCGATCGGGACCTCGTCATCCTGAAATATACATTCCTTCAAGGCATATCAATGAAATTGTAATTATCTTTTGAAACTGGTTATAGATAAGATAGGCCCCTTGTTTTTCAATTGTTTTCTTTTCCTACGAAGTAATAAACTAAATGTATTCAGAAACACAAAACGCTCTTGTTAGGAAATATAATACTTTGCTCATGCGTTTTCGTACGCTTACTTCTTTCTTTTCCCCTAGTTTCACATTCTTTTTTCGCTCAATCATAATAAGTGTTCTTGTAGGTCCTGACAGCCGGCTCAAGGCATTGACAGCCGAAGGGAACCAAGGGGAAGACGAGGAAGAAAACGAGGATACCTGACTGAGCATGAATGAGCGATCACTTTGTTATTCTCAATATGAAGAAGAATGAGGAGAAGGGGAAGCGATTAAGTTTTACTTTACTATTGTTCCGGCACTAACAATAGGAAGAAACATCTGCACGGTTTATTGTCAAATGTTGTTCACCTGAATTTACCGGATTCACAATACAAGAATGACCGTTTTCACAGATCATTTTTACGGAGATTCTATCATAGAATAGGTTGAAAGCTAGGAAAAACATATATTGCCAGACTACTCTCTCCTATCTATAATTGCACGGCTATGTTATAGCATTTGAGAATCGAACAAAATAGAAAAGCAACAGAAATTAGAGTCTGACAACAATTCTCTTTTTGATTTGATTTCAACAGTATTTTTCAAGCATCTTTTCAGCTTCCAATATTAGAGATCCCTTTATAATTTGTTTGCAACTATGGACAACAATAATTTTCTTATAAAGAAGTGTGACCTTTGAGAAGTCCTCATCTTCACCTCATGCTGAGATAATAATTGGTTTATTACTGAGTCAATGTCCACACCACAGATGACCTCTCGCGTGATACCTCATGCATATGCTAACTTTCACGCCGGTGTGTCTGTTGATCTATTTTATTCATGACCTCCTATCAATATTCGTCTTCATCAATAATGCATTTTAAACAATTGACAACTGAGGGAAAGAAATAAATTCCTAGGTAATGGGAATATCTTGTGACTATAACTTCTTCAAGATGTAACTGAAAACAGTCCCTTATTTCTCTACACATTGCTCCTTTACACATTTTTCGTTTCATGGTTTTAATTCTACCGCAAATTGAATTAGGTGGTTAGTGGCAAGAAAAAGTTCCCTAGAGACTCAGTTCTCCATTTTCTCGGCATAACTTTCCATTTTTCCGGGTGGTGTCTAACTAACTTCTTTTCTTTTCATGAGGTCTTTCCTCTTGTTCCGTAGTTAACTGAGTTTCTCAATTGTTTTCCTGTTTCTATTTACGTTTTAGACATAGTGCGCAAGTTTTCTCCCGTCCATTTTTTTTGACCTCTTGCCCTTTCCACACTTCTGGCTTTTGATACTTCCCGACATTTCTGAACAAAAGGGATAGTCAAGGTGACATGGCATACAATTTTTTCTTCAACTCGCTTGGTAACTGAGGACCGCAACACACAGGAAGAAAGGGCTAAGAAGTCTGAGAAGCCGCACTTTGATGGATCATGCTGGTAGCAGAACAGTGTGCGGGAGAGAGAAAAAAGAAGAATAAGACTCGATGTTTGCTTTAACCTTACTTTTTCACTTCTCAGACAAACTCCAATGACTTACCCGAAAGTTGAAAAATGTCAAGAGACAGATATCCGCCCGAAGCGCGAAATGACAGGTGGTAGCAGCTATACTAAACGGAAAGAGACAGAAGAAGGTGAATTTTGCAACTACATCGAAAAGTGCAAATGGTCACAAGATTAAAAAGGTCAATGGGTTTTTTCAAACTTTCAAAAAATTCTTCTAAAGATGTTCCCCACATTAAAGTGTTTATATTGGGCTAATTCCATTATGGCATCACAAGAGCACCTCACCTCTTCACTAAAAGAATGCCGCGCTTGCCAGGTTCGAATTACTAATTGATAAACAGTGCGACAGGTGGTAGAAGCTTTGCAATCATAAATTAAGTACCTCAAAAAACCACTCATAGGCTGGTTTTGGTTTTCCGACGGCACCACATTTGAGCTCGATCGTATGTCCCTCAATTCCGCGGTTTCCATTTGGCACATCAAATACCGTAATTGTGGGGCGCGCTGAAATATAATTAATGTGTGAGCTATAGTGCGAGGATGGGACATATGGAGAAGACTAAGAGTTATACGAAAAACGCATTGAAACGTTTCCCACACAAATCGCACGCGTACTCACCATAGCCAGTAACATTTACTGAAAGGGTTTCGAAGGATGAATATTGAGCAGCGTTGCAGTTATAAACTCCGTCGTCTTTTTTAGCAGTGAAGTGTGGGATGTAGAGAATCTGATTGTTCTCGGAGAATTCGTAGCCACGTTGGGAAGCTGAAAAGGTTACAAAAATAACTTGCTAAGACATATGTGGTATGTTGTCTTCATCAGTTCTTCCAATTTCAACATATATCAAAAGGGAATTTTTCAAAATTCCAAAAAATTGAAACGGTCCGTTTTGAGAGGCTGTTGTTTGACATTTCTAAATTTGGAAATACTTTCAGCATGCTTCCAATCATGATGTTGAAACTCAGAGCTTACTTCTCCAAAAAACTGGATTGTCCAATGTGATTTTACTTAAATAATTGTTATGACTAAAATTATGAATTTTTCAAAATTTTATTTATATTTTTCTACGTCAGAATAGCCCCTCTTGTTCTCGTGTCTGATCTCATGCTACAGGTTATCCAGATGGCCGCAAATTTAGATTATCTCAGTCGCCAGTACAACAAAAGGCTTAGGATTCGCTAAGCGCCACTTGACCTGCCAGAACGCGTTTTTTCGTGAATACAATATCTTTTCTCGGAAGGCATCAAATTGAATTGCTCAATCTAATTATTTGCATTATGCCGACACCTACAGTCCGCAAGGATCAGCTTAAGGGTCACTAGAGGAAGTGTATTTTCTCGGTTTTCTTGATCAGAACAAACCACCCATAATTATCATTGTTTTGTTTCTATTTTATAAATTTGGATGGGAGATGATTTGCCCTTTTGTTCGGTTTTTGAATGGCCAGTGTTCTTCGGGAGGTTAACGGAGACAGAAAAATAGACAGATAGTGTGATCAGATGGCAAAACGCGATGATGAGTGACATATATGCGCAAGTTGCGCAATTTAGTGGAAAAGGTCATATTGCACGCGGCTAGACACACTTACTTTCGTCCAGGGTAACGCCATTAAACTGCCAAAACACCTCGAGTTGATCAGTTCCCACCACTTCGCAGACGATTTCAGCACGAGTTCCCTCTTCAGGGTGTTGCTCGTTTTGTACATTGACGAATTTTGGGGGATCTGAAAATTCGTTTGCTGTTTGGTTTTTCAAACAGGATTCGGGTTACAGAAAAAAAGGTTTCTAATAACAAGAAAGACCTTCTCAAGGCTTGAACATCAAACCACTTACCGACAAAACTAATATCTGCGGAAATTTCTTGTTTTTCCCCATGGATTTCTGTCTGACAAGTGTATTTTCCTCCGTCAGAAATTTTGGGACGATTGATCATCAACTGATTTGAATAGGTTCGCTCGATGGTCATGGTACTGCAAGCAATTCATCATGCACAATATTACGTCATCAAAAGGAGAATAGGCGAAATGAATAGAAAATAAGCAGAAAGGGAGAAACGCCAATCTGCTGATACAGATGCAAATTCTGATTGTAATTGATGACCATATGCTTTTTCTTGGCCTTCTCACAATTCATGATATATTGCTGCTCTGTTTCTCACCTTCCAAATCGAGGAATAAGCTTCCCATCTCTGAACCATTCAATTTTGACATCACTAGCTGCACCATCGAAATCTTTCACTTTACACACAGCAAGAAAATTGTCCCCAGACCGCCTATTTTGTAGTCGTTCTTCTGATGGGCTGACAGTCAATGTCCATCCTGAAATTCATTTCTTGGTAATCAGATGATTCCACAATTATCACAACTCAATTCAGTTTTTGCTCATGCGACTCGATAGAACGGAAGAGATGGGTTCTGTTTGGTGTTGCGATTTGTGAAGCATCGCAAACATCCAAAAAGATGAACATCATACAATTTCATTGACACATTACTGAGCTAACAAGTAAGTATTTGCTATAGTGAAAACATACAAAAACACTGTTCTACTATCTCGAGAATATTGGAGCTAAAGAGATTGTTTTTATCCAAAGATTCCTGTTTCCGATAATAAAATAATATTAATAATCTTAGTTTTTGAACACTTTTTTTGCAGTGAAAATAACTCCTGGAAATTCCTCGGCAACTTATGAAACCCTAATTGCCATATACCAGATTTGCTTTCCAGCGACACCTTTTTCCGTTCACAAGTTTTTCTTCAAGAATGCATGAAAAATTCAACAGTTCCCAAAATTTTCCCTAGCAATTGTCTACGAACTAATTCGTACAGTTTTCTGATGTTAAGAAATGCCGCCGATGCGCCAGATTTGAATAACATGTATATTTGCGTCCTATTAGCAGTACTCTTTGTCTCAATGAGTTTGGATTAGTTGTGAAACATGTTCTTCGCCTCTTCATTCTTCACCCGAACTTGTTCATCTTCATTTTCTCCTATCTCTGTTTCTCCTTAAACGAGCCAATCATCAAAAGCGCTGGTCGCTGCCCGTCGTCTATTTTCGAGTGTGTGCCGTTTTGTTTGGTAAGTTGTGTGATCCACCCCGCGCTGCACTTTCTGTGAACACTTTTTGGCTGCTTCTGACTGCCTGCCTACCTCTCCTCTTTTCAACCTACTTATTTACCTATAGCTAATAAGCAACTTCTTATTGGAGAAAAAGAGAGAGGCGGTTTACTTAGTCGTCTTCTCTTTACTCCTGTTGTTTCATATACACAGGCACCGATTTACTGTGCTTTTCAAGATGTTGAAATCTTCAAATGCAAGTAGTACACAATCATGACGAATTCTCTCACACATACACTCTCAGCTGGCCAGAAAACAAAACGACTTGGACCGAATAACTTTGTTTCACGGAGCAGATTGAGCCAACACGAAAACGAGAGCAAAAAGCAGCTAGAGAAATGGGCGAAGGCGCACATAACATAGGAGAGATACATTCAAGGTTATTATGTAAATAAGTGTGTCGGCGCCAAAAGTCTGCGAGAAAGAAGGAGATTCCTTATATAACCATCAAATAAGAAACGAGCAATAAGAAATGGAAAATTTCTACTCGAGTTCACTAAAATGGGAAAGGGCAATCATGAAGAAAAATTTCTCGAGTTGTTTTTCAGGTCAGCAATCCCTCCAGGAAGAAAATAGCGTTTCTCTATTTATTCTATAAGTGGAATTCGCAGTGTGGAATTAGGAAGAAGATTGCCGAGATTATTTTCGAAAGTGGGTTTTGCAAACTAAAATAGGAATTTTTTCGTGACAATTCTACGGATGCAAACGAAGCCACTGCAAAAATTAGAGCAATATGTTTTGAATTGAATCAAAAGTCAGAAACATGAAGAAACATGAATTTTTTAATTCTTTTATCTTTGATTGTTTTTTCTATTTTTTGCGAAGAAAATGTTTATTGAAAAAAAGGCTAACCTGATACCGTCGGTAATCCGATAAACAGTAGTGACAACCATAAAGTTGTTGTCATCCTGTGCAAAAAATGGTCAAAAATTCCTTCGGCTTGTCTTTCGCTTCTAACTGAATGCACCCCCCCTTCTCCCCCTCTTTCCTGTCTACTCCTTCCCTGGCCTGCAAGCCACGCCCCCAATTTTCGCGCACGATCTCTAGTCAACACACACTATTTCGTGTTCCACGGTGGTCGAGTGCACGGTCGGGATGGTTATAGATAGGCTCCACCCTTCATTTGATATCCATTACTTTTTCGCTTTTTTCATTAGCATAAAATTAACAAATATTGGTGTTGATGTGGTAATTCGATATCGATTGCAAAATCCATTCCTTTTCAATTTGATTTCTTGATCTGAAGGAAGATACAATAACAAGAGATACAATAAAGAAACTTCCGAAAACCCCTGGAAAACATTTTCAAAGAGCTAGTCACAAGATAAATGTGTTTTACAGGTGAATCAGGAAGGGTTTGATAACTGTAAAGGCAAAAATTATGGACCGCAGGTTGAAATTGTCCGTTTTGTTATAGCCGAGTCGTATTCGAAAATGAATTAACCTTACATCTGATCTGTTCAAAGAATAAACAAACCACCAACGTTCTCAGATTGAGCATCACGAGGATTTTTTATGCAACTGGAACCTATATCAAAATTAGGCCTCGAAATGTTGTTTAGAATTGATGAATGACATTTATCTACACTCATAGCGCTCTATAGACAACTTGGGAGTCTAGTGCAAGCACATGCTAGCATTGCATAATTTTGAATAGAGTCCGAGAGATCCGACAAATATATTGTTTTTAACCAATATAATTCTCAAGGGATATCAAACACACATTTTCCTTTTTCTCCATCTTCTCACTAAAAGCCTTTTCTCTTCAAAAAAAGAAGGGAGTATAGGAAGGAGGGGTAAAAATAGAGAAGAACGAAAAAAAATGAAAGGCGGATTACGGATCGCAGTGAAATCCCAGAATAAGAGCCTGATAATCGTTTGTCTTGTATTTAAATTCTTTCGTTTTAATAATTGTTTTCTTACCTTACATTGAACTTTTATGCCTCGTTAGAAAATCTAAACGTTGCAAACTTCTCATTGTGTTTCCTTAAATTGATTCAGTTTATTGAAAACGAGAGAGTATCGTATTGACGAGTTATGTAAGTTGGCACGTAGTTAGTTGTTGGATTACAGTTTGAAGAAAAATGACTGTTCAGATAATTTCGTTCCGAAATAGCAGCTTAAAATACATTAGAATGCTTATGAAAATCTTTCAAGTACCATATCATATAACATTTACCATATAGCAGTACCATATAACATGCAGTAACGTATTTTTCAATTGAGTTTTAGCCATTTTGATCTTTTTCAGGAGTCTGGAACTCTCTGTTAAATTCTCGATCTTTCTGGAAATCTTGGAGGCTGTAAAACAGACCTAGATTGCAAACATTAAAAAAATTTGGAAAATTCCTACGCGATTTTCAGATTTCTGATGGATACCTATTTTTCTCGTTTTCAGCACAAAAGCTGGCCACAGAGGGGTGTCTCTCAAGAATCGGCATTTTCTGAAAAACTAGTAATTTTCTATTCTTAAGGTTCATCTAGTCATTTATTGTTCCAGTTTTCTGGAAACATAAACGGTTTATTATTCTTTAGTTTACCTCCCCCGTTCGATTCTTTCCCGGAAATCATTCATTATCTTATCGATTAAAAGTCTCTTTGATGACCGTTCTTTGTTGTACCAACATCCAACAATCGCCAATGACACGCGGTGCAAATCGAACAATGTATGTGGTTTGCTAATTTACATAAATATAATAAAAAGTCGAAGGCCACATTCTGTTAATGATTTTGTTCCGAAATTGTTGAACACTTTTGGAAATTATAAAGTTTTGGAAAAAGGAGCACTGTCAAACAGAGTTCAAGGTCCCTGTAAAACAACAGGGAAATATTTATAGTAGAAGTACGCCAGTTTTGGAAGTTTTTCCAGAAATTGAAATGAGATGAAGCTTCAGCTTCTTATCTAAAGTGTAACAAAAAGGAAAACAGACCAATCGGCCAAAATGAGCACGACGCCATAAAAAACTATCATAATATTTTATGCGCGGCGCTGGTTGTTAGCTTACTCGCGCATTTTCGCTTTTCTCAAAAGATCGGCGTTATATTCAAAATATTATTACTTTGATGTGGAGTTATGCGTAATCAATTTCCACGCAGTAAGGAAGTCGCTGTCAATATTTTACAGCTCTGTAAAATGAAGGCAAAAATATTTTATGTTTATTTGCTGCTTTTTTCGCATTAGATAATCAATAAATGTTTGAGCATGCACAACATTTTAGCTTTAAACCCTTGTAGAACAGATAGTTTGTGGTTTATCATCGAGCACAAGGGTACCACAAAATCACAAAGTTGCGGTGGAGCTAGTTTATGTAACGAATCTTGAACACATTTCTTTTTTCCACCTCAACCTTCATCGTCGGACAATTCTCTCATTACTTGTGTGGCCGGGAACGACTGAAATAATAAGATTAAGATTTTCTAGAATTTTCTGATATCCTTCAAAATTAAAATATTTCATTACTCGCTGAAACGATTTTTAGAAACAAAAAAAAAACAAAAAAAAAGATTTTCAAAGGTTCAGTTGCTTTTACTGGTAATTTTTTGTGTTTTCGCATGTGATATTTATTACGTGAACAATGATTTTTGAAGTTTCTCGATGATTATACCGTATATTTTCCTACCATTTTCATTATCGTGAATTTTGATATCACAACAAAAAATGATTATTGTTTCCGATTTGAAAAGAATTGGAGTATGAGGAGTAGTTAGATATAGGAGAACCAGTCAATTAAAATCTCATGGGCAACAATTTTCTTCGCGAATACACCCACAAATAGACTTCTTTCTTAAAAATGTTTTATGATCATTCCAGTAATAACAGATAACATCCATGAATGCTGTTATTCATATAGTTTTCCCTTTTTTTCTAGGCTGCCTTGATGTATTTCACTTTGAATCAAAGTCGTGCTAGTCTAATTTTTAGAATTTTTTCTGCAATTAAAAACGTACAATGGTGGCAAAAAACTTTGCTGGGTTTTATCTTTTATTTTCAAAGCCGAAGTAGAATTGAAAGCTGGAAAAAACAAGAGAAACAACTTGAAATTTTCTATAAAACACTTCCAATTCGTTTTGTTTCAATAAATCTACAATTTAAATGGTCCTTTGAAAGGTTTTAAATGAAAATTTGAATTCTACGCCAACTAACGTTAAATGGATATGGAAATTTTTGTTTTTTGAGAAAAATAAGAACTTCGCTCAAAGTTTCATGGCATTGTCTTTCAAATTTCTTAATTGTAACGTTTATTCTTTTCCTATGCTCATTAATATTTATGTCATTGTATTTCTCACGATTTTACATCGTAATAAATTATTTTTAAAAAATGGTGGTGCTAATGTTATCGACATCTACACGAAATGCGGTTTCAAAACAATGAAAAATTCATTTCCAATTGAATTTAGTGTGGACTCGCGGGGTACTAGTTTTCTTGCTTTGCCCCCAAAAGAAGTTCTGTCGTCTGTCTTCTGCTGCTTCTGCTTCTTCTTTTCTCGTTTCTCGTTTATTTTCTTCGAATCCATTGGCAAAAAGTTCATCCTTTCAAATAATCGTGCTCTATTCACTTTTCATCCGCGCGAGGAACAAGAGATTTGCACCTCGGCCGACAGCTCAATTCGCTTTCACGCCAACGAATTTTATTTGACGATGTGGAGAGATGCCACTAGCTGTCATCGTCGTCGTGGGATGGCATTAAATTTCGAGAAAGAATATATTTGAGAATTGAATTTCCGGCCTCTCCCCTCTCAGATGCCATGCGTTTCGGCCAACATTTATCATTTGTAACCTGAAATTATCTATAAGTCCACTTCTCGTTCAAATTGAGAGCTTTCCACATTGAAATTTTCTTGGAAAGCCTTTCATATCTGTCGTTTACAGCTTGAATTCGAATGTACATATTTAAAAATACGGAAGACGAGAAGCCATGTATGAATATTTCTGTCATGTTATATTTCCGATAAACACAAACATCTATCCCTTTCAACAAAACATCACTGTGCCCTTTCTCAATGTTTTGAGTCTCCTCCATAAACCCTGAAAATGTTACTGGCGCCAAAGTTTTCTTGTATTTCCAATAGTTTGACTTTGTATGTGGAAAACAATTAGCGTCTCGCGGATGGCATTCCCCTCACCTCTTTTTTTTCTCTCACATTTCCTAGCTCAAAAAAACTTCACAGAAAGTGGGTTTTGTTTTTATGTTGTCATTGCAGATGACCGACACCATCATTTCACCCTGCACAGTCACTACATCCATCACACCACTGAGACACATACATCGACTCACGGAAGACAGGTTTGATTTTTTCTATTGGTTCATACAAAAGAGCGGTTATGAAATGATGGTTGTCACACAAGTTTTTCACGTATAAAAATGCGATCTCAAGAAAATACTTAAGTAGAATAATATTAATTATATAATTTGTACTAGTTTCTAAGTAATCCTGGTACTCCACCTATTTTGCTTATTTACTGATTGAGAAAATTAGGAAAAATACCAGGTTTTTTACCTAAATAAATACTAAATGTAATTTCCTCTCTTTCTTGAAAATAAAAATAAAAATAAAACGAAAAAAAGTTCGGAGAATCGGAGCACCGCCAAAACGTGGAATGCCTTGCAGTTGAGAACTTTTTCTTTTTAAATCCTCGTAAAACCTTGAGATTATAAGTGTCTTTTTTTGATATCATGAAAAACTAGGTGTGGTTGTTTTAGTTTGTTTTACATACATCCTGCAGTAGATGAAACCCATTCCAATGAAAACACATTTGTTTCAAAAAATGTGATTCTTACGATCACCTTCATTAGATTCCCTTTTTTGCTATTGTCAATGATTTTTTGAAGAAACGCACCAGCACTTCTACTTCTTCTGCCGCTTTTTTTGCTCCCATGGGCATAAAAGGGTTGAGATAGAAGAAAGGGTATAGAGAAGGCGAAAGTGGAACATCTCTATAGACTCATATTCCTTCTCGTTTCCGTAATTACATGTCCGCGTCGTTTTCAAGCGCATTTCTCTCCTTTTCTCAATACGCTGTCGTTTGAATTGAGGAAAACGACGAGTCAAATAGGGTGTTGAGACGGAAACCGGGAGATGGTGAAGAGCAAAAGTAGTGTGCAAATGGCACTTTATTTTCATGCTCCTGAATACGGAGAAGACGAGAGGTGGTGTTGAGAGTTATTTTCAGGCATATTTCTTTGCTTCACTTGACACTTCTTTTGATTTGGAGATGCGGCAGTATTTTTGTAGTTATAGTTTTTTTCTATTTAAATCTGGTTTCAAAGTGAATCGTAATGTGAGTTTCGTATAAATAAAGTCATTAAGTCAGGCCTTTATCCAGGTGGCAAAGAAGGAATAACTTTCGCCAGAATGCATTTTCAACATTCCAATCAATTATTCGAATAATCTCAAAATACAGTAGGAAAAATTTATAGTAGATATTAGTCACAATGTGACGATACCAATTCTCTTGGGAAATACTTGACGATTTTTTTCTTAGTAATGCTCTGTAATACTGGCCAATAATGTCGTTGATCATACACAGATATCACGAGAATTGCGTGTTTTTCTTTTTTTTTTCTCGTGTTTTTTCGAAAAACAACACCAACAGCTCTCTTTTTTCCCTTCTCCGACCTCATTATTTATTCATAACTCACCCAAGAAGAAAGCTTCTTATGTTAATTGAAATATTTTATGAGATGCTTCTTGAATGCTTTTGTAATATATTTGATGAGCAAGGCGCATTTGAAGGACGTGTTTCGATTACACTTTTCCGTTTTTTTACGGTTCCCTAAAAGCAAAAAGACTAGAAATAGCATATAAGAAGTGTTTATCGAATTGGGGATGGATTTCTTTCTAGCACGTGATTCTCCCCTCCCTTTTGCTTCTTCTCGCTCTCATTTTTCAGTTAATCCGTTCGTTCAATTCTTTTATCAAATCCTCTTGTCATGTTTTTGTTCATTGGGGATTAATTCACAAACAATTTTTACATACCCCGCATTTTGCGTTTCTCTTCTTATCCGCTTTATATTCTTCTCACAAGTATCATACTTTCTCATATATAAATCTTAGGCTCCCAATGAATGAGATTAATTTGGTAGCTGAGAAATTCTACGACGTGCTCGACGAGCAGCTCTTAGACAGTGAGAAATTTCTTGCTAAAATGGGTGCCCCAACTGAAGATACCATTGTTAGTAGAAAACAGTCGGCGAGCGATCTACAAAGTCGTCTCAAAACGAGAAAGCTGCTCGGTGTGGGAGAGTTGGCAGGAGACAATGGCGATGTTTACAAATCAAAAGTGAGTTATTTTTCAATTTTTCGAGTTTAACTATTCAAATCAGATATCTCAACTTCTCGGAATCAATGAATCACTCTACGTCCGTTTGCCACGAGGAATGTTCGTATGGAACACTCTGAACTCTGTCTACTTCCTTCTAATCGGCGCAATAGTGAGTTCATATTTTGAATTAATGAACTTCATGTCATTCTTCAGTGTCTGTTCCTGCCGCGTTTTGGTCTATACCTAGACCATGGAATCGAATCAATTCCAATCGAAGCATACGTGATTGTTCGTTACTATGGTGTCACGCTGCTGTCCTTTGGATTGTTGTTCAAGTAATATCCTTAATTGAAATTGAGTCGAATTTTCATTTCTGGCAGATTCATCTTGCAACAACGGGAAAATCGAGCGGACATCGCACTGCTTTTGTTGGTCACTGCAGTTTTCCATATAGTTGTTCTCATTGGTAACTAATACTAAAAAAAACGTTGAAATCTTTGTTTCAGTATCTACTGCTTCCAACGGTACAGTCACTTGGTGGTCCGCGACAATTCGTCTGAGTCTCATTCTTGGAAATTTATTTTATCACGCTTTTGTTGACGGCCAAGGTAAGTGAAGTAAATAGTCGGCATGTTTTCTAAGGTTTTTTTTCTAAGGTTTTCTTATGTTGTTGTCTAAGCTTTTCATTCATTTTCCTTCATTCCTGTGGGATAAATATTTTATAGTTTGTAGAAAGTCATTTTGAAATTGGATCTACTCAAAACGTTCGAATTACCTATTAACTTTTAGGAGGACTTCATCGCCAATTGATCCGAGTCATTGAAGACTCCTCATACTTCTGCTTATCGCCGATCCTTGAAAAGAAAACCACAATCGGTGTCGTTGAAGACTTGCTCGAAGATTTTGAAAAAGTCAAAAAGAATGAATAAAATAACCATTTTTCGACACACACGTTTCTCGATTCTCTCCATCGTTCAACTTGCAGTTTTTCTCCGTTTTTTTCCCGCGTACCCTATTCTTCTCTTTGTCCCTGTATTCATCTAGACTGTATGTATCACGCACACAACTATCTCATTTTTATGCAAATCCATCGATTCGCTCTGTGGAATAAACTCACGAAATTCATGTAAAACTGAAACCGAATCTGGAATTCTCTGAAAACTTCTCACATTTTTTCAACACTATGTTGAAACAACTATTTTGCGTGCTGGTAATAATCGGGCTGTTAATCAAAAAGCATCAAGCTACTGACTATGATCAATATGATTATGATTGGCTGACAGCTAAACCTCGGCCAGAAGCGTCAACGCCGTCTTCTACAAAATCTCCGGACGATGATGATGTGTAGGTTTAGAACCGAGAAATACCAAAAATAATATTTTTCCTTTGAGTATCGTCGATCAATTAGACAACCGAAAAGCAGTAAATAGGTGAAATTTCTGGAGGATTCTCAAATGAAAAAAGTTTCTCTTGTCCTCACGCCAAACCTATGTTACATACGGTTTGTGAGAACAGGCTGCATGTAAAAAATAGATCCAATTTAGGGAGAATCTGTCGCTCAGTTGTCTCCAGAAGACATTCGAATTGTTGGTGCAATGGGAGACTCATTAGCTGTAATTTCCCTTTAGTATACCCTCCCATATAACATACCCTATTGCAGTCAGGACGTGGTTTGTGGCCATTCACCGATGTTGAATTTCGTGGTGCTGCATTTCCAATTGGCGGTGATGCAAATATGGACGGGTTGGTCACACTGCCAAGTGATCAAAATGCGCTTCCAACAATTAACAATATTTATAAAATTCAGATATCTTGAGTCAGTTTGTGCCCAATTTGGAAGGAATATCTCACGGAATGGGCTCGAAAAGTGCTCTACCAGATTACCAATTTAATGTAGCAGAGATTGGAGCAGAAACAGAAGACTTACCTCAACAAGCTCTAGAACTAGTTCATAGGATACAACGTTATGTCGGAAGAACTCTCAAAAACAAGTGGGCTTTAATAACCATTGTCACAGGCTCAGAAGAGGTATTAGCATGGTCGATGAAACTTATCCAATAAAAATTTCAGTTTTGTGAAAAATGCGAGCCACCAAGCCGCACATCTATCCGTCGAGCGCTAGGTGTTTTACGAAGAGGACTTCCAAAAGCACTCATTGTATTATTAGGACCAGTACATGTGGCATCCACCTATCGGCAAAACATTAATCTGATGCGTCCTCGTTGTAAATGTCTGGAGAAGATGACTGGCAGCAATTATAGAAATTTGTTTGACGTTTGGAAAACATATTTTGTAGATTTGGAAGTAAGTGATGTCACTTTTCAATATAGTTTATGTCGATTTATGCGAAACAATTCAAATTCAGAACGAATTCAATACGGATAACGGAACATTTGGTGTACTTTCTATTCCGTCGTTGGCAATTCATTCTCGTAACCCGCAATCACTTCTCGTTCCCGGAAAACCTCTTTTGAACCGAAAAGGACACTCATATGCTGCTAAATGGCTTTGGAATCGGCTGATTGCTGGTCCAAACTACAATATTTCTCTGATTGCCCTCTCCGAAGACACTTATTATTGCCCTTCGCTTGGTTGTCCGTATATCCGAACGGTCCAGAACTTCAAGTCATGCACCATACTTACAGAAGAAAAGTGGAGAAAGCAAAATATCATAGCTAAAGAACACAAAACCGGAAAAGAAGCGAGACAGGAAGTGATTCGAACTAATTTGGCGGGAGTAATTGCTGTTATTCTTGGGTTGTCAATGCTAAGTGTTTTGTAAGTTAACATAGAACACTAGTTTAGATGTCATATCCGGTGTACTCTTGTACCCTAAACAAAACATTCCTCAGCAGTATCTCTCAATTTTTTCTTTTTTTCAAACTATGAGAGAGGAAGGAAAAGATAACAAATGGCGCCATTCTCTGATTTATTTCCTGTTCAGTCGTTTCGTGTTGTTCTCGAAAACAATTGATAGGTGGATTACTGTTGAAATCGTTAGCGAATGTTTTTGGCTGACTTGTGTCATGTGGCGGATGACAAGAAAATTGGAAAGTGATTAAAGTTCATATTGCGCCCTTTGTAAGAGACAATTGGATATGAGAGACGAAAACAGTTTATATTTTGCCGTTTAAACATTGTATGATGATAGCGCACAAGTTATCAAACATAATATTCGTTTAAAATACTCCCTCCAATAATCTCAAATACCGAATATTACACAATTAATTTTTTCAGTATATTCGGAACCTATTTCTACTGTCATGGATTAAAAGCAACAAAGGGAAGATTCGACTTTGGACAAACGACCACTGAACTTGAAATTGAACAACAAGAAGAGAAATGAATTTGTTTATCTTGAAAGACAATGGAAAAATTTAAAAAAAAATACCAACTAAAATTGAATATTTACATTTATAAAATATGCAGACTCTCCATATCAAAATCGTTGACCATGTTAACCATCGAAGACCTCTCCGCGCAGAAACCGTACATGAAAACCACAATAACGACGCCAAAGAAAACAAAACTAGCGATATCAAACACGAGCGCAGTTTTTCTGCAGCAATTTCTTGTCTTCCTAAAATATTTTTGTATTGTTCAACTGTTGTTCCTTCAATTTATTTCTACCTCTTCTTCTTTGTCTCAGATCATTCATCTCTTCATACAAAGGTTCCATTTCATATTTTGATGAACGACGTTTTGAAAAGCAACATGTTTTCGATCTTCCCATACTTGCAAACAGTGTTATTAAAATCAACTCGACAACAATGCCGATTGTGAAAGTGTATGCAAATGTTTTCCAAATAGAAACCGCCGTAACTCCTCCATTTCCCAGAAGACCTGGCTCATTTGCGAGGAAATGAACACATTGGAGGATTAGTGACGTCATTAGAATGCAACAGCGAGTGATCGCCATTGGACCAAGTAGGAGCGAAAGCCATCTAAAACATTTATGTGTTCAAAACATGAGTGATGGTGCGTGATTTCTTACGCAGGAACCATGAACAATGCAGAAGGATAGAAAAAGTTAACTAATAAGTGTTGTGGATGTTGTGAAAGGTGATAGTTAATTTGGAATTCGTCATCAGACGTTGAATTGTAGTTGACATCGTGCATAATGAGGTTCTCTTTGGTCTTCGGTTTTGTGATCAATTTTCCAGTCTCTACAGAAATTGTGTCAAAGCTTCCCAAATTAGTGTATTTCCACGAAAACGTGCAAGTGGCATTAGAAAAAGGATTCTTTGTGTCGTCCACCTCACATGGCATGATTCTTGTGATTCTAAATAATATTTATAACAGTCTTAACTTCAAATCGTGCAAACCTTTTTGATGCGGTTATGCTCCCGTTTTCATTTATGAAGAATCTGTAGGTTTTATCATCTTCGTACTCTTCAGAATGAATGAAGAATACATCTGGTTTCCAAAAGAAGGTATTATCGCTACCTGAAAAAGCTTACCAGAAATTTAAATAATTTAATGACACCTACTGATCTCAATTCTTGGATTGCATGGATTGAGATGGTAGAAAGCCAAACTATCGTTCTTGAAATTAAATACAACTCGCAGAACCTGTATTGTAGACTTACGACCCAGTTCATCACAAAGTACCCATCTGCTCCCAAATGGTTTTCTCGCTTGCTGTATATCCAGTTTCTCACATAGTACGTTGCACCAATAGTGAGAGCTGAAACCGCTGTCTAAAAATTCGATATCGCGAACTACAATTACATTTTGACGTTTCTTTTGGCTCAACTGTTTGGAGATAATGTAATAACTTCTTTTCCGATATACAATCATTGGCCGATGCAAGGACTGGCAAAAGAACGATGAGAACGGAGAACCAATACAGCATGACACCAAGTACCTAAAAAATATCGATTGAATATCTCGAAAAAAATAAATTGAAAAAAAGAGACGAAATGAGAAGAAGAAAACATAACCGCATTCATCTACTGTTTAAAAAGTAAGTAATGTTTCTTATCAAATTTGAAGAAAAAGAAAATCTTTCCTCCCATTTTCACAGAAACAAAAAAAAGAGAGATAGGCGGTACCAGAACGAGAAGAAAAAAAAATCGAAAAAAAAACATTAAAACGTCACACGATAAAATAGACCATTTATCTATTGGAATAATGAAATCAAAACGAAAACAAATTAGACATCCAGAACAAAGAAAATTTATGAGGAATGTAGACGTATTCCATTGGAAAAAATGATAAGAATCTGGTTATGGGTAGACGGATGGTGTCGGAAAAACAGTCGGTCAATGTTGCAATTCACAAATATTTTTTCAGATGTTATTTTTCTTCTCTCATTTTTTTGTCTCATGAAGAGGTGCCACTTTTTGTTTTACTGTGTTCAAGTCAACAGTGAAAATTCAAGACCAAAAAAAATGCTTCTTGTGTTCCATAGAAAAAATTCAAATTTGGTTTTTTTGTGTTGGTGCCACGGTTCAAGCTTAACTTGGTTTTGACAATAAGAATTCGTCTGTTTTTTTTCGAGATTTTTTTTCTGAATCTGTTACTACTGAAAATTGTTCGTTTTCTGCTCCAGTCGTCTGTGTCGGAGGGTCTCGGTCATCAATTTCAAACACTGATAAGAACAACTTGTCGAGTGACCGGTACGAAAGAACTGAAATTCGACAGCTTTCCAATGTAGTAAAGTAGGATTGGTGACCTTGATAAGACATTCTTTTATTGCCTCTTTCCCTCGCTCCACCTCTTCTCACTTTCTATATTGACAGCTGCGACCGAATTCAAACTCAAACTCCTGCCTGTGCTCAAGTTTTGTAACCAAAAATGGTAATGGACATTCGTTCAAGGCAGAATTTACGTTGAACATTTCAGCCTATACATGCGTGTGTTGCACATCAAATTCATCAAGAAGCTCCAGTCAACAAACTTCAAGTGAACTCGAAAGTTGTTCTGACTGGATTAAACTTAACGTGAGTTTCTTCAAAGATAATACTCAAAAAAGTTCTTAATTACCTCTGGAAACATTAGATGTAAGCATAAACTGTTTATGCCTTTCAGATCGATTCCCAATGAATTAATAAAAAACAGAGAGTGTATAGAAACACTGATACTGGACAATAACATGTTGACAGAAAACTCATTCAACATGCCCAAATTTCGAAACCTTAAGGAACTAGCAGTAAGAAATAATAAGGTAAAGTATATGCTGGAATGCTCTTTTCAGACATCAAACATTTTCAGATCCGCAATATTGCTGTTTTTATGGTCAATATCCAGAAAAACTGTCCAAACTTAGAAGTTTTGAAAATACGAAATAATCCGAATTGGCCAGTTAAGCTGAAAAAAGAAGAGTGAGTTTATTGCTTGTATCGTTCAGTCATTCCAACAACTCCATTTCCAGAAAACATCTAGTTTTCAAATTTCTGAAAAAGTTACGAATTTTGGACGAACTGGAAAAAACTCGTCAGAAACGTTATCCGGATTCTTTCTCAAACACTTCTCATTCGTCAGATTCGGAATAAAATGTGTCTTTTTTGTTTTTATCACTGTACAAATATATCAGAAAAACAATTCGGGTTCCTTAATCAGAGAAGTACAATTTCCCAACTGATCGCCTACCAGAACAAGCTTGTTTTCAATTCTTTAAATGGGTTAGATACCCATAGCGTCTATATTGATTTCCAGAGGGCCTTCGATACAGTGCCGATAAACAAATTGATTATAAGTTGGAAAGCTTTGGGATATCTCCCAAACTAAAAAATTGGCTCCATTCATTTGTCACGGACAGGAAATTTTAAGTCAAAATCAATGATATACTATCGAAGGAGAGGCGCGTATTGTCCGGAGTCCCGCAGCGCTCTATTCTTGGGCCTACCCTCTTCTTGTTATATATTAATTGTATTGGTGACAAATTTCAAAGTGACTGTCTACTGTTTGCAGATGACTTGAAAATTTATGATACGAATGATAGATTGATTGATGCAGATTTAATTGAATTGGAGAATTGGTGCTCGAAGTGGAAAATGAAAGCGGCTCCTAAAAAGTGCGAATACATCAAATTCAATGCAACAAGAAAATATGCCAACTCCAATGTTATGAATCCCAAATTAAATCAAGCTTTGATTCCCCCTGTGGAAAATGTCCGTGATCTTGGGATCTACTTTTCCAGTAACCTAAGTTTCCATTATCATTATTCGTTGATTATTCAGAAATCACATCAGAGGATCAACATGTTATTTTCCATTTTAAAAAACGCATCGTGGAGTGTTTTTATAAAATGCTATACAATTTACATACGACGTCACAAATACCATCTCAAATCACTTATCAAAAACTCAACAAAAATATCCTCTCAATTTCTCTCTAATAGAGTAATCAGATGTTGGAACTCTTTACCCGCCAAAGTGTTTCCGGTGAAGCCCTCGTCAGCGGCTTTCAAAAATCGACTATTATTCTGTGATCTAAAACATTTTCTTGCCTTGAATTCAACTAATTACTAACTCGGTTTTTCCTTCATCTCCCAATTACTACAAATGTATGTCCCTGTTATATCTCCTAGTTTCATAGACATTTCACGTGTTAGTGGTTTTCTCCCCTTCGTTGAAATAAATAAATAAATAAATAAATAAATAAATAAATAAATAAATAAATAAATAAATAAATAAATAAATAAATAAATAAATAAATAAATAAATAAATAAATAAATAAATAAATAAATAAATAAATAAATAAATAAATAAATAAATAAATAAATAAATAAATAAATAAATGAATCATAAAAATACAATTCTGGAAAATATATTACTGTCTGTTTGTTATTGTGTTGTAAGCTTTCTTTTTTTGTTCGTCTTTGTTTCCTTTTCAAAAAAAGGACTAAGTAGTCTTCTGAAAGAAAATGGAGGTTAACGCAAATGGAATTGAATTGTCTGTCCAATAGAAAACATGAAGAAAAATGTGTGTATGTGTGGTGCCTTAGATCTCAAGTATGTGTTTAACCGAGTGGAAATGCTGTACCAATTGTTTTTGGGAAAACGAGGAATCGAGAGAAAGGATGATCATCAAATTCAGGTACTCCTTCTGTTGAATTCCCGAAAGAAGTTTATTCAATCTTCACACTGTTTTTATTCTCTGAGGGTTTTGTACCTAGTTGTGCTTATGTATGATAAAAAGAAAAAAAACGTAATGAAAACCTTTCTCTATTTGTTGTATTTTATTTATTTAAAACCAACGTTCCTACAAGTATTCACTTCAAATATACAACAGGTTTGATCATGATATCTACCATTTATATATGTACAGGGTGGCTTTTAATTACTGCAACGATATTCAAGCCTTCATAATTTTTCCAAAACTAGATAAAAACTTTCAATATTTTGGATTGAATAATTTCAGACACGCAAATCTTATAACCATCCAAATTTTTTTTTATTCTCCTTCTTTTCACTCTGACGACAGCCGTCAGAGGCTTTGGAAAGGAGCCTACAGCGGCACGGTGACACGAGGACATTACTTCCGGAAGATAATTTTTTAAGTCGAAGGCAACAAGATCAACCGAAGTTACGTAATTCTATATATTTAAGGGGACTACATCTGCCTGTCAGTGAAAAAAAATCCCATATATAACTTCGCATTCCGATTCGGTCAGGATCTTTGATGAAAACAATTGCGAAAAATCTCTTGTTTTCCCGGATTTCCGAACCAAATTCAACTATGAAACCAATCTAAGTAATCAAGATGTTGCCTTAACTTAAATTCTACTCAAAAAGTCAATATACGGTGTTCCAACGAATATACGGTGTTCCAACTGTACCAAAGGCACCAAATTGTGGCTCAAACTCAGTTTTCCGTAGTTGAACCAGACACAAGACTGGATCCCTTTCTCCTCAGGCCTGAATCCAATAAATTATTCAATCTGAGGATGTTGAACCTAGACAGTTTACTCATGAAATTAACAAGCTTTCAGCTATCTGGAAACCACCCTTCAGAAGATATGGATACTAATAAGTCAAAACTACCACCTTGCCGCCGTAGCGTCTTTTCCGAAGCCTCTGACGGCTGTAGTTCTAGTGAAAAAAAGTGGAATCGAACTTTTGCATTATTATAAATTTTGTGCGTCTGATATTACTTAAACCAAAATTTTGGACATTTTCATCGAATTTTGAGAAAGTTATGTAGGCTTGAATACCGTTGCAGTAATTAAAAGCCACCCTGTAGATATTAATTTACCTAAAACGTTTATGAATTGATTTTTGAAAAGCTGCGTTGTCAACGAAAATTTGAATTTGAAGTTTTTTGAAGACTGTGTCAGTGTCTGCTCCGAAACATTTTCATATCTTTTTTCTATTTTCAGATTGAAAGAAATTAAAAATATGTTACCCGCTTTAAATTCAAACGGCCCTCATTTTTATATTTCGGTTATTTAGAACTCTCCCATCTCTTAATTTTCGAAATGCTCTTTCTTCGTACTGAGCAAACGTTATGAATTATTCAGTTTCATCTGTCATGAGACCCATTTTGTGGAAAATGAAAAATACTTAGAACCCGCCGCTCACCCTAACAGCAAGGACAACTATCCTACAAAAATATGCAACTAACCTATTTTTCAATTTTCAATTATAGAGAGCCAATAATTACTTTGAGAAGTCCAAATAGTCAAGATGCAAAAACCAATATCCAATTTCAATAATGAGTCCTCTTCAGTTTTTTTCCTTGAATTATTACTTGTGGTTAGGACAATATATCCGTTTCATGCCTTACGCTACCAAAAAACCAATTAATTTTAATTATGCTTCGAAGTATTGTGAATAGAGATGGGACACAAAAATAAGAGCAGAAGACCACTTTCAGTCATAAGCTTTGGCTGTCTACAATAAGTAGTCAGTTCTAGTATTCTTAGTTTTTTTTCGTGTTTTTTTACGTCTCCAACATTTTTTTTCTTTTCAAACCCCCGCTGTTCAAGAATGAATAAACTTTTCCGTCAAGACACGGAACTTTTCATGCAATTTGCGAGGATTCTAATTTGAAGAAAAATTTTGTGTCAGCATTGAACACTGTCTCATTGTGATTATAAAATCTGTGCACAACTTTTCGCAAATTTCATGACTTCACATGTGCACATGTGATGACTCATTTTTACTCATCAAAACATGGTCTATCGTTTTAGGCACATGCTCAAAACCCTAATAATTTTTGACTAAGTTAATTTTTCGTACAACGCAAGTTCCACCCATTTTTCAAGGAAAGAAAAACAGTTAGCCTTTTTCGAATTATGCGCTAGTGTATGAATTGCGTTTGCGTTTTTTCTGAAGCTGAATACTTTTTCAAGCAGAATACTTTCGTTGTGCTCATTTGTTGTTCACACACTTCATCCAAATTGCGTGTCCACACATCAATTGATGGCCCCAGGGCTAATTTTACTTGGCACTTTCGTACTTTCACATAAATGTTTAAATGTTTCGTCATTCATCTTTTCCTTCATCTTTACCAATCATTTACCAATGAGTTCCACGCATTCTATCAAAAAAACTCTGTAAAAATGAAAATTCAGTGAAACCCATTTGAAACATGACCGAGGAAGGAAAAACCGACAATTCAAAACGTTCGGAGCTTCGTTTGAATGTCGAGAACTTTTACAACGATCAAGAAACCCGAAACCTGCTTTTGGCAGAAGAAGCGGCAAGAAATTTTAACCGTGATGACTACGACCAGGTTTTTGCTGGGGAACGTGTCTACGAGGTACAGTTTTGAGGTTGTTTTTTAGTATCCTTCGAATAAATCTGAAAGTAAATGTTTTTAAATTGTTTATTGTTTGGAGGTATTAAATTAAAAAATGGCGATACTTTTTAAATTCATTAACCACAGCAAAGTTTCGGTATTCTCACTGTTTGATAAATGCCAGCCTGTTTGTTGCGCCTACGGCAAGAGCTCGTCGATTTTTACCTCTATTTTTATCGATTCTAATTGTAAAAACTAATTAAAGTCTCTCTAATTTCTCCCCTTCGCTATTCAGACCTGCCGACCCTAAAATTTTTATGGTCGATGAAATTGGGTCTAGTGGATTTTTCCTGTGGAACATTTTTTTCCTGGGGGAACCGAACGACATACAACGAAGAAAAGAAAAAATAGACAAAACTTCATTTGTTTATTCTAATAATGATTTTAAAAACTAATCAATGTACTAACTGTTCAATATATTTGAACAACTTCTCGAAACGCTCAAAACTTTCACATATCATTTATTTCAGTGCGTCATTGGAACATCTGTCTGGAGAGTGTCTCGTTCATCTCTTCTCGCACTTTCTTTGTTCTGCACCATTGCCGTTGCTGTGATCGTCATTGCCATTGTTCTTCTCTGCACATTCATCACATTGTCGAGCTCAACAGAGGTTAGATAGACTTGACACGAAATGAGACCCTGCTGTTTTCAGATACCAGATGATGTTACCAACGAAGACGTCATTGGAGTTATCAATTGGCTTCATTACCCAATCGGCGATTTGGCTCTTCGTCGTGCTAATTACACAAGACCTCATCAAAAATAACGATTGTTTATGAGCCCTTACTTATTTATTCTGAATGTTTACTCGATAAAAATGAAAGTTTTTCAATAAAAACAAATTAGGACCTCAAAAAGAGGGGACTACCTGGAATATCACTCTCTAAAATCGAAATCTATACTGATCAACTTGATACTCATGACACTAGCTCAAACCTGTTTCATAGCACTTAGACTGGGCAGGAAATAGATTCTTTCCGCTAATAAGAACGGCGAGATTGACAATGCGCAAACAAAACCCTTATTTAAAAACCCTTATTTATTTTTGTCATAGCTCGTTTATTTTCTTTCTTCTTTTTTACTGGTCAGTTTTTCGTTTGAATACCAGTTCTCCATTTTCACAAGACATTTTCTAGATTTTAATGTATATTCGTGATATGAGCCCAATTTAAATTCTTATTTGGTCATTATTATCAAAGTTTTCATATTTCAAATCGATTCACAATTATTCCGTTTTGAAAATTTGTATCCTCATTCCTTTAGCTATATCCTTCTAGTTATATCCACCCACGTGAAATTTGTTCGTCATTCCATGCCTAAAAATGCGCCGTCACTCCATCTTCTTTTGCGTTGCCTCCTGCTTTTTCTTCGACCCTTCTTCTTCATGCTCTCTTTTCCATTTTTGGGCCTAGCCGCTCGATAACCAAGAGCGACGCATGGTGAAATATAGCAGAAATAGTGGAGACTGAGGTTTTTGTCTCATTTCTCTGCTCCCTAGCTGGCTCCGATGTTTTCTTTTCTCGTCTCCCTTTCTGAAGCAGCGGCAATCTATTCGAAAGCACACGTCATCTTTCCTTTCGCTTTCCCTTGGCTGGAAAAGCCTCATTATTGAAGAGTGGAAAAAACGGAGAAATGAAAATCAAGGGAACTGTGGTTTCCATTTTTGCTTTTATGCATTTTTTTTCCATACTCACCCATTGTGCTCATGTTTCAATAAAAATCGTTTGTTCAGCTTTATTGAAAAAATTCTAAAAATATTATTTTCGAAAACACGCGTTCGATTTTCTCTTTGCATTTCTCTTCTATTTCAGTGTTTTCAGGATGATGAACGAATTGGAAGCCAGCGATTTGCTGGTTGAGTTGGGTCAATCATTAAAAAAACGCATTTCAGAGGATTCAAAGGAAATTGGAGATGGATTGGAGTTCTGTAAGTGTTTTTAAATTAACTGCGTTTTTATACTTTTTTTTAGTTGATACAATGTCAGAAACAGAATGGAAAAGTGCACGTCTCTCTTCAAGTCACAGTGATGATATTGGGTGAGTTATTTTCAGTTGCGACAATTTGTAAGCCAAATATAACAGAGACCTGAACGATGCGCTGCGGGTCCAACAACTGGAAGAGGAGCAGGAACGGCTCAATAACTCATTATTCTCACTCAGTTCTCATTTCGCTCAAGTGCAATTTCGGATAAAACAAATGAATGAAGCCGAGCCTCATGATAGAGAGGTATAGAAATCCAAACTGATTAGATCTATTTCTGAAATTTCAGAAACTGCTCATGGAGCTACAAGACTTTGCTTTCAAAGGATGTACAGACATGAATGAACTTCAAAGGTTACGAAGTGAGAGTGAAAGTGGAAACGAAGTGCTAGAAAAACAGAACGAAAGGTGATCAACTATTTTCTGATGTAATTATAACTATCTTTCAGACAAAAAAAGCTTCTCAAACAACTACGGGAGCAAGTGGAAGATTTGGAAAGGACCGCTTATGAAAACGGAGAAGGAGCATTGCCAAGCATCGATATTCTGAAGAAACAAGTATTTTTCGTAGCATCGTGAAGAAAATAGAGGCTCGTTTTTACAGAAAGCTGTTTTGGATAAGCTCCAAGAAAAAATTGAACTGAATCTAGATATTGACAAAATGAACCAAACAGAAATACAACGCCAGGTAGATGATGCATTAAAACAACTTGTGAATCCATTCAAGGAAAAAGGCCAATTGGTAGACCAGCTGCAAACCCAAATTACAGACTTGGAACGTTTTGTGAATTTCCTGCAGAAGGAAAATTCTGAATGTTCAAATCAGACGACACCAGTCAGAGTAAGGAATCATACGAACTTTAATTAGTTCAATCTTATAAAATTCAGAGTATGGGATCGACTCCTTTAGCAAGTGCTAAATCTAAAAATACGTCGTTTTTGAGTGGAATCATCGGTTGTTCAACAGGGAGGTTTCAGAAAAACCAGTTGAAGAATACTCTGAAAGGAAATCATTATGGGTAAATTCATTGTAAAAACTCCAGTGCTCGTCCACAAACCCAAAATATTCAAAGTCGCATCACGTCATGGGTATCAATGCCTTCACGATTATTCTTTCAATTTCACACCGGAAATTGAAGCCACTCTCCTGACCTCATTTTTTCAGTGACGAGCGAGCGCATGTGCAGCTTGCGGTAGACGCGACTCAACAAATTCTGGAAAAGTATACCCTGCTGTCATTTGACCCCAACTTGAAGGGACAAGTGGAGGAAGTTCAAGAAGTGGAAAATGACGTAAGAGCACCATTATTATTTTCTCGTTTCACACAATTTTGTTATAGGACGTTTTCGAACTCTCCGAAGAAGAAGTGGTGACTGTTGTTCGAAAACAGCTGTGTCCCGCATTGAAAGCTCTTTTGGAGCATGGAATGCTTGCAGAGACCGTTGTGCACAAAAGGATTCCAGGGCTTGGATGCTTTGTTGCGAAAACGGCAAATGATGAGAAGGCAACATGTTTGAGTCATATTTGGGATGTTATAATTTATTTCTACAGCTTAAAAACAGGCAGGGACACAACTGATGCCCCTGTTAGAAAACTCAGCCAGTCGTTCAAACTGGATCATGTTGGCGGCAGAAGTATCACATCGAAACAAGTGAGAGCATTTTATTTTTATTTTTAGAAAATTGAGTTTGAGAAGATAAAATTAAAACAATAATGTTCTATTCAAACCTGAAACGAATAATGTTACAGGTTCTTTTAACAACAATAGAGAACATTATTTCGACACATGAGCGACTGAAAAGATCAAAAGATGCACACTGGAAAGCATTTGTATCTGCTGCGATGAACGAGAAAAAACTTCCAGCATGGCTCAGGTACATTATGAAATGCTTTAAATGTTACAACTCTGTTTTTAGAATAATCTTCCGAACAAGACAGGTCGTCGAGATGTGTTACAATTCATGGAGTTACGTAGCGAGAACTGGTAGTTTATTGTTTCCTAATCCTTTTTTGATAATAAAACATTATTAGGTTGCGAAGAACTCTACACGTTGCTGGAAGGCTTGCACAAATACAGTATCCATTTACCGGTCGACTTGGCTTTGAGGCCTTTTGAACAAATCAAGGACGCGTTTTGAAACAGGTGCAAGATGATGCATATTGATTATTTTCATTGAAAAATATTCATAGATGACAAACAGGTTTTGAGCCAAATCCGCATAATTATTTTAATAATAAATAAATATGGTTAGTATTTCAATTCGAATGTTACAATTATCCAAACAAATCTGTCAATACATTGGAAAGATAGTTGATAGGAGTTGCTTTCCGGCACTTTGACCAATCGGCGTAATGGATTGGGTTGCTTCTGAAATTCCAAATGAGATTTGTACTTTTCGAATTAGTTTCCAGAGCTTCAAGAACTAATCAATTACCCCGTTACATCATCCATAAAACCAGCTTTTTCCAAGTCGGTCTCTACTTGGTCCTTGTACTCAGCATAGAATTTGCGAAGGTCCCGAACAAGACCTATCATTGGGAATCTTGCCCAGTTGGATAGAATCACGTATTCGTATTGACCATGCTGCTTGTTTATTGGTCCAACAACGACGATTTGATCTGAAATATTCATAATCCAGGAAACTATGCAATTTTTGAAGGGAACACAAATTCCTTGAGATTGGCTAATTTTTTCATTATGAACTTTTTTTTCACTCAGTCAACTTCCGAGTATTCTGAATTGAACAAGAAATTCAAAATTGCAGATCAAAATTTTCTAAAGAAGAACTTTTTGTGGAACGTAGAAACTTACATGGACAGGGGTCGTCTTGCATGTAAACATAAGTTCTTTCCCTATGAATAATTCCATATCCGAACGCAACCTGGAATAGTCGATAAAGTGTTGGAAGTTCAAAAAAGACATCAGATCTTTTGTTTTTTACAACAATTAAAAAATTAATTATTGTTACATAAAACGTATAAACTGAACTCACTTTCTCTCCAGCGTCCACATTTCCAGCTCTGAACTTTTCTTGTAAACTGAAGGCAGACGAGTTTCCGGACTCTGCTTGAGGCATGACTGAAAATTATTTAATTCTATTTTAGGTTAATTCTGATGCCTTTTCTTACACTCGGTAGTAGCACAATAGCGATTGTGAACAGATGGTGTGTCCATAGCCTGAAAGCATGAACTAAGTCATTATGTTGTTTCCTTTGATTCTCTCCACAAAGACGATTGATCCCTTATCGTTATGTTTAATCACTCACCCATTGAAACTTGCCGTACAAAGCTTTGACATCAACTTTGGACGACGGCAATAAACTGGCCAGATAATCCTGAGCGCCCGGTATGTTGCGCAACATATTTTGAAAGAAGCTTGGAGACCTTGGGAAGGAAAAAAGATGAGAAAAAAAAATGAATCATTACATAACTTGTATTAAACTTCCTCAAGGTTCACTACTAAGAATTGAACATTTATGTTTATAAATAGTGATCTCGGATCATGATTCAAAATACAAAAAACTCACTTATCCTTGATGAGTAGAGATCCACGTGGTAGACAGGATCCGGCACCTGGCAAACTACCAAGAAGTCCAGGAACAACTGGAACTCCATCGACTAAATTCATCGATGGTAGTGGATTTTTAAGTCTAAAATTCGTAAATTATTATTGATGTATAATTTCATACAAAAACTAACTTTTTTGCAAAATTGTTGTCTGGATTCTTCTGTACAGTCTGAAGGAATTTCATGAGACCAACAGATTGTCTGTAATTGTTTAGTGAATCATTGGCAATCTACAGAAACTCACGTGGCCAAATCTTGGAATGGTCCCCTATCATGTGTTCCAGCATCTCCAGTGGATAATCCAAATATTTCAAGAAACTGACAGTTCACAGTGGAAAAAGGCGAGATGACGAATAGGAGAGAAAAGTGTAACGTTGCGTAATACCGAACATTAATATGCCGCATTATTATGACGAGCGCGAACAATTGGAAAATAATATCACCGCCACACGAAAAACGTTGCGCATCTAATTCATCATTAGAGGAAAGCGAGGGATTTCGGACAATAGAGATAGAGAGAAAGACACAGATAGTTGTCAACAGCCAACTAAAAAATCCGGATTTTTTTCATAGTGATGATGATTATCTTCACTCATTTTCGAAAGAAGTGCCAATTCCCCTATGAAATGTACAAGAATTCTGGGTTTGCGGAAAATTGAAACTCAAAAAATTCATACAGTCCCATTTTTCACAAACAAGTTTACACGTGACCGACTTTTTCTCTCTTATCCTTGGAAAAACTCTATGAAGAAAAACTTGTAAAAACCAAACACATAGGCGTGTATGTTGCAAGAGGATTAGCAGAATAAAATTATGTAAAATCTCCAACTTACGGAATTTGAATATTGAGAAGATGGGCGGAACGATAGAGTCGGTTTACACATATTTGACAAAACGTTAACATCAACACAAACAAAATTTGTTTTATTCCCTTTCAAAACATAATAATTGAAAACACACAAAAGCTGTAATTCAACAATTTCTGTTGAACGGTAGAAATGCTGGCTTCGTCGGACACTGGTGGTAAGAAGTAAGTGATATATGAAATATAGATTTAGAGAATATTTTGTATTTATATACCATCTCTCCAAAAGCCCGCTGGACGCGACTCAAAGTATTTTTTCAGTCCAGATTTTTCCAAATCAGGAGTTTTAAAAGGCGTAAAGAAAAACCGTCCAGCTAAAGCGGCCCATGTCTTACTCGACTTTCCGTGGAACATAGAATCTCGCTTTATTTAAAGAAAATCAATTTAGTCCTAAGCCGCTTTGGATGGATGGCTGTCCACATTTCTTAAACTACAGACTTGACCCTTCAATCATTGGTTATTCGGAGATATGCAACCTCATCTGGAGGGAAAATAATTTTACACTGTCGATGAGATAAAAACAGCTTTTTGGGAATACTTTGACTTGCGGTCAGCTGGCTTTTGGGGCGACGGTATCCACAATTTACCTGAATGTTGTCAGCATGTCGTGGACCACGACGGTGCATACTGTCAATCTTGGGGAATTCTTGTTTTTGTGTTATTTCACGAATTAAAAATGGACAGTTACTTTCCGGCCAACCTAATATTTAGCTCAAAAGCAATGAGCGTTCTTTAGGAAAAAATACAGTATATTCCTTTAACACCAATGTTAGTCTAACAAAAATGGGACAGAACATAAACATATAACGAGATGTTGTATTTTTCTAGGCGTGAGAACCATGTCGTCCCATCGAACATTGTCAAAGGTAATGAGCTTCAGTTGAAAGAAACTCCATTGTGTACACTGATTGTGTCATTTACCGATGATGAGGTTGGTGTTCTAGAATACTAAACCATTCTTAACAAACAATCGAATATGATTCATTGACAAAGTAATATTGCTTACTGTTACATTTCCAATGCATGAAAAATACATATTTTTACTCTTGCAAACATATCACGAAAAATTGACGCCTTTGAATTCGTTTCTTAAAAAGAGCATTCAGGGCATTAAAAATTGGATTTATCGGTATGAGTAGATTTCATTTAATTTTGTCAGAGACTAACAAAAGTTTTGAATACAAATTCTGTGTTCAGGCAAATGACGTCACATCTGCTCATGTTTTCACAATGTCCACTCCTCAATTGTATCCTCAAACCAGGAAAACAGTCTACAAAAAAGGTACTTTTCTTTGTCCTCTATGTTTTTCATCTTCCGTTGTCTATGTTGTTTTCGTGGCCAATTCCCAGAAACACAGAAAATTTCACTTGAAACACCTCCCGCTCGCCTTGTTTTTTCACAATTTTTATTCAACTTTCGACTCGCAACTATTTCCATTTTTATCACCATCTCAAATTCTATTTGCTTTTGACAACCGATTCGGCACATTCTTCAGAAATACGTGTTTACTTTTTTTGAAAAAGAGACTGAATGTCCAAAAAAAAACGACAATTGATAACAGAGAAATGTTGAGACAGTATGAAAAACATTTGAACTCGGAATGGTATTGTGGCATTATTTTAAAAATTTATCTAACATATCATTGTATAAATTGCTATCAGAAACCAATAAATTTCAGTTTGAGAATGGCGCTGGCATTCACAACCAGTAGAAATAGGGCATTAAGTGGGTATTGTGAAGAAATGGCTGGAAGTTCTACAAACATATCCCAGTTTGAAACTACCGTTTCCAAATGCTATAGAGATAACATTACGGTATACATGGCAAATCTCCATTTTGAACTGTTAACTTTTCTGGACAATTGCACACATTGACTGCATACTTCGAAACCATAATAACACAAAAAACGCATTGTGTGAGTGCTTTGTGGAGAGGAAAAACTGGTAGTTGTTCAAAGAAAAACTGTGTCAGTGACAGAAATGGAACAACCGAGAAGTAGGTCTCCTATTCAAATATGTCTCACACGCGCTGCTTTTTTTGGTGTGTATTCCTTTATTTTTAACTGCGCAGTTTGTTGGAAACAATCGTCAAACTGTCAACTAGATTCGTATTCGATATATCATGATTCGATAGGGCAGTCGGTTCTCTTTTTTAAAATATTTGGGAAAATTGTTCCAAAATATAAAAATCAAAATTTTCAAAGTTTATTTACGTTTTATTCAAAATCTTGATAAAAAAGTAAAGGCTCACTGTGATTCTACTATAAGTACCATGCTTAAAAAATTATCCTACTATGAAAACTTTTTCAGACTATTTGAGTCGCAACACTAAAATTTTCATTTCTTCTTATTTCAGAAAGCAAACTTATTTTATGACCCACTCACACATTCACGGACATCACAGGAAAAAAAAGTTGCCCAATCATCAGTTTGTTCACAGTGCAATAGTGTTCGCGCATCTTTTACCAAGTGCTCCGCAAACAGTCAACTCCCCCTAGCAACTTTCATTTTAGATTTGAATACACAAAGTGCCATCTATTTCTCGTATTTGTTTGTGTCAGTTTTCTTATTTCTGATCTTTTTCTGATGCGAGTAGTGGTGTGAGTCCATTCTGAAACGAGATGTGACTCAAATATTATTTTCGAATCTATCTTACCGCTAAACATTGGTATTGTGTTCTCAAAGACTTTTAGTGTTTTGCTCCTCTCGTGAATGTTTTGTCTTCTTACTAAACATTTCTGTCCAAGTCACACATATTTCATCCAAATTGTTCTCTTTCATTTTCTCTTTTTGAAACAAAACCGTCAAAAAATTCTTCCAAACACAAACAAACAGGGTCAGGCGACGGCTGAAGAGAATGGAGGATTTTGACTTACTTGAGTAGGAGGCAATTATGTTGAAGGATGGAAGAGTGAGTAGCATAATAGCCACCTTATGTCCTTTTCCTCCTCTTCTTAATTCTTTACGTTTTTTTTTCAATTAAATTTTCCAGGGTCCTCGTCGGAAATGTCGTTAACATCAACACCATTTAGTACCGACGATGAGCGTTACACCAATTCGGCGGTGAGTAATTTAGGACTAATTAGGAGACAGGCTGACAGCCGGTAGCCTACCCGCTTAAATCTCAACTTGGTCATTTCAGATGTCGCCTCCACTCCAGAAACAGTTGATTCAAGAAGTCTCGTTATCCTACTCAGCACCGTATACTTCCACAGTTAAACCTTTAAGACATGACTTACCACTCGCTTTTTCCCCATTTTCATTTGAATCGGAGTATGAAAAAACTGGTAGGTTTCATATTTAAATACAAAAAAAAATAGAAGTTAAACAATGACTAATCTTGGAGGTTACACCTCCGCGAGAGGCGTTGTGTTTACCAAACATAGAGTTATATTGCTCAATAAGCCAATTTGGTCTCCATATTCTTGGGTAAACTTTCCGAATTCATTTTGCAGGAGACTTTCATTCTCACACTCGTAGCAGCGACTCTCGACTATCGAAACATTCAAAGCTTCATATTTCCAAAAAAGATTCTGTAGAAAGACTCTTGAACAACGGCCGCAAAGAAACTGAATTCTCAGGTAAACTTTTAATTTTTTTGAAACGCGTAAGTCGATAAATAATTTTACAGCAATATCAGACACAACTCCTTATTTTTCGGCTCAATCAGCCACAAAAGCCGCAAGAGTAACTCCATCGCACACTCCAAGAGATACTCCCAGAGACACTCCTGTTTCATTTGATAGACGATCCACAAACCGTGTAGATAGTCCACTATCCAATTATAATTTGATAGTATCGGAAAGTACCACTTTTGAGGAGTTGACGACCATCACCACATCAAAGTGAGTTTAAAGTTAATTTTGAAAAGATATATCTCTGGGTCACAATAGATTACCGTGTAGGATTTTTCCAGGTTGGAAATTTTTCTATTTGCATTTTGAAAAAAGTTTCATGATCTCCAACCTCATGACCATAGCAAGAAAAATGAAGAGGATAACAAAAAACAGAGATCGCGCAAAATGAATTAAAAGATTAAATCTCGAATAGGTTTTGGTTTTGTTTTTGCGTGTTTTGGCCTAGATTCAGATCAAGTCATACTAAGCATGTACCGTTTTGCGGTTTACGTTCCACTCTTTCCCAACTATTTAGTATCTGTTCACGTATTTTTCTTTATTTTTCAGTACTTTTTCAATCCGATTTTTTCAGGAATCAAACTACTCGCAAAAAGGAAGTTACAACAGAAATGCCTACAGTAAACGCCCTGACTAAACAATTCGAAATTTCATCGCATCAAGAGAGAGTCGTTCCGGTGCGACCAAGAAAAAACTCTAACACGCCTAAATCCGTAAATGGAAGTGCCAAGTCCCTACCGAGAGTTGTGGTGATTAACAAATCGCAAAGTGAGGAGTTCTATCATAAACAAAAAAAAATTGATTGTCAGAAAACTGCGCCTCAAACCGACCATCTGTTGTTTACTCTCCAGGCGGCATATTAACGACCACCATTGTTGACATTGAACCGGCAAGTTTTGGACGACGAACTGAGGAATATAAAGTTTGTTTTTTTACGCATACAGTCTAAAGATTATAAAATACTATGGTATAGATATCAGAAGAATACATAGTCAAAAGATATGATAATGCGACGCGAAACTTTCAAGGGCTGGAGCGTGAATTCCAGAAACAACAAGCCACTGAATACAGAGCTTATCAAGGAAACAAAGAAACCTATAAGCATCGGGTATAACTTTGAATTTCAGATTAGAAACAATTTTTTTGAATTTTGAAGGACCAAGAAAAGACACAGAGAAGCTACAGTGCAGCAGAAACCGGTCATTATAATGAGTCTCCAGTTGATACATCTTCCATTGATGAAGTCAAAAATGTGATTGATCGTTGGGAAACTAAGTTTGGAGGTGAGCTATTCCTATAACAAAATTTTTCCAAAAAAAAAAACAATAGAGTTGAGTTGTTCAGGAACTGCTACACGTGCAAATGAAAAACAACTGCGCTCTGTGTCTCGTGTTGATATGAATGATAACATTTCAAGAGTTTCTCAAGATGTTAGAAACACGTTGGATCTTCAAAAATTAATCTTAATTTATTTCAGAAAATAATTGTTCATCAAAGAAGCGAGTCTCAGCCAGTCGAACGTATTATCCCAATTTCCCCAATTCCGCCATCACAAAAGCCAACAAAAACTACTGAGACCGAGAACGGAGGAGTTTTGCACACCTACGATGAGCTCAAAACTGTCTACCTCAAACAAACTGTTGATATGGGATCTGTATCTGCAAAACCAGCAGCAACTCCGAAACCTATTACGTCTCCAGTTATGAAAGAGACCATTGTCTCTCCTCCACCAATTCCTACACCGTCTCCTACCATCGATGTTGCAGAAGAATTACTTCGACCAGATGGCATTTTGACTACTCAACGCACGGAATTCGCTCAATATTCCACGACTGTCACCAAAGAGACCAAACAGGAGGAAGAATCAAATTACGTCACTGATAACAACAAAGTTGCCGCTGAAAAAGAGGAAAAGGTGGTAGTGATTGAAGAGAAGGAGGACGAAGAGAAGAAACTGAAACCACAGACACCAACTCCTAGTCCTGTTCCGGGACGGACGGAAAGTGTGGCCGTTGAAACCAGAAGTGATGAATACCTCCATAACTTCTTGGATAGAGACTATCGCATCAAGCGATATGAAGAGTGGTCAACAACTAAGAGAATGAGGGATAGGTCTCAACCTCCAGAGAGAGTATGTGATAAGCTTGAGGAGAGTAGAAATTACAATTTTCAGCCACTAACATCGTATTCTTCTTACTCCGATCGTTCCAGATCGATTGACAGATCATATGAACGCCAAAGAATGGAAAGTGGAATGTCTAGAACGTATTCCGAAGGTAACCAGATGCCCTAAACTCTAGACTATGTGCCCAATTTCACAACAGTCTCGCAGTTGCATCGAACACCTAATGCTTCAAAAGCTGCTTATTTTTTTCATTTTTGAAAATTTTTTATTTTGAGTGCTTTTTTCCGCTTTTTAATCATTAGTTGGCATTCTTGAATACCTGCATTTGCCTTTTGGCACTCCAACTGATAAGAATTAGGTAGAAAAAAAGAAAGAAAAAAGCGCCCGCGTCAAACTGATCGAAATTGGCATTATTATCAAGAGGTGGAGACACAAAAGTTGCGGTTGTGCCTATAAAATAGCTCCTAATCAGTGAAACACTCTCATTTTTTGTCATTATTCTACTCCTGAACTAGAAGAAAAGAGCAAAAATGTCAACCTACGGTTACACCCACTATACATCTACATCTCAAGGTCGAGGACTTGCAAGCGGAGCCTACACTTCTGGATTCGGAGGTTTGGTATCTGGAATGTCCTCTGCTGGAGCCATCTGCACCACACAAATTCGTGATGCTCGTGAGCGTGAAAAGAGAGAAATCGGACTTTTGAATGACCGTCTAGCCGATTACATTGAGAAAGTAAGTATTTTTTGTTTTTGATTGAGCTGTTGTTAAAGCTCAACCTGAAGTCAGAAAAAGTGCTACAAGTTTGAAAGTTTAGGTCCGTTTCCTTGAAGCTCAAAATCAATGTCTCAGCCACGACATTGACATCCTTCGCCGTGGATTCAGTGGAGGCGGCCACGTTTCAGGACTCTATGATACCGAAATTGCGGTAAGCATAATAATAGAGCAGACTAGAATGTATCCAAATTTTTTAGCAAGCCAAGCGCATCCTCGAGCAAACAATCGCTGGACACGCTGCTTTCGACAGAGATATTGCCGCTCTTGGCTCCGACATTGACGCTATTCGCAAGAAATGGATTGATGCCGTTAATGCAGTCAAAGCTCATCGCGAAGATCATGACGTTGATCTTGACAGACTTGCTAAAGTTGAAGCCGAAATCTCACTTTTCAAGAGAAAAATCCGTATTGTCGAAGAAGACGTCATCAGAATTCGCAGAGAGAATGACGGAATCTACAATGAAATTGCACGCATCAAGCAGCTGACGCACAATGAAATCGCTTTGAAAAATGAGCGCAGTCTGAATGTTCAAGATCTTCTTCAACGCATCAAACTTCTCCAAACTGAAAACAGCACCAGAATTGAGCAAGAACTTGTCTTCATTCGTCGTGATACCACTGCTGAGAACCGTGACTACTTTAGACACGAACTTCAAGCTGCCATCCGTGACATCCGTGCTGACTATGAAGCCGTTATTCTTTTTTGAGTCGTGATTCTGTTCAACGATTTTAAATTTTCAGATCAGCATCCGCAACCGCAACGACATTGAAGTCTGGTACCGTGAGCAAATCAGAAAGATTCAGACTGAATCCAAACCAGTCAACCAGGATCTCTACAAGGAAGAGCTTGCTTCAATTCGCACAACGGTGACAAACGTGAAGAGCAGACTCGCAGAAGTTGAAGGAAGAGTGAGTTTGAAAAAATTCTCGGCGTTAGAAGTCAAAAGTATGTTTTCAGAACTTCTTTTTGGAAAAACTCATTGAGGACCTCAGAAACAACGAGGAGTCTAAGTTGTACGAGATCAGTCTTGCTGAGAAGGACGCTCAAATTGCCAGACTCCGTGAGCAATGTACCGAACTTAGCATCCAAATGGAGAGGCTATGCGACAACGAAATCGTGAGTTTTTTATATTTTTAAAAACTAATGAAACAGGTTATTGTAGTCACTTCGTGCTGAAATCGAGCGCTACCGTGTTCTTCTGAACGGGGCCAACGTAACCACTTATGTTTCGAACACTCACCCATCCGGAGTTTCTGTTGGTGGAATAGTTGGAACCACCAGAGTCATCTCTCAAACCACCCGAACTAACAGCAGCAGTAACACCAGCTACAGTGGAGTTCCAGCTTCCAGAACAGGATATTCTGTGGGAGGAAACATCGGAGGAATCTCTGTTGGTGGAACCATTGGAGGCGTCTCTGTTGGTGGAAACGTGGGAGCTCACGGAGCATCAGGACATGTGTCTGGCGGTGCCGCAGGAAGCGGTATGTATCAACAGAGCTACTCTTACTCCTCTTCAACACATTAAAATTGAATGAAATGTCCTTTTTTTGTATCTTTTCCAATAATTTTCCTTGTCTTCTTGCTTAAAATTATTCTACTCTCCCACTAAACTTCACTTTTTACCCTTTCAAAAATGTTCACATTGTTGCCTTCCTTCCACTCTCTTTCTCTCTCCCTTTATCCCGTGTCTAACTTTCGTTTTCGAGCAGATCTTGATTAGGGATCAGAAGTTTTTTTTTCGTACCCTACCAAGCAATATGACAAATACCTCCCCAAATCAACCCAGAATGCTCTCATTCGTCTGCCAGCCAAATAAGTGTTGTCCCATGCAATACCAAATTATCCGTTTTCCTCGGTTTTTTCGACACCAAATAACCAGAGACGGTGATAGCGGACGTATGTCTCTTCCGTTTCAGTCACATATTTTCACATAGTCGTCGATGCTTCTGTCCTTGTCATTTGTTTCATTTTTCCGCTCGTTTTATTGTAAATTTCTCTAAATGTTTCCTTTTGAAGTAAATAAATGAGCTACTAATCAAGATCTGCTGTTTTTAATAATACAGCAAATAATCAGCAAAGAATGTGGAGGAATATAAACCATTCTTTTTCGAAATACGTGCATAAATAGAAATCAGCAAAAAGTTTTGTAACACACAATCCAAAACGTCCAAAAAATTCAAAATTTATAAAACCTATAAAACGACCAAACAGCAGATATGCGAAAATAATTTTTTGGTAAAGTTACTTTCCTGATTTTATCTGAAGAAATTCAATGTATAAAACAACCCCTTTCAGTATCGTCCCTCGTATCTGAGAAGCGTCCAGACCGAGTTCACGATGAAAAAGGAGTCGACGCATCCGGAAGAAGTTTTCACAGCTGGTACTTGGGCACTATTTCTATCAATGTGAGTTTCTTCTTACATGAAAAAGGTATTTGAGATTTTTCAGCAAATAACTCCAAGTTACATCGAATTGAAGAACATCTGCAAAATCAGACGTGTTGATGTAGGAGGTTTTAGAGTGAGTTTGTATCACAGTCTAGATTATTTAACATTCATAATTTTAAGGTTGAGCAATATATCAACGGAGAACTTCTAGGAAGTGCACAGATCAATGTTCCACTCATTCTTGACCCGCAAGAAGTTGTGAGAGTATGTGAAATCTATTTATAGAACTCATCAAACTTGTTCAAAACATTATAGATTCATCACAGACACGGAAAGTATCTTGGACAGTTTTTCATGGATGTCGACGCTTTTGATAACTCCACCGCTTCTAGAACATCCATGTACAATTACACCGAACCCAATGAGGTGAGCATCACAAAACCAAGTTTTTCGTTAATGATTTCATTGTAGGAACGCGCCTGGTTCGTGTATCTTAACTAGATAAATATGGATGAATATTTCCCGCCGACGAATTTTTTTAAATTCGAATTTGCCACTTGAAAATAAAAACATTATTCTTGACTTACATAATTGGTTACTGAAAACAAAAAACTGTTTCCCCCTGTCTATTTTTTTTCCTCTCAACGTTAATTTCCAAACTTCTAATTTATTTACATCATCACAAAGTATCGTTTTCTCAAAGATGGCTCTTAAGTATTTGTTTAATAGCTCTCGAATTGTCAGGAACTCAATGCGTTAAGATGACATTAAGTGTGTTCTCCATCAAATTGGTGTGTTTGTACTTCTTCCAAATTTCATCGTCTTCCGGTGATGACAGACAGGCAGTGCTGGGGGGCATGTTTTTATTTGAACGCTCACCAACAAATAAAACAAAAACAAAAAACATGGTGTTCATAGATAAAGAAAACAGGTACAGTCATTTTACATCATACAAATGGGCACCATCGACTTTCCAGTAAGTTTTCGAGCAGTTCTATTTCATTCAACATTTTTCAGAAAGTTCCACAAACTCTGAAAGTTTTTTCCAAAGTTTATCCTGGAACAAGATTCATGTTCACCGGAAAATGCTCATCAAAAAACTTCTCATTGGCACTAGTCTCGTCCACAGAAATCGCTATTTTATTGGAGTTTGAAATAGAAAATGTCAACTTGATAAAAGCTAAATCTTTTTCCAATGAAAATTGGTCTATTGAGGTTGGTGGGGTATTCAGAAACGAACTATAAACACTGAAATTTCAGAAGCTTCTCAAAAACCCAATCCCATCAAATGGAGCGTTTTTCGTTCAGCTTGTAACATGCAGAAATTTCTTCGAAGTTTATTCGGGGGGTAGTCTTTTGCTTACTTTGGATTTTTTAGTGCCCCCTGAATCTATAACTGGGATACGATTAATGGGAGAAATGGAGATGTACCGAGTGGAAATGGAGCATCTATGAAAAGTTGCATAAAAATTGAACTATGTTGTACTTTTATTTCCAGTGTTCGGTATCTGAATAAATTGATTTTTTGCTAATTTTAAGACATTACTTTATGAACAACCAACCCCTCCCACCCCCACCTTCATTAAGGTGGCGCAGTAGCAAATACGAAAAATGCGGGTAAATGTTTCCTATACGATATTAATACAAGTGTCATATCACTCATGACAAACAAAAGATTAAAGATGTGCCGAAGTACTGTACACAGATACTTGTCTTTGTCGAAGAACATGATGAGGGTCAATGGGAAACCGACGAGCGATAATCTCCACATTTATATGTTTATTCGGCTTTTCTCGTCAAGAAGTATGATCATAATATGAGGAGTCGGAAGCTCTTCTATGATTTAAGCGTTGATGTTTTACTCTAGAGACATTCAATAATTTTTCATCACACTTTCAATATGATAAAATGCCTGAGTTGGCACATATCAATAACCGATAAGAATTGCCTCCTCCTCACTGGCTTGATTCGTCCCAGTGTTCTCCTGTTCAAACTATTTGCCTTGTTTCATTTTTGTAGGCAAACACCGGTTACTCTGTGAATGAATTGTCATGAATACACTGGTGAGCCAAGATCAGAACATTTGGTAGGGAATCAACGCATTAGTGCATCTTCTTCGATTACATACAAGAGAGTCAATCCCATTTGTAATTTGATACCGGGGGCAGGAAAACGATGCTCATCGCCATTTGTTGCCTATGAAAGTTATATAACAAATGATGGTCGTGACCTCGGTTGAACTGTCAACGAGGATTATAGCATGATCGATGACTTGTGAATATTTCTGAGTGTTTCACCAGATTATGAGTGTACCAGCAAGCTGGTGCGCCTTCGGCGCGATTCAATCTAGTTTTTTTAGGTTCGTAGCTTCGTTCTTCGCTTTTTCTAAAAGAGTCACGTAAATCTATTATGTTGACAGACGACACGAAGACGGACAGACTGCTCTAGCGTTTTATATATTAGGAAGATCTCACTTGGAATAATGAACTTCACAACATTCCACATTTTCAACCATTCAAATCAATAACCATATGATCTCCTAGATGACAAATGTTCAAAGTGAACCGACCAACCTGTGTTTATTTATCTTTTTCATCACTACTTTTTTCTACCGCAACCCTGCCACCCACCCATCGATACTTTTTCGCGCGTGCGGCAAGAATGCAAGGAAATCTAGATGTTGAAAACGACTAGACATCGATTCATCGAGTGCTTCTCCACTATTTGATCATTTGATGGAAAAGCATCACAATGAGATGAGTTGAGGGAGGGCGATGAGAAGAAAATTGATAGGAAATCGAGAGCATCAACTACAATTGGTTGATTCTTGTCGGTTGTTGCTGTTACTGCTGCGATAAATACACAGACAGACCGCCGATTGATATAATGCTTTGGATGATACCGTAATTAAATCGTGTTTGACAAGAAAAGAAGCGGAAAATATATGAGCAACTGATTTGCAGTTAGGAAGGAATCGGAGACAAACATTTGAAAAAGATCATTTGAAAAGTGAAGTGATCATCAAATTGAGGTATCTCGATAAATGACAGGAATACATTTTATGGATGTACAAGTTCGAACCACATTCCATTTGAACATAAATACTTGAAATTATATAAAATAGCATTGATAATTTCTCGACCCGTTTTTCCTTATTTAAAAAAAGCTAGGTTATTGGATTCAAAATGTTTCAGAAATTATCTTTTCAAGTATTTTATGTTATACATCATGTTTTGGAGGAATGAGCCATGAATTCAAGAGTCGTTGAAGTATAAACTGACTAAAATGATTCCATTGTTTTTTTGTTTTTTTCCTATCGTTATTTCTCGACTACCAAAAAGGAAACTTATCCAGTGATGTTCTTTCATGTTTTGTGAGTTGATTCCCATTCTTGTCGGGTCATGCTTAACTGGACATCCGATACCAGCAATTAGTGTCGGAATCAGAATAGACACTATTTGCTCGATGTGCTTCTCCATTCTTACACTCTCTATCCCCGCGTCCCAACTACCGTACTCCCGCCCCTTCTTGTATGTCAAAGAGTGGCTATTGCTTTCATTGCTCTTTCTTCACATTACCACTATTAATTGAAGCTCCACAAGCGATTGGTGGTTGTAAATAACTTTTAAACATGGATCAAAAATTTTTAATTTCTACTCTGTTACAAGACATATCTATATCACCGGTATGGTTAATATGTGTCATGTTCGCTTTATGTAATTATTCAGGAAACCAAAGAAACAACAGTTAAGTCTCCTTCTGAATCACCCATCCCAACCGGCAGTGAATGTTCCTTAAATGACTCTTCCGACGCTAATCCAGACCATAAAATAGATTCAACAAGTTTGTTAAAATTCTATTAATCTGTTAATGTATGGTTTTTTTTCAAAAACAATAGATGGAACTGCAGACTTCAATCCATGGGCGTATGTCAGCCAGCAGATAGCTGCACAGCTAACACAACCAGGAATAAACCGACCCGGGGTTCCTGGACAAGTACCAATCTTAAACAGTAAGTGATGGTACATTGAAACCGGTCCCAAATGTTTCTGAACGAGGCGTTTTGGAAGTAATGGAAAATTAGATTTTTAGTTACTATGTACATCTTTGTTCTGAGAGTAATGTTTTTTTCATACTGAAAAGAATTTAATTTCGAAAACTGCGGAAAATTGTTGCTGCGAAACTTCTCGGAGTTTAGTCACCAGTTTAATAGTGTTTTTCATTAGATCCCGCTTACCGAAGTTCTACCACAACTTTCCAAATAGATAAATGAAATTTTCAAAACTATATTTGATTATGAAAATATCGGTGAGCTAGAAAATACTTCACTTTTGTTAAAGGTACTCTTTTGTTGCTACTCACTCCTTATTAACCTTGTCTGGTCAATTTCTTTGTTTCAAGTGACATCCATTTTCAAAACTACGATTTTATCAGGGCTTGCAGGAATATACAGAACTGAAACAATTAGCGATAATTTATAATTTCCTTGTTATTCTATTTTGTAATTGTTCATGAGGTTTAGACCTTTCTCAATGAGTATATATTACTATTGAAAACAAATACCTTACCTTGTTCTCATAAAGGGATTAGCAATCATAACTAACAATTGGATTATAGGTAGCTAATCAAATTAGTTGAGTAAACAGTCTGAGAGGATTTATCATGGGTGGATAACCCATGTTTCAGCAAATATTTTTTTTCTAGTTAGGGAAAAAAAATTATCGAAAAAATCAATCGGTGTTCGTTTTTGTTACAGTGAACGGCAGTCAACATATGGGAAATATGTGGGACCCGCGAATTTCCTGGCTTTATCCATATATGAACAAGTCTCCACAAAAAAGGAAAGGAGGGCAAATCAGGTAAATCTTTGTGAAAATTTTCATAGGTATTGAAAAAATAAATTTTCAGGTTTACCAATGAACAAACTGATGCTCTGGAACATAAGTTTGATAGTCACAAGTATTTGAGTCCCCAAGAACGGAAAAAACTTGCAAAGTCATTGAGTCTCAGTGAACGACAGGTAAATTTTTGTGTTTGTAATGATTAATAATATTATTTTGTTCTTTTTTACGAATGTTTCCCTCCAAAAATGAACTTTCGTTTTTGAAAGAAAAAATCACATGAAGTTTGCTTCAAGGATCTCCAGATCAAAACTGACAGCCCTCCGTCACTTCTCATCTCAAAATAACAATAATAAATCCATCAAAGTAGGAAAAAAAAGAAGCTGGAGCCAAGCGTCGTGCATTAACTGAAAGTGGCCATAAACCAAAGACGTAGAAAACGTAGAAAATCTAGTCCGTAGAAAATCTGGTCCAATACATGTTATTAAAAATATCCTCATTAGTGTCACTAATCTCTGACATTCTAGGTCAAGACCTGGTTCCAAAACAGACGTGCCAAATGGCGTCGTGTACGTAAGGATGGCGAAGATGAAGATGAGATGCCAAATGGAGCGTCAGCAAGAAGCCTCGGGCAGTTACAGTCTTCAAACCCCTATTTACATTGTTAACACACGAGATGTATTTTTCATATAATTGTCACAACCCAGCTTTCCTCTGAACATTGTCGCAATCAGCGTATTCAACAGTTGATCTTATCCTCAAGCAGATTTCAGTTATTTACTATCTATTTTATTTCCTCGTTGCTTTTTCATTCATAAAATAATAAAAAAGAAAATCTGACTTGTGTTATCTCTTGGTGGTTTACTTGACTCAAATCATTTTTTTTTAAATTTGAGATCAGAAGATTTGAAGTGACTACAATCAGAGAGGAAACGAATTCTAAAAGTAGATCAATTTAGATCAAATGATGTTTTCGTAGTTAAAAATGGAAATACATAACCAACTACAGAAAACAGGTGAAATATAAAGGAGCCCCATTAACTTCGAAATTTTATTGTGCCCAGGGCAACGTTATCCATTTTGTAAAAACTTATTCAGTTTTCTATTCTTGAGTTCTCACGAAATTGAGTAAATTCAAGTGTCCCCTACAAATATGTCATATTTCGTTGCTTCAGACATGCCTGTGTCATCTGATTGTTAGTTTGTTATGTACTTTTTTGACATTTACTGAATCCCTAATTATAATGCCGTCTTTGATCACCAAATATGTAAAAAAAAACAACAATGTGTGTTGTTGCCCGTTCTAATCAACAAACACGTTCATAAACTTTTCATTGAACTTCCCACAAAAAAAGTATAATCCAGTTAACGGGGGCTTCCAATTTCTAGAGGAATCGGATAATCGGTTAGAATGAGATTTAGAAGTGTGTCTTATTTCTTTCCGGTTGAGGGTGGAGGATTACGGCAGATCTAAAGACCAACAAAACGTGGATTGAAAATGCTGACAGATTTCGAAGTACACAAAAAAAAGTTTAATACTATTTTCATGTGTAAGGTACTTTTAATCTCGACGATTCCGCTTTCACCCCTCAAAAATTCCGATTCTTTGTTATTACATTCAGACTATGTTCAGATAATAGAGTGTTTACTATAAATTCGTTTTTCTTCAGAATTACGAAAATCCGCTGTCTTCTGGTAGTCGAACAAATGACTGTCAAAAAATTAAATTGTTGAGTTCTTTGAAAATGTATTTCAGAAAAGATTTAAGATAACTGACATATAACAATTTGTACTGTGCTTGACAAATGTCATACTCACCGGAGACAATATTGTTTTAAAACCACAATTTGTGAACCCTCAAAATATATTTTTTGTTCTTAAATTTTTTTCAGGTGAGACACAACACCTCTCAATTCTCTAGGACTTTGTAAAGTTTCAAAAAGTTTAATATGAAAGCAAACAGAGATTGTATAGAGAGAACAACCTTCTTCCTATCGAATTACCACAGTAGCAGAAGTAAATTTCCACCTTTCAAATCATCGATTGAGATTTTAATCGTCTCATTTATTTTCTCAACCATTATAGAAGTTCAAAAAAAACTTCACCTTTCCCCGTACTAGAATTGTTTTAATTCTCCAAGATTTCAATATTGTCCCGTATACTAGATTTATTTAGTAAAACACAAAGCAAAATTAGGTTGATATAAACTTTGATAAAGGGTGAATTATGAAAGACCCGACGTCCAAACTATCATAGCTTTTTAATTTTGCTTACCATTGTGGCAACGATCGGGCCTTCTTGAAAACAAGGATAAACCACGTTCTGAAAAATACTATTTTTGTTTTCTAGAGCGTCCCCCTTTGATTCATAAATTAGTCACCGCATTTTCTTTAAAAAAGGGCTCTTGGGCTGTCTAGGTGAATTCATTTGATTCTTGAGATTCTAGGAAAACCTTATTCACGAAAATTGCCTCTCAGACAACGGAGTGAAGAGAAATTTCCAGGCGGACGTCAGATCTATAGCAGCTATTCTTATGCTTTCCACTTGTCCTTAAGTTCGGAATCTGTAATTTAAGTTTCGTTTTTGTAGTTGTGTATGTTGACCTTTCCATCACAAATCAAAGTTTTTCGAAAACTGGTAGAGATTTTTGAATTCTCAAAGAGTTTCCACCAGTAAACTTTGTGAAATCAAAGAAGTCATGAAAACTTATGTGACAAAAAAATGGCCAAATGTTCGAGAGCCAGTGACGTACTTGTTCACGGTGCACATCGTTATTTCCCGGTGATAAAACTTAATATCCCATAATATTCAAGACCCTGGTGAGCACAAAACGCCCCACCTGAACCAAAAAGTCAGTTTCTATGTTCTTTCATTCGGTGAGATTTTATTTTTATCCTACCACGAGAGACTTATCAATGACTCCATGCGCAACAACTCGATGAAACGAGGTCTAAGAGCATTTTCCCTCCCGCGTGTTTTGTTTTTTGATCTGTTCTCTGAAACACCCTGAAGCAGAATGGGGAGTGAGAATCCATACCTCGTCAAATTGAAGCCCCTCCCACTTTTAATTTTTTTTCTTAGATTGAGGATTAAGCTATGTTCCGGAACTTCAAAACTCCGCCCATCACTATTTCACTCTTTCTTAAAACTGACAGCCCATAAAACGTTTTGACCTCTTCTAAAAGACATCGGAGGATGAAGGCATCTTTTTTCTTTTGTTGAGGAAGTGACGGCACGAAAAAAAGCTCGTAACCTTCTCTGAAAAGGGCGCCCATTTTTTTCATTACGATTCGGCCTTACATCCCACGAATCTTGTACATTTCCATTATTTCGCATTTCGTATCGTGAATTCAATTAAATTTTTTTCTGATATTCGTTCCAAAATTTAATCCTTTATCCAATCCAAATTTCAGTATAAAAATGAGTTAAAATCAAGAAAAATGTATTTCATATTTTCAAGCGTCACGTTTTTAGGTCCACCCACCATCTCTCAACCTCTTGAATTCAAACCAATGAATATTGTCTTTGACACTCCATTATTTTGAAGTTGACTCTCTGACTTTTCTGACTTCCTCCGCTCAAAAAGCATTGTGACGTATACCTCGTTTGGTTTTCTCGTTTTCAATCCGTTTCCACATTGACCCATTGCGTTGAACCTGGCACATCCCGGCCACACCTTCAAGCCTAAAGCATCCAGTGATCATACTTTCCATATTTGCATAGACGCTTCTTAGTTACTTATCCCCTTACTTTCAATGATTGATCCTATTATCATATTCAGAGAACCTTCCGAAATGAATTCCAAATGCGTCCTTGCCGTCCTGGTTCTGATTTCATTGCCACTCGGCACGCCAGCTATGAGTCTTGTAAGTAAAATCGCTAGTTTTCCGAAAACGATTGTGCTCAATTTTTATAGAAGCGTCACTACCGTAGGCCGGTTTGCGAGCCATCGCAATCGTGCTCGTACAGTTACCAGCAGTTCACTTTCGAACTCTGCGACTGTCCACAGGCCGAGTCTTGCCCAATGGGTAATGGAGTTCAATTAAAAGGAATCACTTATCAGGTAAGTCTAATTATTATAAATTTGAAAAACTGTGAATAATTTAGAAAAACTGAAAACACCACAAAAAAGTTTTTGACACTTGAGTTGTTTCTGAATCAAAATTTCAAAAGTTGTATGCTCCCACTTTCCACATCGTACTAATTGAATTAATCTATATGAGGGGGGTGCTCTCCTAAGATCAGACTTTGATCGTTAAAAAATTCTTTTCGTTTTGGTTTTCAGAGAATTGAAAAAAAAACACGAATACATAGTTTGTTTTTCTCAGAAATAAATAACACCAGGAACAATTATTTAGGGCAAAACTATAAAACATAAATAACTGGCGACGAGACAATCCGAAAAGCCGTGCTTATGAGTTTCAGTTCATTCTTATTTTGGGCGTCTTGAGCCGTGAAGTTTGAAAGGAAACGTCATTCTGGAAGAAGTTTTCTTTAGATAAGAAGTTTGCTTTCAACTCGGAATTTTCGTGATTTAAGCTCTTTTCCAAATCATTCATAAGTCGTCGTTGGGAAGTTAAATGAACAATAAGCTGATGTGTCACTAAGAAGTGAAGTTTTATAATTTCAGTTCTGTGGATCCCGAGAATTGCCAGTATGCGCTCCTCATGAAATCGCTGCTGAGATTAACAATTTGCAAACTTCGATCTACTGCGTTTGTCCATTCGAAAAAATATATGTTAAGCAGAAGGAATTGCCGATAAACAAAGTTAACGTGAAATACGTGTGTCAGGAAGTGAGTTTATTTTTTTGATACATCCAGCGCCACAAATCGTTGTGACAAATTTTTCGAAGACGAATTATGTCAAAAATTCTATACGACCCCGCGAGATATTCTGAATGTCTGATCTTTCATGACGAAATGAATACCAAAAATGAAAAAGATATTGTTAGGCTCAACCGGAAAATGAATGGGAATCGAGATCGGTGGCCACAAAGATGTCAATCACGTATTCTGTCACGTTAGGTATAGTGTACCGAGTGAAAAAAAAGCTTGATAAATTACACACTACTAATTTGACACTAACTCGTCTTTTGTTCCTTTGTGTTTATGTTTGCCTCATCTCGTTCGGTTTTGAAATTACATTAATAATTCCCGCGGATGTATTCTCATGACGAGTTTGGAATCCTTAACCCAGAGATGTTGTTGAAGATGAGAGGGATAATGAGCTTTCTTTTTATGAAATATTCTCATTCTTTCAGAAAGAAATGTGCGAGGCCGGACAGATATGCGGAGCTGGAAATCATATTGTTGGAATCAAGTAAGTAAGGGACAAAGAATCATAATGTAACAAGGCTCAAACTTCAGAATAACGCTTTGAGAAAGAAACATTTCAAAGATTATTGTCTTTTTTTTTAGGTCCTTCTGTCAATGCGTCGACAATCTCAAATGCCAAATCTCCATGCCAAACGTCTTCAATCCCCTCGTTATCCAGAACGCCACTTGTCAATCCGTCTAGGTGACCCCCCTTACCCATTTTTCGTGTCGTTTCAAAAACCACAGAAAACCATGTACACTGATAATGCTTATACCGCCTTAAATTCACCTGATTTCTTTACAAGATCTGCATAATTTGAAACGTGTTAACCATACTCACTTCTCTTATTCCGAACTAGTCACTCTCTAGCTAGTCCTATTCCTACTTTTCAGCTGTTAATCAATACTGTAAAAATTTCTGTAAGCACCTTGAACTGTTGTGTATTATTTTTGTACATATTTCAGTAGGACGCTTAATAGTGAGAGAATTTCAGAGTTTTCCCATCCTTGCCCAATACCTTTTGTATGTATTTTTCTATTCGCCTCGTCCTCGTTGACCCAAATTGGACGACATTTTCCTGTTTTTCAAAAGGCAGAAATTGATCATGAATCGAACAAAATAAAATTTTGTCAATCTGTGAATCTTCATAAAATTCCATAACACGAAAAGAAGCTAAGAACAGCCACGTAATAAGGAAGTCGTTATTTTATATTGCATCACATCATCAGAATGAGTGTTTTATCCGTATTTTCTGAAGAAGCTTTTACATTAAAAATCCAGCCCAGAGATCATCAGGAAGGTGTTTTCATAGTGTTTGTGGTTTGGATGAATACAGGAAAAACCAGTAAAAATTGAACATGTCGGTTTTCCGTATTCCCATGGTTTCAATCATACATGAGGGAACTTTTGGAAATTTTGTCAAAAATTTTTTCGCGACCATATATAAAAAAATTTTTGCGACCATCGTCCAAAAAAAAAGGTCGGCGTTTTTAAAATATTAAATTACAAAAACACTATCACTTCCAAACATGTTCCTCGAACCTGCCTTACAGCAAGCTAACGCTTTATCCACAACGCCACGACAGACTCTTTCACCTTTCCCTCTCAACGCATACACAACACTATCACAGTTGCGCACGCAAGAGAGGCAGGTGGTTGCCAGTTGCGGTGATCAAAATTGATAAATATGCTCGCGTTTTTCTCCTTTCGACTCACGCGCGCACTCAACGCGTTGACGGTGCAAGATGATGAGAACTGTATGACCGAGGCCGAATCGAGGTGGCAAATCGATTTCAAACGATTTAGAATAAAAAATGGATCAGGTTTGCAAAAAAATGCGAGCATATATCTCAATTTTGAACACCGAAACTGAGTTTCGGAAACTCTTTCAGTATCAGAAGACGATAAAAACTATTTTCTTGTCTCATCTGACCGCTGCCATCCGTATAGAGCTTATTAAAATTTATACAAAGTGAATAATACGTTTAAAAATTGAGGAAAATTTTTTGAAACAAATTTTGTGCATCTCATAACCTTGATTTTGAATTGTTTGAGACAAGTTTACATCTTTTCAAGCAGATCAGCCATTAAACCATTTTATTTCCACTTTTTGAAATATTTCGATTTTTTATTCACTTTTCGAGTTCTAACGCTTTCCACTACTCTACTAATCACTTTCAAAGCATAATGTTTGTGATTTCTTCCATTTTTATTGAAAAAAGAAAATTTGCGGCCGTTTTTCCGCCGCCGCGCCGCCGGCGTTCATTTTTCCCAGCCCTGGCCTCGGTTATAGTTTTTCATCATATTCTGTCGGGTTACTGTGGCTATTTCCGAAATTCAATTTCGGCGTTCAAAATTGATAAAAATGCTCGCTTTTTTGCAAACCTGATTCATTTTCAATTTTAAATCGGTTGCAATCACTTTGCAACCTCGATTCAGCCTTGGTCATGGAGCTTTTCGTCATCTTTTGATGGGTTACTGTACATTATATTTTCAGCGTATGAAGCAGTTCAACGTATGAATTTGATATTTCAACATGCATTTTTTTGGGAAATTTTATTTTCGACTTTATTTCCGAATTTGAGCTGTCAATTTCCAGCAATACCACTTTTTTAAAAAGTACATCATTGCATTTAACAGATTTGTCAAACTAATCAAGAATTCCAAAAAAAAATTTTCACTCAACGAAAATTCGCGACCAAAAATTTCCGAAATGTGTTCATGTATGATTTCAATTTTTTTATAGAACGATAATTACGCGGAACTGGCAGACACAAGAATGGGACAATTCATGATACTCTAAAACAATCCGAAACAAAAAACAAAATTTCGTGAGCATTTTTTTTTTTCAGACCATTATAAATAATAAATGTTTTAAAAATATGAAACAAATAATGATTAATGAGGCGCTCGAAATCGGCAAAAACTGTGCTTTTCATTGACTGAACTATTTCATTTGGAATAACTGTCGTTTTAACTTTTGTGTGATGTTTTCTTCAAATATTTAATTCTTCAAAAAATGCATTCCAGCAAATTTCAAAAATGAAACGAGAGGCGCCCGTTGACTAGTCGATTCGAGCCATGAAACCCGATGAAAACTTTCGCCATCGGGTATCCAGACGAGAGAAAAAGGGAGAGATACGCCCGTTGGCTTTACACAGGTTTCGTCTTAAGAGCATCCAAGAAAACGGGATGAGGCAAGAGATCACTGCGATCAGAGAGACTGAGACACTCTTGGCTCTCGGAGCACCACACTTCTGCCTCTATTCACAGGAAAAATCTCTCTCTGAGCTCTCTTCAACAATCCTCCTACTCTTTTATCTATTGTATTCGGAATTGTTTTTTTCCTTTTCGCTTTGTTACTGTATTTTTTTAAATTTCCATTGTTTTTATGTTACATTGTTTCTTCCTTGAAAAATCTGAGTTTTATTCAAAGTGTTGAATATTCTGACATATCGAGTAACACTAGGACTATTTTCTTCGGATATCAAACATGTCAAAGGAGAAGTACAGTCTCTTTTTTCAAACAATCAATTCATTTTTTTCTAACATACCATTTTGAAACATTTTCATCATGCGACTTTGGCATTCTTCATCAAAAAGCGGTATCCGAGTGAGCAAATTCTCTAAGCACCACTCGTATCCAATCTCAAACAGAAAAAAAAATCTTTTTTTCTATCTGTATATCTATCTGTACATCTCCCTTCAATCGGTGACTCTGTTTTCTTCTTTTATCAATGTTTTTTACTATATGCCAATTTGAAAGTATGCAGTTAATGTTGCATTTCAGAAGACTTGGATAATGAGTGAAAGTGAAGATGTGAATATAGGTTTGAGCTCAGAACACCATGGGAAATCGAAAGTAGACGATGCAGGGTTGGCTAACGGAATACCAGTAAGTTGTTAGATCAAACCTGTGGCATAAAATAAAAACCATCAGGGAAAATATTAAAAACATATTTTGAAAAAAGTATGATTCTTTAGATTTTCTTAGTTTCTCAGTTTGATTTTTTTTATATTGATGGAGAAAAAAAACCCAATGGTAGTTTCAATTCAGGAAAGTTGATTTTGCAACGCTAAAACAAATTTCATCATAACTTGAACCTTTATCCGAGTGAGAAGAAAAAAATCAGGCTCAGAAATTCATATATTCAGAAAATGTCTGGCACGTCATCAGCCTTGATCGAAGAAGGATTGTCCTTGTTAAACTTGAAATCCTCGCTGAGTCCAAACGTTCGACCAGTCAGTCCGGATTTATTGGAACGTGCTACTCCAAGTCCTGATTTCGGACTTTCTTCTCATACGTAAGTTGTTATTGACGTGTAGTGCAGATGGCGGAAAAGTTTTGTTGAGAAACGTTTGTGTGTGTCCGTGCGTACAACAAAAATAAGTTGTTACACTGACCCCGTGAAGTCGCTTAGCAAATGTTCATCAGAAGATTGTAAAGAAATAAACAGATGCAATGAAAAACTTTTTATTAATAGAATCTATATTCAGGCTTAGAAATTATATTGAGGTTAAGCTTAAAACGAGAATTCAGCGTTTATTTCTCTTCGATTCCTTTTTCGAATGATCTAAAGACTTTAATCAACCGTGCAAGCATTTTTTTACCAAAACTTTTGTGAAGTGCATTTGCTTTTCTCATTTTTCTTCATCTCCCGCAATCTCGAGAAAACATTTGAAGGAAGTTTTACAGAAACGCGAAAAAGTCACACGAGAAAGAGAAGGGAGTTAGAGGAGATGCGTGTGTGTGTGGGGATCCGAGTACTCATAGTAGGCAAACACTGTTAGCTTGAGAAATAGTTGACTTTTGCGTGGGCTGTTCCAAGATCTCTTCTTGCGCTTACTGTCCTCACAAACACTGCGGCAACAAAAATTGATTTGTTTCCTTGACGGAAGAAGTTTATTGGCGGAATTTTATAGGATGAACACTGAAATAAAAACATATGAAATACAAAAATGCCGTTTTTCAGACTTGCGAAAGTCAGAACTCCAAAGTTCAAGAGAATAGACTTTGATGACAGACTTGAAGATTTGAATCCAAACAAGCCGGCATGGAAATCATGGCAAGAAAACATCAAAGATTCTTACAACAAGGTGAATTCTAACAATTCGATGATACATTATGAAGATTGATAGAGGAAAATTTGAATTTTTCTACGTTTACTGTTACTCTAATTCTGTGACATTTATGTTTTCAGGCAAAAGTGAGTGCTGAGAAAAAACGCGAAGAAAATGAATTCATGGAGAACATGATGCTGGGACGACCACGTCCAATTCGTGGAGAGAGTCCATACAGAAACTTGTCTATGGAAACAGGATTCATTCCATCAGTCCGGTAAAAACCATACTTCTTTATTAAAAAAACACAAAACAATATTGAAGAGATGACAAACGCAAATCCAAGTATTTATTTGAAAATTTGAATAAAAGAAAAAAAAAGTGATTGAAACTTTTATGTAAATTGAAAAATGTTTTGAAAAAATTCACGTTGGCACGAACAAAATCCAATTCAATATTTTTAAACACTTTTAATTAGAATAGCTTCTTTCAGCAGCGATTCACCTAGAATTTATCGACTGTCTCTTTTATTTTTGAACTACTACCTTCTTAAATCAAAGAAAATTTTAATTGCTGAAAATATGAAATTAAATGACTGTTTGCCTTCTTTTCACGATTTTTTCATACCATTTCTTTTATTAGATCCCGTAGCAGTGTGATGGGTCCATCATTAGCTGATCGCTCTCGTTTGGCAACTTCTTCGTCATATTCAAACATGTTCAACGGTAAATTCGGCATTTTCATCTGTTTATTTAATACTTTATTCTTGCAAACAGCTGGATCTGGACCATATGCAGCGCCAGCTCTGAGCATTTCTCAAGGAATCGAATCGAGATATGAGGAAAGAGCAAACAATGTCGAGCTAATGTAAAGAATATAATTCAATCTTGCAAACTGTAAAACTATTTCTGAATTTTTAGGCTTCTTAAAACAGCATCACTACCGGAACGCTATAAAACTATCACAACTCGTGAGTTCCGAAAGGCCCCAGACCCGTCTGCCGGAAGCTATTCAGAGAAAGATGACTATGATTTTTCGGTATGTCATTAGATCTGCATTCAAAATTTTCAAAACCTTATTTAAGCATTACACAACCGCTCGTCCTTATTACTCTCGTCCAAATCGAGATGATCCAGACTATTTTGATTTTGATCTCCAACATTCTGTTGATATGTTTAAACGTCCAGAAGGAAAATACACGCCAAGAAGGTGAGAGTTTCTCTCAAACATTTAAATGAATTCTGAATTTCAGACCGCAAGAATGGGAGAACAAACTGATTTCTGAATCTGCTTCGAAAGGTACTGCACCACTTTCCGGACACATGTTCACAAAGGTATGGTTAATTCTATGAAAAATACATTAAAATTGTTTTTTTCTCAGCCTGATGTTGATTGGAGAAACAATGGAACTTCATATTTGAGCGCAGCTCTCCGTACCCCAAAATTCTGGGAACAAAGATTTGAGAACATTGGAAAACATGTTAGAGACAGCAACCCTATCAGTTTGGAGAGCATCAACAGGTTCGACGGCAGAATTTATTTTCTCTATGTTAACAAAAATTGAAATATTGAAAAAATCTTTGTTGCCTTTGATGTGTCGAATCTTTGGTCTGAGTCGGTGATTCGTTACTTTTCAATATGTTTTTGTTTTTGTCCTGTCCTATAATTCTGTTTCAGACGGATACGTACACTTCAAGATATCAGAGCGTAAGAACTAATTTTTTCTATGTTCGGTACTAACTTTATGTTTTACTAACCCTTCGAAAATTAGGCGTCAAATCGGACGTTGTCGGACAAAATATTTAAAAAAACTGATAGTGAGAGATGCCAAAATCTTGCCTAGGAAAATTTAAAGCATACTTGCAACGGGCCTTTTTCAGAATTTTCAAGGCCCGGATTTTCGGAAAAAAATTTTCTGTCTTTCAAAAATATTTTTGGGGTCAACAGAAAAAAATGGACGATTTTTCTAATAAGAAAAACATTTTTTCAAGATAAGAGTATTCATAAAAAATAGTTCTTTCACAAAAAAATTTGAAAAAATTTCTGAAATTTCAAAATTTCTTTTCAAATTTGGAGAACCCAGACCCGCTGGGCCGGGCCGAGGAGTCACGGGCCGGGTCCTGATTTTGCAAGTATGATTTAAAGTCTTACCTATCGTAATTAATCCTTCATGTTGTTTTTTTTTCTAACACATTATTTCAACAAAACATATTTGCACAATATCGAAAATTTCCAGAAACCGTCCAGTTACTAGCCGCTTCACCGATTATCAAGATCCAGATTACGACGATTATGAGGATCCGTTGGACGATTGAATTTTCAATGATTGAAAGCGAAGAACATGATTTGTTTTCTTCTCATCTTACATTGTCATGTTGTCTGCCCAAGACAACAATAATGTACGAATTTTTTTGTTTTTCTTTAGATTTTTTGAACTCAACTATAACCGCCAATTATCTACACCGGATACAAAAAAAACAAGTCTTTTTCTGTCTTTTTTCACTTCTAGCTTTCGTATACAAATAGTTAGTTTTTTTCAACTTTAAAATTGTGTTTCATATGTCCTAACATGCTGAAATTCAGAGCATTGATATTTCATGATTCATTTTTTCAGCTTTTGAATCTATCACCATGGAAATTTCAAAGCTAGCAATCCCCAATAACTCACAAAACTTTATACACCATTACAATTTTTGTCAGTGGACGTTACTCAACAAACGAGTACATCTCATATTATTCATATGCACACAAAATTAATCTTTGCTTCAAAAAACTTTAAAAATCCCCCATTTTAGTCGCGTGTATAGCATTGATTTTTCACAACAAACAATTATTTTCTAACATACACCCAATAAACCTTTTCCATGTCTTTTTTGACATATCAATGGTTCGTGCATATTCTCTTCTTTGTATTATAAATAAAAATTTTACTAGACATTTTGCTTTTAATTGTGGTTTCTTAAACGTGTCGTGAATTGAAATATTTTAGAAGTTTCATGTTTCGGGGGCGAGACGTTATATAACTTTAGCTAAACAATAAAAAAATGTATATTGTGACGTAGAAAACACATGTGATGTGATTTTATACGAAAGATGAGTTTATTTGTGCTGTTTTATTGTAATTTTTGTAGTTAAAAGAAAACGCTATATACAACTACTCAATTAGGAACAGGAAATTCATTTTTTATGGGCTGATATTATCTACCAGGAACTGAAACGTTGGTCAAACTCTCCTGATTGATCTCCAAAGCTCTGGCTTGCTTGAAAGTATGAGTTTTGTAAAAATCGCACAGAGAACCTGAACAAAAATCGAATGAGCTCATTTTTACTTTTCCACAAATCCCATGGTGGATTCTTGTCGTAACCTGAGTAGTTTGTAACTCATGACCTCTGCAAAAAACTTTAGGTTTTTCCAGTGTTTCAATTATTTTTTCAATTTATTTTTTGCCGTTGTTAGCTGATAGAATCTGTGTAATAGCATTAAGTTGACTGAGGCTGTCACAATGCGACAATCCCATTTGAAGTTCTGTTTCTTCCTAATCGTTTTGTGAAAAAAAGACACGTTTTGTTAAACTTTTTTTTGAGCAAACTGAATCTCAGCAAACCTCGTTTGAAAAAAATAGCAATTGTATAATTTGTAATATTGTTTATTCGTAAGCACGGTCTCCCCAGCTCTCGATATGAACTGCAAGCTTTTTCTCAGCGGAGCGCGGTTGCGCCCGGGGAAATTTTTTTTGGAAATTTTGTACTGAAAAACCGGATTTCAGTAAAAATTTTTCATTTTTCGACAATTTTTTTTTCCAATTTTCCGCCCATAAAAATTGTTTGACAGACTAAAACACACATTTTAAGTACAAAAGCAGTTAGTTCCGACAAAAAATGGGAGAGGAGATCGACTTTGAAGAATTTTTAAAAAAATCGCAGTATTTTTTCTCACCGCGAGAGATTTTAGCGGATAATAGCTTGAAACACTTAAAAATAGAGTCTTCACAATAATTCAACAAAATAAATTCTTAAAACACCGAACAATTTGAGAATTTTTCGGTTTTCGAAAAATGCTTTAAAGTCGATCTCCTCTCTCATTTTTTGTCGGAACTATCTGCTTTTGTACTTAAAATGTGTGTTTTGGCCTGTAAAACAATTCGTATGGACGAAAAATTGGAAAAATTGTCGAAAAATGAAAACATTTCCCTGAAAACCGGTTTTTCAGTACAACATTTTGCAAAAAAAATTCCCCCGGGCGCAACCGCGCTCCGCTGAGAAGAAATCTCGCAGTTCATATCGAGAGCTGGGGAGACTGTGGTAAGTTTGAAATATAGTAATCAACATAAGTTTTGAAAGTGATTACCTTAGTTTTCAGGTATGATAGATTCTGAATTTGAATCAATCAGTTTGTACCGCAGTTGCCTTTCTAAATACAAACTATTTTTCGATAATCACATTCATTCAAATTTTTTGTGTTGCTTCTCAGTTTTCAAGTCCAACCCTCATCCAAAATTGTTTTATTAACATTTCGCTGTTTTACCTCGTTTCTGTTCTAATATTTGATTTGGTGAGAGAATCGGCAGTACTGCAGAATGCAAACGTTTGTCATAGTCGCTGTGAACTTGAAAAAAAACTCGCGTAAGCGCGAAGTAGAGCGGGAGATGACGGAAGAACGAAGATTCAGAGTAGTTACATACAGAAAAACGAAAAGATAAAGATGGGAAACAGAGTGAAAGATAAAAGTGGATGTGCTTATCGGTTAAAAGTAGAAAGCTCTTGAAACCTACTTGAGGACGGTACGGTGGCGCAAGCCAAGGGGTGCTTACTTACTTACCATCAAGTACTTCTACCTCCTACCATTTCCTACCACTTGTCCATACCCATTTTTTCTCACTAAATCCTACTTGCAAAGAGTCACATTTAGTACCGTTCTCATTTTTCCTTTATTCACTTTCGAAAAAATCTCAGACTTCTACGAGTTTCGATTACCTTTCAGATTATCAAAACGTATATTATTAGCGTTCAGATCGAAATGCGGTTCCTCGCTGTTCTTTTAGTACCACTTGTTCTTGCCGAAATATGCCCCATGGAGAAGCACGCCATCTGCAACAGTGGACACTTGGCTTGCGTCTGCTCCGTCATTCAAGAAGATGTAAGAGCTTTTATCGAACTATTTTCCGATTGACCAAAACGTTTTCAGGAAGCCCCAGTTCCAGAAATCTCTTGCAACGCTCTCATTGCTAGAGACTTGGAGACTGGAAATTTCCCAGTTGTGTCTGTTGAGTTCAACTTGAAAAATTCTGCCGAAGCACTTGAAGATTTCCCAGAAGAAGCCTTTAGAGACAAAATATCGTCTTCACTCCGCGTTGATGAAGTGCAATTGTTTTTAAGAGAAAAATATTTTGGTTAATTTCAGGAAGATATCGTTATTCTCCGTGCCAGTTGCTTAGGAGAGGAAGACAGTATCACAATTCAATTTGTTATTCAGAAGAAGGTGAAGTCTTCAAAATGTTACTTCATCTTGTTAGCTTTTCATTCCAGGACACCAACTCGAGTGCGTTGCCATTTGCTATCGAAGATCTTATTGATGCCGAATCAATCACAACCAGAATGAAGGCCATGGGACACCTTGATCAGATTGCCAATCTTGATGTTGATACGATCGAATTCGTAAGTATCGGGGCAAAAACAGTTCAAAATATGACTTGAGCGTAGATAGAGACTGATATTTTTATTTACCTGTTCAGGCTTTTAAACGAATAGAGTAGGTTATGTTATCAAAATTTTGCGGCTCTTTTCGACTATAGCAGGACATTGCACCACTCATTCGGCTATTGTACCACTCATTTGCCATAAACAGCGCCAATTTTGCTGACTAGGTGTTAATCGAGGTTTCCTGTCGAACAAGTATTGCAATTTAATTTCCATTAAATTTCTTCGGAGTTTCACTTCAAAGATGTGATTCACTGCAAAATCATCTTCAAACTAAAAATGATGCACATTAGAAGAACGAAACTGCTTTATGGAGAATTTGACACGAGGCGATTGATTGTATTCACGAAAATTAGCTCAAATTAACGATATAGTTGTGTAAAATAATTGATTGTTCCTGTACAAAAAATTTTGAATTCCGCGGTTTTTAAAACTTAAAATTACTTGTATTACCTACCGAGAGGATTTTATGACGTCATTTTTAGTACGCTTGAAAATTAGGGTCTGAAAAAAACATTAACTGCTTGCTAAAATAATAACAAAGACCACGTGGCTAAGTGAAAATCATACTACCTGTTTGTACCTTTTGTTATTAGGAGAGTGTTCCTTGTTTTGGAGTCGATAGTGTAAATTCACGCAAGTAGCTGAATCACATGATGGTTGTTAACAGCTGGACAATTACACTGAGGAACAGAGAGTATGAGGAAGAAAAACACAATAGCACACAACTTTTATTTCTTAAAAAATGAGAAAAACTAAGTGAAGTTGGTTACAGCTGTGTTACAACATGTGAATATGAACCAAGCGAAAAAAAATCTATGAGAAAGGGACTAGTTTTCTTTTTAATGAACATTTCCACGGAAACATTTTTTACAGACTGAAGAGTTGGTCGATTTGGAATTCAACCCAAGCAACCTTGAGCTCATTTTCAAGGCTATCCTTCTCGGATTAACTTTTGGATTTTTCTTCTTCCTCGGTGTCTGGAAGTTGATGAAAAAGGGTTACGAATACACTGATGATCTTCAAAAGGCATAAATTTTAATATTCCTTGCATTTCACAATTTTCTTTCTTTTTTTCGATACGAATTATGTTTCCTTCCGCATTTTTCTGTTTGTCTCGACTCCCCGATTTCAAAGCTAATTCTTTCGAAAACTCTCTCGTTGTTTTTGTTTTTCTCCCTCTTTCTTCGCCCTCCAAAAAATGAATGTCATGTTATCGTTTTTATTTCAAGAGACCCAAAAACTAGAATGTCAGTGTGGACTATCAAAGGAATCGGTATGAACATTTCAATCACAGAATTTTAAAGAATTTGGCATCTCGAAAATTTTTGGGCGTAAATGTTAAATGCAGAAAAAAATGTACAAAATAAATTGAATATGTATTGTGTGAAACCTGTGATTTGAATGTGGTCGAGATCACTATACCGAAAATTGCATTTGCTGTCAACCTTGTGTAAAGTAGAAGACGAGGAAATTCTGGAAACGTTTTCATGATTCGAATTGTTTAAGTAATTATTAACTTCAAGTTAAAACGAATTCGTCATTTCATTGAAATTTAGGTAGGACTAGTCAAATTGAGCAAATTGATTTCGAAAGATGGCAGGAAAAGTTTAACGACAGCATTTTATTCATTTTTTCTTTTTCCCCTTCAAAAAGAAGATAGCTCAATTGCTCACGTTTTTTGTCTTGATGTTCTCCTCGCTTTGTTTTTCTCGGTTTGTTCTGCTTTTTCACCTTTGCGAGAAAACAGGCAAAATTTATATTTGCTTTTGGTCTACTAGCTCAGATGTCATTGAAAAACAATGAAGAATGCACTCACTCATCCAGACGAAGTACTCCGATTGTCAAGAGTTTTATCGCGTGACGATTTTCGAAACGTGTTGGTGATCCACTTGAGCACACCGCGCTTCTTTTTTGTGTCCTCTTCGTCGATATCTCCTGATTCTTCATCATTATCTTCCAAATTAGTGTTACTATTTGATTTTGAGCTACTTTTGGTAGTGGAAGCTCTCCCCGATATGACGCTCGACGATTCGCTATAAAAGTTATGCCTCAGATAGATGTATTCACTCGAAAGAAATTCAGTAGAAATTCCAGAACAGAACTAATCAGAAATGTTTGTTTCATTCAAATACATTTCAAAAAAATTCTCCTCATCCAAAATTACTCACCTCCGACTATGGCTAATAATTTTATGCGACGTGGGTTGCTCAGTCAATTCAACTCCTTCTTGGATCGCCGTAAGCGTAGATTTCCTCGACATCATCGACTTTGGCGGACTGCGTGGAGCACTTTTCGCGGCCGCCATCACTTGTTTGTTCCGACTAGTCGACGGCCGTTGTGAAATGTTTCCAGCAGAAACCACAGATCGTGGCTTGATTGGCACAAGCCTGTCAATGGTGCTCGCCGAGCTCTGAATTTGTTGGAAGTGGTCAAGAGATTGAGCACGACTTCGAACATTTTTCACCGGCACTTTATGGGTTGGGAACAACCGCATATCCTTGGTAATAATGGGGGCAAGCATATTTGATGTACGAAGCCAGGATTAGCGGGAAGAAGGAGGTCGAAATCCGAGAACTAAACAAGGTGAGTAGATTTTCGAAAAAAAAAAAATAGAAATAGAAGTATTGCAAATGACAAGGTTGAAAACGCTCCCGGAGGAAATGAGCAACAAGGAAAAGTTATTTCGAAAGACACTGAAAATGAGAGAGTGAACAACGAACACTCTAAACTTTGTTGTGGAATTGGAGAAGAAATAGAAAAAAAATAGGAGGGTGTTTTGGAAGAGGGAAAAGAAGAGGTGGTGGCGATCAAGGGTGAGACGACGAGAGCGCACACGACGACGGAGAAGAGGAGGAGAAGTCGACCACGAGACTGCAAGAGACCAGAGGACTCTTCTCTTCTTTCGTTTCAGAGGAGGCATGCCGACGAGACAATTCTGGCTCATGCCTACAAACACACATAGGCACATAGGCATAGGCACACTCCTTCTTGTTTTGCACATACATACACTCAGAGAGACGCTATTATTCTGAGCGGCCTCTTTATTTCTTATTAGCCTACATGACGGATAAATAACGTGCATGACAATCAAAATGAGCTAATGAGTAAAAACAAGTTGTTATCAAAATGAATAGCAAAAAGTTTCTGAACATATCTGTAAAAGGGACATGAGGAAAACTTTAAAATGGCGGAAATGACGTCAGGCGAATTTTGGGAATCATATCAACCTCTAAATGAAAGCACAATATGCGATTTACGTTCGGAACATTACCTTGTCTTTTTATATTTCAAATAGTTACATTAACACAAAATGAAAACACAGAACACATTTCAGAACTGTTTGATGTATTCTATCAACAAAAAAAATAAAACTGTTTTTATTGTACTACGTTGAGAACTAGTTGTTTAAAACCAGAATTTTCAATAAATTTCTGTTCAACCGTGACTTCGTAAGAATCTGTTTTGGAGCCAAATGCAAAAAATTATGCGACATTTAAAGATTATCGTGCGAAAACAAAAATTTTGAAAAAAAAACTGTTCATTATGATTATGTTTATGTTGCACTTCCCACTTGTTTCGTTCCATGATATGAGCAATTGAGATATTATGTGTGCGCAAAGAGTGTCAAAACAACAAAGCTTTAGGAAAAAGACTAATGAAAAAGTGCCGCACCTCCGGAGTTGTTTGTCCAAGACGCCTTTCTATAAAACTGAACCGTTATCGGCAAAATCCGTTTGAATTTCTTATTCGCACCATGATACACCGCTTGTTGTTTTGGTGCTTAAGTCTTGGCACTTTTTTCTTTATTCAAACTGTATATTCTAAAAAGATTAACTTCGACAAAGCTTACAAAAGTGTAATGTATGGTAAGAATGAAATAGTTCAGAAAAAGTAACATAATCATTTTTTAGCAAGTTTTCTGAAAGCCGAGTTCAACTATAGTTCATTTTTAAAAAGGGCGGATCATACTGCTGAGCGATACGTTCCGTTTCAAGATACCAGCAACGACACTTTTTTCAAAATAGGAATGTGAGTTTCGAAATAATGAAGAACTAGGGCGGTTGATTTTTTATAGCCTTCATAAAAGTCAATTAGAGAATTACACAAAAATCAGAATGGAGGATCAATTAGGATCGCTGAAAAATAAACCTTGGATGCCAGTAAACGAAATTCGAGAGGAATTTGCAAATTGTGCATTATTGAAGTTTGGCTCATTCAGCGAACATGATTTTAAGGTACACTGCAGGCCTGTGCGGCAACAAATTGCCGATTGCCGAAATTGCCGGAATTGCCGATTTTTTGTTGCCGATTTGCCGTTGCCAAATTGCCGTTGCCGATTTTGACAAAAAAATGTCGGCGATTTCGGCAACTGAATTTTTTTTTGAGTTTAGAGATTTTCACAGTTTTTTTAGTCAAAAAAATGATATTGAAGTTCGAAAAATCAAATTTTAAACACCATCATCCCTCAGAGTGAATTTTAGAAGAAATGTGTCTCAATAATCATCAAAAATACTTGCATCGGATCTTAAAATGAGCTTCAAATTTGTGAGCATAGGAGAAAAATAGATATCATGAGTCACAACTCATCAAAAAATTATCCAATCTGTCTCAAATCTCTAGGGTACGTGTGTCGTGAGTTGCCTAACAAGTTGAGCGCACTATTTTCAAAACTCACAATCGGAACAAATATTTTCAACCATTGGAATACCCTCTATTGCTAAAAAGAAATAATTTGCATAAAAAATGTGGCCTTGAGTTGCCAATTTTTGTAATTACTTTTTTAAGGAACTTATGAAACACATTTTCTGTAGTTCTGAGCCTGATAGAAGCATTTTCAGGCGAGTTACGTATTGATTTTACTAAAAAAGACGCCAAACTTTTATTGCCGAAAATTGCCGAAAGTTGCCGAAATTGCCGAAATTTTTTTTGGCAAATTGCCGAGTGGCCGAATTACCGAAAAAATTTTGTTGCCGCACAGGCCTGGTACACTGAGACGGTTTTTGGGTGTCCTATTCAGACACCCTCTATTTTTGACGTCATTCCACCTTCTAGATTTCGAATATTTTAGTATGACAAAGGAATGTACGGATGGATGAACATCATGAAATTTTCATGTGCTTTCGTCGATGATCAATTCTTGGTTTTTGCGATGGCGTTCACAAGAACTAGATTCCGTCTGAAACAAGTGATATTAAAAAGACAGAATACGTGAGCCGCTGTTCTTTCTCAGACTTAATAATTCGTTTTGTTCAGACACTGGGCAACATCTGGGCGTAGTCTGATAACAAGAGACGTTCAAAAAATAACAGAAGTATTCACAATCAGATTCGCACTTTTTGTTAATGAGAAAATAGAAGACGAGTTTCGTAAACATCAGGTTTCTTTGAAAAGTGTCGATGGTAAGTTTATCAATTAAAATTTCGATGTCAATCAGGGCTGGGATTGTACGTTTACGGTTTTTACGGATTTTATGGATTTCAAGGCATTTTAAGACAGCCGTAAAATTTTACGGACCTCCGTAAAATTATATCAGTGAAACCGTAAAACTTGCAAAAATTGACTGTTTCTGGCAAACAAAATTTTTTTTTGTCGAAATTTCGGATAAATACCGAAAAAATCGGCAAAAGCTAACTTGAAAAGCATAATGACCTAATAGCCGTGGGCTAAAAATCCTCGTCCCTATTAGTAACATTTAGACTCAAATCATTTTTAACGTCATTTTTTGGGAGTTTTGAGATTTTTTGGTGATACAAGTATGAAAACTTATAACTTCTGAATTATTGAATTGAAAGTTTGCGAAAAAACTTGAAATAGCGCTAAACTCGGGCTTAAAAAGAGGTTTTTATCGCTAAAAACATCCATTGCAAATGTTCCGATTTTTACGGATTTCACGGAATTTTACAAATTTTAATCCCGTAAATTTTACGTTTCCGTTAAAGAATCCTTTAAAAAATATTTTACGCCCAGCCCTGGTGTTAATGTGCTTTTTCAGGAAACCCAATGCTTCTCAAAAATGAGACCTTCGAGGAACTTGCAGTGGCTTATGGCCGTCTCCGAAAGCATATCAAACTGTCAGATAGCCGAGGGCACACATTTAGCACTCTGGCATTTGGTGTAATTTGAAAAGTCTCTCTTGTGTAGAAATTATGATTTTTTTCTAGATAAAGTCACGTATCATGATGACATCACCTAGCAATGCTCCACAAGCAGTGGAAGCAATTTCCGATGAGTTGAGTGATGCGCCTCTGAAAGTATTAGATACATGTCATAAAGATATATGTACATATGATCATATGGTAAGTTTGATAAACACAAATTTTATTGCTATTCAAACTTTTAGAAAAACGGCACTTTCAATCCAAAAACAGAAACTATCACATATGCCAAGGAGAACGCATTCATACATACTGTTCACCCAAGATACTCTGTAATTGCTTATCAAAAGTCAAAACCATATTTTACATTCGAAACTATGAAAAGGAAAACAGCAACAGGAATCATGTTAGTTTCAATCCCCTCTATACAGAATCAAAAACCAAAAAGTGTTTTTTTTTTTTAATTCGATGTTTCAGCGATATCAAGCAGAATTTGGACACTAAAGCCAAAAACCTCTGGTCTTCTCTTTTGGATCAACAATTCACATTAGCCATTCACGTCCACAACCAAGAATTATTCCCATTCGACAAGTTTTTCATGACTCTAGATCAGAGGGATTGAAAAAAACATCCAGTTTAGAAGATTTCTATGATGAACGGGAAAATATATTCATAATATTTAATTGTTGTTGTATTTTCAAATATTTATTGAACTTCTTTTGAAAAATAAATGAATATTGCTTATGGAATACATAAAGTACAAATACAAATCGAATTGCTTGGGAATGGTAATGGATTGATGAAAAAGTTTTTGTCAATGAGGTTGCATTCAGGTAAAGGATTTTGTAAACTTTCGAGTACATACTACTGATAAGAAGGAGATAGATAAAAAAACGTGCGAAATGTGCACGAAGAATAAATAAATTGGAACTTAAAAAGGGAAGAGATACATAAAAGGTCCGAGTTTAAAGAATTAGTGCTTATGCTAGGGAAACTGAATTAAGTATTGGTATATATCCATATGGGGGAAATTCTGGTTTGACTCGCAAAACGTGATGCTTTACAACTGAAAACAAACTAGAACAGTTTATCCCATACAAATGCATTTTTTACATAAAAAATGTTCCCTATATATTGAACCTATGCCTAGACATGGGTGGAATCAGCTTCAGTAGTGGAGTCCGCAGCATGACTAGCTGGCTCACTTGCAGCAGCTGCAGAAACCTCAACTGTTTCTGGTTTTGGCTGGTCTTCAGCATTGACAGTTTCGTTGTTCACAGCTTGCGCTTCAGATGAAGTATCTTGGACTTCGAATGAGGTAGCTTGAGCTTCAGATGACGTAGCTTGAGCCTCTGCCACGACAGGTTCAGACGACGTAGCAACTTGAGCCGCTGGAGTTGGTGAAGCCTTTTTTTCAGCAACAGTAGTAGCAGTAGTTGCAGCAGATGTTGCTGAAAAACAAATATCGTAGTTGTTGAAAATAAATTTCAAGGTTTTAAAATCGATTATTTTAGAAGTACATATCTAGTGAATAAAATGAAAACTTTCTATTGATAAACAGCTCAAAACTGGGATTTCTTACTGATTAGTTTTTTTTCTAAATTACTGCAAAGCTATGAGAATTTCTGATTTTCAGCCATAAACAAACCGACTGTACAGGTAATATGCGAACCACCGTTTACCGATGTTCCAACATTCTCGTGCAAATAAGGCGTATTTGACAAACTGAACTCTACGCTAATTAGATCAAATCTCATATATGACGGCTATCCACTGATAAAAATCCTTTCAAACAAAACGGACTCTTGTGGTTAGCTGATGACACCCACAGTTAAAAAACCCATTTTCATTTTTGCTCACAAGTTGCTGTTGCTTCTTCTTCATCCAATCCATCTTCTTCATCACTGGATTCGTCTTCCTCTGCATCTCGGCGACGATCGGCGCTGTCATCTCCTGTCTTCGCAACTGCCTCTCCTGGCTTTTCAGTATTTGCCGTTTCAGTGACCTTCACAGACTCATCCTTCTCAGCGTCTTCACCGTCGCTCTCTACCTGGTCAGCCTCGTCTCCTGAACCGTTATCCGATCCTTCTTCACCGGCGAAATTATCTTTTTCATCTGGGAATACTTTATTCCATTTGGCAGCAAATGCCTTACGAAATTTGATTGCCATATCAGACACTGGATCCCCGTCGTTATTATACGAGAGGCAATTGTTGATCATCTACAACTCAACCATCAAACAAATATTTTTAATACAATACTGCCTACCAGTTTGAAATCTTCCTTGAATTCTCCTGCATTATCATACTCTTCACCAACAATTTTCTTTTTCATAGTCGACATATCCATTGGCTTTTTGATAATCTCATGATAATCAGTGAGACCAAGAGCAACAGTGTCAACTGGAGTACGGAACGGGAACGTGTATCCCTGAAAAATGACAAGTAAGGAAAATATACAACATCACATCAACTCACGCTGTGGCTGCCTTTCTCGAATTCTTTAAGAAGTTTTAAGCACTTTTTTAACTCATCCTGTAGGTGGTCCGAGTCAACGTTTCCTTCGTCTTCAGAGTCCGAGGCAGCGGCTCTCTTCTTGCGTCCACGCTTTGCTGATGGTTGGCCGTCTTTTGCGGCACGTCCACGTCCTCCGCGACCACTTCCGCGACCACGTCCTCTACCGCCACGTGCGGAGCTTCCTTCTCCGGATGAGCTCTCGTCACTGGCTGTGGCACCGCCTCCACGTCCACGTCCACGGCCTCCACGTCCACGTCCACGACCACCACGTCCACGGCCGCTTGGTTTTTTTACGAAGTCATCCTGTAAATATCATTTGGTGAAATTAAGTTTTCCCTAATAGCTATCATTAGATACCACTCTGATTGAAAGAACGTAAACGTATAGAAAATTTTTTTCCGAAATATCATGAATTGTGCATGAATGTGAAATGAGTGTTCATGCAACATCATTAGATGCTTTTAAGCTTAAAAGCAGTGAAAAAGTGTTTTCTACGGTTTTAGTAATTATACCTCTTCGCCGTCGTCACTGTCGGGAGTCAGAGCACGTTTTGGAGCCGGTTGATTTGCACTGCGAGTTGTTGGCATTCCGTCTGGGAAGCTGTAAATCATCAGAAAATTAATATAAAAATACATTTAAAAAAACGGGTGGCGAATGATGAAAAATGGTAGAGCGAATTTTTCAAAAAAAAAACGGACGGTCTTCACATACACATTTCATCTATCAAAACGCGGAGGCTTTTATTGCTTCATTCGAACAATGTTCCGAAGAACTATGGAACAAAAAAAGAGATTGTAGAGACAGCAAGAAAGGGAGAAAGCAACACAGCACAAATTGCGAATGAATACGGGGGGTCCTCTCTTCCACAACACTAGGCAACCACCAAGAAGAACAGAAGGCAAAACACTGTTGAAAAATAGGAGAGTGAGAAGAAATGAGTGGTCCGAACCATGTGGTTGGTGTGTGTCCGAGCGGAGCTCTATGCTTAGCGTACGCAGTTGGCCAACCCGCACAGTTGGTCAGAGTCAGAGAAACGAGAGTCAACGAGGGTTAGAGACCATGTAGGCATAGAAGAAGGTTGACGGAGGGCAAGATAAGACGGAGAAGAAGAATACGGCAGGCCAGCATGCGAAGAAGGGCAACTTAGGAAAGGAAACAGTGGACAGCCGCGCTGTTCTGTGAGAGGACGTGTGTTGTAGGGGTTAGGGAGGAGAGGGGTCGCCGCCGTTTGCTGCCCCGTTTTTCGCCTTCAGCACCGTGGTTGCGTCCAATGTTCTTTTCCGTCTCCGCAATCCCTCTTCTATCTCGTCTTGTTTTCTCTTCTCTCTTCTTGCCATTTTGGCAATTTACTCATTCGCACTAGATAACATTTGAGATAGATCTCCTACCCTTTATTCCATGGGAAAGTAATTAGAATGTACGCACCTGCATTTCATGTCGGTTTGTCAAATGAAACCCCAAGGAATTTAGAAGATTGAGTGTCCTTTGGCACTCCGGTTAGAGAAAGAGAGAATATCATCAAAGATTAAAAAAGATTAAAATATAAAAAGTGTCGTACAAAAACGGAGAATGAAACACCGGAAAATTCGAAACCGGGAAAGCTGGAAGCAATTTTGATTATCACGGCGAAAAAAAAAGTATTTGTGCTACATATTATTCAAATTTTCGATGTGTTACTCTAGCAACAAAAAATCTAGAAAAATTGAGATATGCAGTTGTAAAAATACAACAAAGAGAATACATAGACATTTTATCAAAATGAACATAATTTTCTGAAAACTAATTTCACGCATTATTGAAAATAGGTCCAGCTGTATGAAATTGTTGGGTTGCTACCGGAAATTAATACGTTGGCCGGTTTGCCAATCATACATATTTTGGACAAATGAGAAAATAATGAATTCTTGGCAACTATATTAGTTCAAGTAGTAGTTTATCAAGATTGCTTTTCAAAATGGAAATGCAATAGGTATGTAGGGACAGCAGCACTTGAAGACTATAAAAACGGATAACAAACTATGGATTTAACACTTGATCATTGGAGCATCATTGAAATTTTCCAAAACAAGGTCATCCTTTAAGAACTATGAAATAAATTGTAGCAAATTTCGCTTATGTATGTTCTGAACATAACTACAGTTTGACTACAATCTGCACAACGTTCGGGCGTTCCCCTCTCTCTCTCTCTCCTGTCGTAAAGAAATTCGAATATTCCTATTTCTGACGTCAATTAGAAGATTAAGCCTGTCGTATGTTGGTCTTACGTGTAGCTTTTTTCCACTTCTGAATGTTTCAACTTCTTGATGTTTTGCTAGATAAGATGGAGTGACAGTTTCTAGAAAGTTGGACACTTTTTAGAATTAATTGTTCACTAATTTGTGAGGTCACCCGTGAAAGATTCAAAGAAATCGAAGACAATTTTTTTTTGAACAACGTGAAATTCAGTTTTAGATTTTTTCTTTTGGCACTTGATGTTTACTCATCATTCTCGATGAATAGAGAATGATGACAATACAAAGCTAAGCTCAGCTCAAGAGTCGTTTTGTCATCATTTGGTCAGAAACAGCTTTGTTGATCTTACCCCTGAGTGTTTTGTTATATAATTGAAAATTCTATAAACTTTGTCACCTGTTTCATTATGCAATCTCGAAATTTTCTTTTTTCATTATGCTAGAAAAATACCCTTTCTTTTTTACCCTTTGCAACGCAAATAAATGCCAAGTGGATGCTCTCTTTTTTCTGTTTTCTATTCCCGCAACTTTGTCTTTCTCGAAACATTTTTTCAAGTATGAGTAACCTCCGGTGGCCCAACAATATTATCAAAACGAATTTTTTGTGACAAGCTTGCGGAAAGTAGAGAGGGGCAAATTTTCATCCGCAGCAGTCATCTCTTGCTCTATCTATTTCTTGCACACTCTTCATTTTGCGTATTCATTCATTCGCCATTTTCTCACTCTTCAAATATTGAGCCAATCGGTTTTGTTGCCCAATAGTGAGCATTCGGAAATATGCTATATTAATTGTTAATTCTCGAAATTATAATGATCATTGCTTCTGATCAGTGTTGTCATTTATTGAAGCAAGAAAATATAATTTACATTTTGACAGGTTCTGTAATTAGGTTTTTGTTGGTGAGAATGTTATCACTCTCCCTTTGTTTTTCCATAAGCCGTTTGCTTCTGACAGCAAAAACTTTAAGGCTTTGAGAAATTGAGACTATTCAACAACTTTACTCCACGAATTTCTAATTTTGGGTTTGTAAAGAAATAATCATAGATTTTAATTTTTCAAAAAAATTTTTAAACAATTAGAAAGCAATTATACTTTTTGAATCTCCAGGCGTGTCTCTATCATACTTTTTTGCATATACATTTTAGTTTCTTGTTCTCAAAAGTTGCATCATTCATGAAAATGATTATTATCAGTGCTAAAAAAGGAAATGATATCAGAAAAGAATTTCGGAAATTTTACGAATACGTTTTTTGCAAAACAGAATCTTGTTTCGATATAACGTTGTTATTCTTTTTGAGGTCATTCTTGACGAAATTTGCAATTCTCCGGTCGACGCGGTAATCGGTGTGTTGCGGCGCTATTCAATTGGATACTCTCTTGCTTTATGATCAGATTTTGATGAAACGTTCGTCAAAATTCTGCGTTTCGCTATTGATTCATTTTTACATCACATTATACTTTGTATTTGTGAATGAATTGGCTAGACATTCATGCAAACACAAACATTAGAAATTGGTTCTTTAGTGGGAATTCTTTCTTCCCTTTCTTTTTTTTCTTTCAATTCTCGGTTTCTCCAAGTGCTGATCACACTTTTTTTTTCATCAAAAGCCTTGGTTCTTATTCTGCTCACAAACAACCAAAGCGAAATAAGATATTTGTCATCATTTTCTATCGCTGATGCCTCGTCAATATCACTTTTTTCACACCTCCCCCGCTTCTTCCAAAACGCTTATGTTTATGCTCGTAAAATGTTATGCATTCTGCACATTTTTCCACTTTTCTTTTCTTTCTAACATTAGGTTAATCTTTTTTGAAGCCTAACATAAACTTGATTCTAGTTGTAAAGTTTCCTTGTACTTTTTAGGACTTCTTTTACACTTTAGGACTTTCAAAGGTATTTAAAATGTGAGGGCAGTTTTGTACATGTGTATTTCGATAAAATAAGAAAACATTTTTAATCTTTTTAAATATTTGTTAATCTTTCTATGCTTCTTCTTTTTCTTCTTCATATTTTCAGTTCATTCAGTTAGAAGATACATGCTGTGAATGGAAGCATAACGAATGGCTCTTTTCTTTTGAGTTTTAGAGAACCAGTTGGTTTGCGGTCCTTCGGGGCTGAACCTCCTGGCCTCCGGTTACAGTACCCGTAATCTTATAAAAACGTTTCTACACGTTTATTCTGGACCTCAAAATTGGAAATTGTGAAATTCAGTGTATTAGGAATTAGAAATTTTAAGATACCGTATTTCCTCTGATAGAAGTTCATGGACTTCTATTTTTCAACTTCTTTTTCAGGGTGGACTTCCATTAGAGGGTCGGCTTCTGTTTTTCAGCAATATAGTTTCAAAAATTCAGAAATTTGGCAATTCGGAAGTTAAGAATTCTGAAACTCAGTGAAAAATTCGAAACCTTCATTCTGCACTTCTAAATTCCAAAATTCTGAATTTATGCGATTCTGAGATCCCGCGATCTCAAATTTTGAAATTCAGGAATCCTGAATTTCCGGGAAAAAGTTCTGAAATTCTAAAAATCAGAAATTCCGAAATTCCGAAATTTAGAAATTAGAAAGTTCAGGAATTGAGAAACTTTCGAGTTCTAAAATCTCAGTTTCAAAAATTCTGGAATTTTGAATTACCGTATTTTCTCTAGTTGAAGCTCATGGGCTTCTATGTATTAGAGGGCGGTCTTCTATTTTTCAAAACACTTTGCGTGTGGGTTTCTATGTATTAGAGGAAGTACAGTATTCCAAATTTACAGAACTTCTGTTGGAAATTCCGAAGTTCAAAAACTTCAATTTTGAAGACCTTGCCAAAGGTTTTTTGATTTCAAAATTCGGAGTCTAACTCTGAAATGAAAACTGTAAATAGAAAAGTCGGTTTACACTTTATAGGGGCTGAGCCTCTTTTATCGGAAATCTCGGAACTTAAAATTTTGAAGGGTATCAATAAACTGAAATTTTGGAAAGTTTTATATTTGAAAGTTCAGAAATATGCGAATCCGAAAGTTCTTTTTCAATTTTGAACCTCGAATGAAAATTTCAAAATTTCCGAGTTTTTGAAATCTTTTATTTTCGAACTCAGAATATCAAAAATTCATACATATTTGTTCAATTTTCAAGTTTCCGAGTTTTCAAATTTTCTAGCTTCTGGAGTTTTGAATATTTGAGTGTTTAATTTTCTGAACTTCGAGAAGTTGGTAAATTTAGGAAGTGTAAAGCCAGAGATTTGGATTCAAAACGTCCACAGTTTGAAACCTTTATTTCGAAAACATCAGTTCTTATCTGATTTTCAACTTCAGAGAGTTCCTATGTTGGAGATTTTGAGAGTTTTTATAGTTTGAAGTTCCTGTATTTCTCCCTTTATGATTTTCTCTGACGATCCGGAAATCTCGAAACTCAAGAAATTTGAATTAGAAGACTCAAAACTTGGAAATTTAAACACTCTAAAATTCTAAAGTTTAATATCGGTGAATGCAAGCTCTTAATCATTTTCGCCACTTTTACGAACCGCCGCCCATCTATTCAGGACTTTGGGATGTTGGAACTTGCCTCTGAAAAAAGAAAATGCAAAATTTACCGATTTATCTACCAAATTGTTACCCCAAGTTTACTGATAACACAAAAATTATTCAAATTTCTACTTTCGACTTGAAACTAATGAAACGGGGAAAATCTTTGCTAGGGTTTCATTCAAACTGAGTAAAAACAGTCACACTTGGGTTCAAGCCAATGGGTCAGAAATCGCGTCCCAGTAAACGTGAGATTTTATAAAAAATTCGCTGCTGAATTATGCGGCTGAGAATCAAACTTTTGAACGTTGCACGAAAAAATCACGCGTTGCAACTCGTTTATTAAACTAATTAAGTCAAATCCACGTCAACTTGGAAATTATTGAATTTTTTTTGGCCTAAAAGTTACTTAGGGGGCGTTTTTTGACCCGTTGGCTTAAACCCCAGTGCAGTCAGACATTTTCATATTCACTTCTGAACTCTCTACAAAAAACAAAAAAAGTTGTCACCGATCGGACTCGAACCCGCATAGCGAGGGCAAAAGCGGAGTGCGCTAACCAATACACTACTCGGTCACCACTGGAAGAGAGGGAGAAATGGCGTACACGTGTGTGGGATTTCCTCCCCCTTTTTCTCTCTCGCCCTCCACCATCGCCCTCTCTGCCCACCACGCTTTACTGTGGTGAAACAAAGGAACGCCTCCAGAAGACTTCAGAATCAAAATTTCGAAAATAGAAAGGGTCGGGCAAAAACTAATAAAAATTTCCTAATAAAAAAAATTGCCAGGTAAAAAACCAGGTTTTTTACCTAGCTGAATAACCCCATAAAAACTCTAATATTTTTGAAACAGTCAATTCTTATTTTTATGCTTCTTTTTCTTGTCTTGTCTTTATAACTTATCTTGAAGTTTCAAAAATCTTGGTTTCAGGTAACAAATGGAAAGTTGATAAGGAACGAAATCTTGATAAAATTACAAAAAATGCTGCCGCTTGTTCGTGAACTAGTGTGCGGAAGCGATAACGAGGTAAGTTTTATTATTTCATTGTTTTTGTTCACGTCGCACTTTCTGAAAATAATTTAGCTAACAGTTGTTTTTGTTTGAACATTAATGGGTGAAATTCTCATTTTTCAACAAAAAATTGGCAAATGGTGCTAAAATAGCAAAAATTAATATTGAAACAGATTTCTGCTTTAGATACGAAATTGTCATATTTTCAGCTTTTCGAAGGTGGATGGCGAAACAGTACCAACATTCCGCAAGTATCAAACTGCGGTCAACATACAGACTTCTCTTCAATACCGACTATATTTATTGCAATATTCTCAACGATAGTATTCTATCAACTCTACGAAAGCCGTAACGCACACTTACGAAGCTATTCACCGATATCTCTACGAATTGTAAGTGAAAAACGATCAGAAACAGAATATGAAAGTTATTGTCAATTCAAAAAAATCTCACAAGTGAACACGCAAAAAAAAACAAAAAACAAAGGGCGGAGACAATCCGCCTTTTTTTTGCAAAACGCACGCACAGTTTTCACGCACATTAGAAAATTGACGAATTTCTTTCAATTCGGAAAAAATTGAGTGAAAAAACATCAAAAAACCGTGGCAATAGAATTAGCGAAAAACTATGCGTGACTTTGCAAAAAAAAAGGGCGGATTGTCTCCGCCCCTTGTTTTTTTGTTTTTTTTTTGCGTGTTCACTGGTGCGATTTTTTTGAATTGACAATATTTCCAGATTTTTTGTTGCCTTCTTCTTATCGATCTCACTGCTACCGTCATTTATGATTTTTCACTCCGCTTCACCAACTCCTCAATCTACGATCCTATTCATCTCTACGGCGACATAGTGCAATATGCAGGATTTTCCTTGGTTCTTGTGTTGACAATTGCATGCCGGAATCGGGGAATCACTACATCCGGAGTCATCACCTTGTACTGGCTTCTTGTCGTGGTGTGTGGAGTTCCCGAGTTGAGATACTATTTAAGTGGATACAATGTTGACCCGTACAGAGCTGCACTGTACATCGTTTCATTCATTTTCTCATCCTTGGAGCTTTTCCTCTGCTGTTTCGCAGACACTACTTCTAACGGATATATTGGAGTGAGTGAACAAACCCCTGGGTTTTATTTAAATTCTGGTTTTAGAAGAATTCATGCCCTGAATACACTGCATCTTTCCTCAACCAACTGACATTTGAATGGTTCTCAGGGCTAGCATATCTTGGAAACAAGAAATCATTGGAAAAAGAAGATCTCTGGGATCTCAATGAACGTGACAAAGCTAAAAATCTGATACCTTCTTTTATGCAAAATTTGAAACCGGAAGTGGAGAGACATCGTAAAATGATTAAGAAAAATCCGGAAGCTATCGACCCCAAATTTCATCCATCGATATTATTCCCAATTTTCAAAACATACAAGTTTACTCTACTGGCCGGAGGTTGTTACAAATTAATGTTTGATTTGTTGCAATTTGTGGCACCGGAACTTTTGAGACAACTCATCAGCTTTATTGAAGACAAAAATCAACCAATGTGGATTGGTGTCTCAATTGCTCTTCTGATGTTCCTATCATCTCTGATTCAATCTATGATCCTTCATCAGTATTTCCATGAAATGTTCCGATTGGGTATGAACATCAGATCGGTTTTGACAAGTGCCGTATACTCAAAAACGCTGAACCTTTCCAATGAAGCAAAAAAAGGAAAAACAACTGGAGCAATTGTCAACTTGATGTCAGTAGATATCCAGAGAATTCAAGATATGACAACTTTTATCATGTTGTTCTGGTCGGCCCCGCTACAGGTAACTTATTTATCACTAAACATTTTTAATTCGCCTTTATTTTAGATTCTTCTCTCCCTCTACTTCTTGTGGAAACTGCTTGGTGCATCAGTTTTAGCTGGTTTCATCATCCTCATTCTCTTGATTCCGTTCAATTCTTGGATTTCGGTAAAGATGAGAAATTGTCAAATGGAACAAATGAAATATAAAGACGAGCGAATCAAAATGATGTCAGAGACACTGAACGGAATGAAGGTGCTCAAATTGTATTCTTGGGAGAAAAGTATGGAAAAAATGATTTTGGATGTTCGAGAGAAAGAAATTCGTGTTTTGAAAAAGTTGTCTTATCTCAACGCAGCAACAACTCTTTCCTGGGCCTGTGCTCCATTTTTGGTGAGTTTGCAGTCATCCGTTTTTCTCGAAGTCTACTCGTGTTTTAGGTTGCTGTGCTGACATTCGGTCTATACGTACTTTGGGATCCTGAGAACAATATCTTGACTCCTCAAATCACGTTTGTTGCATTGGCTCTGTTCAACATTTTGAGATTCCCGCTTGCTGTCTTCGCTATGGTTTTCAGTCAAGCTGTTCAATGTGCTGCAAGTAACACTCGTCTTCGAGAATTTTTCGCTGCTGAAGAAATGGCTCCGCAGTCGTCGATTGCATACGGCGGCACAGGTTGGTGTACTTACTTGAGCAAAGAAATGTTCAATACTACCAAAAAAAGATTTTTCAGAATCTGCTGTAAAAATTGACGATGGTGCATTTGCGTGGGGACCAAAAGAAGAGGATAAATCACTACACAACATCAGTTTTGATATTAAGCGGGGACAGCTTGTTGCCGTTATCGGAAGAGTGGGTTCAGGGAAATCGAGTTTACTTCATGCATTGCTTGGTAAGATTGATGTTAATCGAGATAGAAATTCGAAAAACATTTCTAGGCGAGATGAACAAACTGTCTGGCAGTGTTCAAGTCAATGGATCTGTTGCCTATGTTCCTCAACAAGCGTGGATTCAAAATTTGAGCTTGCGAAACAACATTCTATTCAATAAAACGTACGATGAGAAGCTGTATCGGAAAGTTATTGAAAGTTGTGCCCTGGTTCAAGATTTGGAAAGTCTTCCAGCTGAAGACCGTACTGAAATCGGAGAAAAAGTTCGTTTTTATTGTTGTCGGCCCTTGAAAAATAGGTTTTTAGGGAATTAACTTATCTGGTGGCCAAAAACAAAGAGTGTCTCTAGCAAGAGCAGTGTATCAAAACTCGGAAATTGTGTTGCTCGATGATCCACTATCCGCTGTTGACTCACATGTTGGAAAACACATTTTTGAAAATGTCATTTGTAAGTTCTCTCCGAAAAAGGAAAATTCATGTTTTGTTAAGCTTCTGCCACCGGATGCCTCGCAACAAAAACTCGTATTTTGGTTACTCATGGATTAACTTATTTGAAACATTGCGACAAAGTGATTGTGCTCAAAGATGGTACCATCAGTGAGATGGGAACCTATCAAGAACTGATGAACAGTAATGGAGCATTCGCGGAATTCTTGGAAGAATTTTTGTTGGAAGAATCGAAACATCGGGGTAGAAGCATCAGCTTTGGAGAGGATTGTTAGTTTTAGCTAACCAAAGAAAACTACATTGAACCAGTTCATTTCAGCTAAAGAAGTCGACGAGATTCTTCACGACCTGGACCAAGTCAGTCCTTCAATTCGTCAGAGAATTCAAAGCCAAATGAGTCAGGAAATTGACAGAGTTGACGAGAAAAATGCAGAGATCGTTTCAAATGGTCATCAGAGAAATGAATCAGCACATAGTCCCGCAGGCAAGAGCGACGAGAAAGAAGCACTCCTTGGACCAAAAACCAAAGAAAAGACACCAGAACCACCGAAACAGGCCAAAACCCAGTTAATTGAAAGAGAAGCAGTCGAAACTGGAAAAGTTAAATTTGAAATCTATATGTCTTATTTCCGCGCAATCGGTATGCTGATTGCACTGGTTTTCTTCTTGGTCTACGTTGCAAGTAGTGTACTAGGAGTGTTTAGTAACTTATATCTAGCCAGATGGTCTGATGATGCTAAACGGATTGCACTTGCTGGAAATGTGAGCGCTAGGGAAACATATGTCCGATTAGGAGTATACGCTATGCTGGGAATGGGTCAAGGTTTGTAGAACAGAAGTTAATCAAGGTCGATTCTATTTTTCAGCAATTTCTGTCTGTATGGCTTCTGTCATTATGGCTTTAGGAATGGTTCGCGCTAGTAGACTTCTTCACGGTGGCCTCTTGCACAATATGATGAGATCTCCCATGGCATTTTTCGATGTGACACCACTTGGACGAATCCTTAATAGATTCGGAAAGGTATTATCCCAATCTACAAAAACATCTAGACTTAAATAGTAAATCAGACTTACAGATCATCTACCTTCGTAGAGTCTCGCATACCATGAAATTTTCAAACTTTCAGTACTCAGAGTAAAAACTTTGCTTCAATACTTAAAGGGGGACTCCGGTCAATTCTTTTATTCCATCAAAATGTGTTTATTGTATGAAAATGTGTTAAAAGTTATCTATTTTCCGAATATTATTGCGAAAAAATTCGAAAAAAATCCGAAATCCCCGAAAAACGCCATTGAAAAGGAAAAAAATTCAAAAAAAGATGCCGCCGAGGGACGAGGATTTTCAGTGAGAAACCTAGGCCACGCGAGCGGCGCGACTTTCTTACCGGACAATTTTTCCGGATTTGTTTCGCTTTTATCTCCGACAGGTAAAAAACGTTAAAAAACACTGTCGGCCACTTGAAAATAATGCTCTCAGGCGCCGTGGCCTAGGCTTCTCACTGCGCGGGAATTCAAATCCTCGTCCCTCGGCGGCACCTTTTTTTGAATTTGTTTCCTTTTCAACAGCGTTTTTCGGGGGTTTCGGATTTCTTTTGAATTTTTTCGCAATAATATTCGGAAAATAGATAACTTTTAACACATTTTCATACAATAAAAATTTTTGGTCGGAGTCCTCCTTTAAAAACATTAGAAATATTTTTTCTCGAGTATCAGATGAATTGAACACTTCACCAGTTTTGAACGAAAAACCCTCGAAAACCTCACAAATTGCATAACATGCACGATTCAGTTATTTACACTTTTTACTCCACACACTCAATGATATTGTACAATGTTCAATCAAGTTTAATCCCTTTGTCGTTTATCTCTGTTCAGCAAGAATTCTTACTTATTAGGATCATTGAATATATTGGTGGTTGTGGTTTACATTAAGATAGTTTCGCAGGATATGGACGTGGTGGATGAGCGTTTACCGGACAACTTTGGCGATTTTTTGCTCACTTTCTCCGAGCTAGTCTCTTGTGTCGTTTTCACTACTTATGCTACACCGGTTTCGATTTTTGCAATAGCGTTCATTGCTGTTGGATGTCTTTTTATCCTGGTGATTCTTCATTTCTAGAATTTCTTAACTGTTGCATCCACGTTTTCACGACAAAGTTTGCCAAAAAAAAAACCAACAACTGACAGAGAAACGTGTTCTATAGATAAGAAACTGCAATTTACGAATTGTTGTTGTGAAATCATCAGTTCCGAAACTTAACGCTGTTCAGAATAATGATTAGTATATTGCAAATGATTAATAGTGTTTGCTGCACGTCTTCCGTTCTTTTCTGTCTTTTTGCCCGTTTCAAACGCTCTCTCTACCCCATCATGTCCTTGTGTTCCGTATAAAAACTGAGCAAAAAACGCTACCTTAAGATAACACACAATAACCCTTCTCGAAACTTGTATACGTTCTTTTTTCCCTCAGGACATTGAAGCTGTTGATCAAACGCTTCCACATTCGATTCGCGCAATGGTTATGACAATTTTCAATGTGATCTCGACAGTTGTCGTGATTATCTGGGCGACACCATGGGCTGGAATTGCATTTTTCGTTCTGGGCCTCATCTACTTTGTTGTCCTGGTACGATTGCTTTCATATTAACCGTCACTCCCAGCATGAAATCAAAGTTTTGAAAATTTTTATTGAAGTGTTTGATGTGTAGTGTGTGTGAAACTGATAAAATAAAAGTGTGAAAAGCATGGAGTTAGTATTTTATGGAGTTTTTCTCAGGATGTTGATGTCATCGACTCTCGATTGCCTGCTTGCATAATGACATTTGTTGGAGCAATTGTACAAGCTGTGACTATTTTTGCTGTGCCTATATATGCGACACCTGGCTCACTACTGATCATTGTTCCAACATTATATGGATATCTTCGACTTCTGGTTAGCATGAATCAGTTTTACACTTTAATTTAAAAATGCATGACATTCTGCCTTACAAAAAGTGCTTCAATTTGTCCATTTGTGTTCTTCATCAGATTTAAAGGGCAATTAAATGCGTAATAAACTGTTCTTCAGTTTGAAATCTGTTGTGTGGGTCCTAAACTAGTGGCTCCGTGTTTGTCTTTTTATTTCCCTATGTTCTTCTCAGGATGTGGATGGTGTCGACACGGAAATTCCTCGCTCAATGGCGATGTTCATACGGACGGCAGAGCAATCTATCGGAATTTTGGCGATCATCTTGTGGGCAACGCCGCTTGCAATATCTGTTTTATTGCCTTTGTTGGTTGTTTATATTGTTGTCCTGGTGCGTTATTGTTGTCTTCTGTTTTGTACTTCGGGTTGCGTGTCGCAGCTATTGCTTGTGGTTATTTATCTTTTATTGCATGTACCGGGTGTTCTAGAATATTTCAAAGACAAATAGTAGATCATTTCAGAGATTTTACGTAAGCACTTCGAGGCAACTGAAACGTTTGGAATCCGCTTCAAGATCTCCAATCTATTCTCATTTTCAAGTGAGTTAGAAGCAATGAATCTTTTAAAAAATTGAATTTTCAGGAGTCAATCCAAGGAGCATCTTCAATCCGTGCTTATGGAGTTGTCGACAAATTTGTCAAAGAGTCGCAGCATAAAGTTGATGAGAACCTGGCAACTTATTATCCAAGTATTGTGGCAAACAGGTATCATTTTTGAAAAATAGTTGATGTTAGCATTCTAATTTTTTAGGTGGTTGGCAGTTCGACTTGAAATGGTTGGCAATTTGATCGTCCTTTCTGCTGCCGGAGCTGCAGTTTACTTCCGCGACTCACCAGGGCTCTCGGCTGGACTTGTTGGATTATCGGTATCATATGCATTGAACGTGAGCAAAACAAAATTTCAACCATGAAACCAAATGAGCTTTATTCAGATCACTCAAACATTAAATTGGGCTGTTCGAATGACAAGTGAATTGGAAACCAACATTGTAGCTGTGGAAAGAATCAAAGAGTACACAATCACTCCAACGGAAGGAAACAATTCACTTGAATTAGCTGCTCCAACCTGGCCAGAAAAAGGGGACATTCTCATCAAAAATTTCAGTGTCAGATATCGTCCAGGACTAGAATTGGTGCTCCATGAAGTGTCAGCTCATGTTGCACCAAGTGAGAAAGTGGGAATTGTGGGTAGAACGGGCGCTGGTAAAAGCTCGTTGACTCTGGCTTTGTTCCGAATCATCGAGGCAGATGGCGGATGTATAGAAATTGATGGTGTGAATATAGCGGATTTGCAACTTGAGGTAGATTTGATTTTGCTTTTCTTCAGTTTCATCTCCAAATTTTAGCAATTACGCTCTCGACTCACAATTGTACCACAGGATCCTGTTTTGTTTTCGGGAACCTTACGAATGAATCTGGATCCATTTGATGCATTCAGTAAGAACACGATCAAGTATGAAATTCCAAAAAAATGTTGCAGACGATGACCAAATTTGGGAAGCGTTGAGAAACGCTCACTTGGAATCGTTTGTTAATTCTTTGCAACATGGGCTCAGCCACAAAATTTCAGAAGGGGGAGAAAATTTGAGGTGGGATAAATTTCAGTGTTGAATTTAGTGAAACATTCAACTTTCAGCGTTGGGCAGAGGCAGCTGATATGCCTTGCGCGTGCACTTCTCAGAAAAACCAAAGTGTTGGTATTGGACGAGGCAGCAGCAGCAGTTGATGTGGAAACTGATAGTCTGCTACAGAAAACTATTCGTGAACAATTCAAAGAATGCACAGTTCTCACAATTGCTCATCGTCTAAATACGGTTAGTTATGTACAGCTCTTTCAGTATTTCAATAGACAGCTCTAAATTCTCTCATATTTGTTCTCATAAACATATGACATATTAGAAATATAAGCACAAAAGATTTTTCAGGTTATGGACAGTGATCGCCTCTTAGTGTTGGACAAAGGACGTGTGGCAGAGTTCGACACTCCGAAGAGACTCCTTGCAAACCCGGATGGAATTTTCTATTCCATGGCCAAAGATGCTAACGTTTTATAATATTTTTACTCTGACTTTCACGAAAAAAAGCATAATGATTCCAAAGCCCTCCGTCATTTTTTCTCGTTTCTATGTTTTCTTTTCATATCGCAATTTTTTTGTCCCTTTCGTTTATATTTTCGTTTACCTTTTTATGCAAAAAATCAAATTAGTTACACTTGTTGAACTTAATAATAATAATCAAAACTAAATAAAATCGCATTTTTCTACAAATGGTTGACATGATCAAAAAATTTCCAATTTTTTGGTTCCAAGAAAAAAGTGACGGTTTTGTAACAGATTAGATAGGAAATTAAAACTCCACAGCGTTAGTGACAAAAAAGTTTTCACTGACTATTGAATAGAAAACTGATTAACCACAGAAACATTCCGAAAATGTTTGAGTCACATTTTTAGCATCCAAAATGGCAAAACTATTATTATTCGGTGTTCGCCTTTATAGCTTATTTCTAAGTAATTTCTAGGGAATAAGGTATGAAAAAAGGCGAACACCGAGTAATTTTCCATAGCTTATTTCCTATTTCACAGATTATTTATAGGTGAAAAAAATGATGATGTAAAAATATTTAGTGATAGTTTAGGAATGAATTGATTCAAAAAACATGAACGCAGTCGTCCTGAAAATAACGACGTTTCCGATTTTTGGCTAGAATTTTTTTGAGTTAATTTAATGTTAATTTTTATTTATTAGCTTTTAAAGCTGTTGATGCAGTTTTATCAGTTTTTTGTGTCAGTTTCATCATTCATTTCATTTTTAATAATTCTAAAATTTCCCGGATATCTGATTCTGTGCAAGCATCTGCTTTCATTTTTTTTAAATTTTTTTGTCTTATCCTGCACCTCTTCTTTGCAGAAAAACATGACTAACGGAAAGAACTGAATCAAAAGATCAAGTACAAATACCTGCTTTTATTCTTCATTTCGAAAACCTCCGAATTCAGGGTCAAACAAAACAACATCCATTATTTCGAAACATCGTTACAAAAACTCTTTTTGCATTGCGCAATCCGCTCGAGGAATTACGAAATCGCATATACCTCGTCCGCAAATACACACGTACTCACAAAGTATTCAGTGGAGGAAGGAGGCGGAGACGGCTGGTCACAAAATCACACAACACGCACACCTTTTCGCGCGCGCAGAGAAATGTAGTTTATGATTGTGTTAGACTTTTTTCTCACACATTGCAGATCTGCTATATAAATTGTTTGGATAAGGTTATTCCCGACTTTCTCGTGTCTTGTGTTGAAAATTTCAATGAGTTTTTCAGAAGTTTTCCGAGTTTTGTGAGCAGTGTGACGTTTTGAATAAGACAATATATAAAATATTCATATTCAAACGAAAACTGGTTTTTATTCGTTTTCCAGATGTCTTTGGCGTGTTAGATCTAGTTACAATAACTATTTTTTCTTTTTGGAATAACACTTGTTTTTCCGTTACATTGGTCATCCTAGAGGAAATATGAAGTTCTTTGAACTATTTGATATACGGATGATATGAACATTTTTCAAATAAAATCCACACCAGCTGTCTATTGTTGAACTTTTTGTTTTCCTAACCTCTGTCGCTTTGTTCCCATCTTCTCTCATTTCGTAATATGAGAATAACGCCACCATACGTTTTTCTAGTCAAAACAAAAATTATTCAGGTGACGAGGCGAATAAAACACGCGACGGGATTATAACCAAAACTGCAGCAACAGCTGCGCGACACCAATATCCATCAAGATGCTTCCGTTGGTTCGCGAGCTCGTTTGCGGGAGTGAATCCGAGGTGAGAGATTGCTCCTGTTTGATGGAATCCGTCTAAGGGTCAGAAAAAAATTAGAAAACTGACGAAAAGGTAAACTTAGAGTTAAGCAAATACAATATTTTTGTTGAGTTAGATGATTTTTTTTTTTGAGAACCACAAATCATAAAAATTGCATTAAAAATGAAAATGATTGAAAATGCTTCATAAATAACATAAAGCAAATAGTGTAAAAATATCCTGTTTCAGCTTCTCGAGCCGGGTTGGAAAAATCGGAGTCACCTTCCACATATCACTAGCTGCGGCCAGCATACCGATTTTTCAACTATACCCACTTTCTTTCTTTGCATATTCTCTCCAGTTTTGATCTACGCATTGCGTCACACGCATAATGCTAAACTCCAATCATTCTCGCCGGTCTCATTTCGAATTGTAGGTTTTTTGTTGTTGTTTCTTGTATCAACTATAATCTATTTTAGTTGCTTGGTGGTCTTCTTGTACTTGATCTCATTGCTACGATTATCTACAGTTTATATCTCTACCTAAACAAACCATCTGTGTTCGATGTTGTTCATCTATATGGCGATCTTGTGCAGTTTGGAGGTTGGCTGACCTTTATAAGACCTTTTAATTCCGAATTTCAGGCTTTTGTCTTGCACTTCTACTTACTGTAGCATGTAAAAATCGAGGATTGATAACATCAGGAGTTATAACTTTGTATTGGTTAATTGTGATTATTTGTGGTGCACCAGAGCTCCGGTATTATCTGAGTGGTTTCGTATATCATGAATATCCAGTTGACTTGTGCAAAGCTACGTTGTACATTATCTCTTATGGAATATCTTTTCTCGAATTGTTCCTCTGCTGTTTTGCTGATCGACCGACAAATCTGTACAAAAAGGTAAGGAAAATCAATTAAAAAACGCAAGTTTTAAACAAGTAATAGATATAACTTATGAACCTTCAGGAGAACTCTTGCCCGGAATATACCGCTTCGTTCATAAACCAACTCACATTCCAATGGTTCACAGAACTAGCTGTACTTGGCAATAAAAAATCACTGGAAAAAGAAGATCTGTGGGATTTGAATGAACGAGACAAAGCTGAAAATCTTATCCCATCTTTCCTAGGCAACCTCACACCTGGAATTGAGAATTATCGTCTGAGAATTAAAATGCACCCTGAAGAAGCAATACCAAAAAATCATCCATCAATTTTTGGGCCTCTTTTCAAAACCTACAAGTTCAGTTTGATTGCCGGAGCTACCTTCAAACTCATGTTCGACATGATTCAGTTTTTTGCACCACATCTTTTGAAACAATTGATCAAGTTTATTGAAGACAAAACGCAACCTCTATGGATCGGCGTATCAATTGTATGCATTATGTTCCTTTCATCGTTACTACAGTCAATGGTTGTTCATCAATACTATCATACTATGTTCCGACTGGGTATGCATGTGCGATCGGTACTGACCAGTGCAGTTTATGCAAAAGCTCTCAACCTGTCCAATGAAGCAAGAAAGGGCAAATCAACAGGAGAAATTGTAAATCTGATGTCGGTTGATATCCAAAAAATTCAAGATATGGCGCCGACAATGATGCTTTTTTGGTCTGCACCACTGCAAATTATTTTAGCCATTTTCTTCCTCTGGAGACTGCTTGGAGTAGCAGTTTTGGCTGGATTCTTTGGTTTGCTAGCGGTACTTCCACTAAATGGATTAATTGTCAGCCAAATGCGAAAAGGTCATGCAGAGCAAATGAAGTATAAAGATGAAAGAATAAAAATGATGTCAGAAATTCTGAACGGAATGAAAGTTTTGAAGCTTTACGCATGGGAGAAGAGTATGGAAAAAATGGTTTTGGAAATCCGAGAGAAAGAGTTGCGTGTATTACGAAAACTGTCCTATCTCAATGCTGGAATCATATTTTCCTTTGTGTGTGCCCCATTTTTGGTAAGTCACAGTTTGCATTTCATCAATCGTTTGAACCGCAAACAAATTTCAGGTCTCCATTGTTTCCTTTGTTGTCTACGTGCTGATAGATCCGGAAAACAACGTGCTAACACCAGAGATTTGTTTCGTTGCGCTTTCATTATTCGATATCTTAAAAATGCCATTAGCTTTGGTTGCGATGGTGTACGCAGAAGCCGTTCAGTGTGCAGTTGGTAATACTCGCTTGAAGGAATTTTTCGCAGCTGACGAAATGGATTCTCAATCTATCAGCTATGAAAAATCAGGTGAGTCTTGTCACTTATCAATTTCACGCAACAACCAGATGGTTCGTTTAGAATCGTCCATTGAAATAAAAAATGGCTACTTTTCCTGGAGTTCTACTGAAGATGCAACTCTTCATGACATCTCTTTAAATGTGAAGCGAGGACAGCTCGTCGCAATCGTTGGTCGGGTAGGCTCAGGAAAGTCTAGTTTGCTTCACGCGCTTCTGGGTAAGTAGATTTTGTGATTTTTTTTCAATATTCAAATTTGAATTTCAGGTGAAATGAATAAGATAGCTGGCCATGTCCATGTGAATGGATCTGTTGCATATGTTCCACAACAAGCATGGATCCAAAACATGAGCTTGCAAAATAATATTCTCTTCAACAAACCATATAACTCAAAAGATTATGACAGAGTTGTAAAAAACTGTGAATTGAAAGAAGACCTGGCAAATTTGCCTGCAGGCGATAGCACGGAAATCGGAGAGAAGGTGATTTTACGACCGAATTCTTTAGCTTATTTTTGATATTTTAGGGTATTAATTTATCAGGAGGTCAAAAACAAAGAGTGTCTCTTGCAAGAGCAGTGTATCAAAACTCGGAAATTGTGTTGCTCGATGATCCACTATCCGCTGTTGACTCACACGTCGGAAAACACATTTTTGAGAATGTCATTTGTACGTTTTTGCAAAAAATGTTTTTAAATATTAATTTGGATTTTTCAGCTTCTTCTACTGGATGCCTTGCAACACAAACTCGTATTTTTGTTACTCATGGATTAACTTATCTGAAACATTGCGACAAAGTGATTGTGCTCAAAGATGGTACTATCAGTGAGATGGGAACTTATCAGCAACTGATTAACAACAATGGAGCATTTTCGGAGTTCCTCGAGGAGTTTTTGATCAATGAATCAAGGGCGCGTGGAAGGGCTGTTAGTATCGGACAGGAGGGTATGTATTTTTTATTTTGGATAACGTTAAATTCTCCTTTTTTCAGATGGTGAAGTTGATGAAATTTTGAGAGATTTGGGACAAGTTAGTCCGGGAATTCTTCAACGGTTGGAAAGTCATTTGAGTCAAGAGTCCGAATCGGAAAGAAAGTCAGAAAGAGATTTTCGACTTGAGTTCTCCAGAGAGAACAGCAGAAAATCCGTCCTTTTGCATAGCCCCAGTAGCAAACACGAAGAAACAGAAGCACTTCTCGGATCACTGGCCAAAGAAAAACCTACTAAGGATGTTACCACACTAATTGAGAAAGAAACTGTAGAGACAGGAAACGTGAAGTTTGGAATATACCTTGCATATTTCCGGGCTATTGGAATCCCTCTCACTCTCTTGTTTTTCTTTGCCTATGTCGCTAGTAGCATTTTGGGAATTTTGAGTAACTTCTACTTGGCTAAGTTGTCAGACAAAGAGAAGGCTAACGCAGAGACTGGAAATGGAACCAGGAATGATGTCAAAATGCAGCTTGGGGTTTATGCCGCTCTAGGAATCGGGCAGTGTATGTTTTCTGAAAATCATTTCTGAAAAATGAAGCAAAATATTTCAGCATCGGTTGTTTGTGTTTCTTCAATCATTCTCACTTTCGGAATTGTCCGTGCCAGTAAACGCCTACACGCCGAACTGCTTGGGAACATTATGAAATCACCAATGGCATTTTTCGATGTTACTCCAATTGGTAGAATGCTGAATCGACTGGGAAAAGCAAGTTAATCTTTCATATAAGAAAGGGCTAATTTCAAAATTTTTTATTTTGTTTTATTAAGTCACAAAACGATGAAAAAAATGTTCGAAAAGCACAGAAAAATTCATAGTATTTCATCGAGCCTGTTAATTCTGTGAGCGTCTCGAATAAAACACAGATCAACGTCTTATTTCACTGAATGGTGGTTTTTCTGGTTCAATTTTTCAAATTATGGTTATGTTTAAGTCTTTTAGGTTGAAGGAATTAAGTTTAAACAAAAGTCTTCATCACAGATCTACGTCTGCTGTAAATCTGTGATTAGAAAAATGGATCAAGAAACAAAAGAAGGAGAGAAAAATGTAGAGAAAAATTTATGTATTGAAAGTATCACAGATTTAAAGCTGTTGTAAATCTGTGAGAGTGAAAAAGACGGAATAGAAAAAGAAGGAATGAAATTGATAGTGTGAAACTATTTGTGACCACTGGAATTTCTCAGATGACAGAGGGTTTGGAGTGAACTGATGGAGAGTGAGGTCCTATGAATCGGACACGTAGATTCTTGAATTATGTCTTGAAAGTATACAATGATGAAGCAAAATCGGAATACCTTCTGACACGAGCCCCCCACAATCCCTGAAAAAAGTTCCGAAGCTGGACGAAATTACGATTGCTCAAAAATTTTTTGTCAATTTCATTAATTGAAAACTCTCTTTTGATCCACACAGTGAACACGCGTGAAAAAAACACGTGGAGCTGGATTAAATTGACAAAAAATCTTTGAGCAATCGTAATTTCGTCCAGCTTCGGAACTTTTTTCAGTGATTGTGGGGAGCTCGTGTCAGAAGGTATTCCGATTTTGCTTCATCTATAAATTATTTTCAGAGCTTTGTATACTTTTAAGACATAATTCAAGAATCTACGTGTCCGATTCATAGGACCTCACTCTCCATCAGTTCACTAGAAACCCTTTGTCATCTGAGAAATTCCAGTGGTCACAAATAGTTTCACACTATCCATTTCATTCCTTCTTTTGCTATTCCGTTCTTTTTCCCTCTCACAGATTTACAACAGCTGTAAATCTGTGATACTTTAAATTAAAGGAGGGAAGACATCAAAAATTTTCAAATTTTCCATTTTTTCTCAAAATATGTATATCTAACGTATAGGTATGGCTGTCTACCTAAAAACCTGAAAAAGAACCTCGTTGCCGAAAAAATGCACCTTTTTCTTACCCCAATTTCTTCACCCACTTGCTGCAGCGGCGTTGCTTCATAACGCAAAACAACGCACTTGTCGTCTCTTACACGCGTAGTGTAGTGGGTCCGCTCTAGGTTAGCATTCAGAAGGTCACAAGTTCAATCCCCACTGGCTGTTTTACCTTTTTCTCCGCTTCTTTTTTTTTGAATTTAACTGTTTGAACTCGGAATTTTGAAAGGGCTGTCAGCGTGCCGCCAGAGCCTAGCTCCGAGATAACAAATGCTGATAAAAATAAAAAAAGAAATGCCATTTATTATGTTAACAAATAAATTATGCAAAAAAAAGAACAATTAATTTTTATAAAGAAGCCTAACAATTGAAAAATTCATGACATTATAAAAATGTTCCTGCCCAGTTGGTCGTCGCAAGGCGAAGGGAGCTGCTGAAGCGAAGTCGTTTCTGAAAATTCCACTTATGAAACATTCCGCATTTTTTTTGATTTCCGGAGTATTAATGAAACAAAAAATAAAAAAAGAAAGAAAGACGAAACGGCTATCGGAGAAAAAATATTCGTTTCGCATGCCTGTAGAAAACACTGCCCATTGGCAAAATAACCACTCGGTCGATCTTGAAATTCACGAAAAAAATATTTTATATGAGTTATACAATAAGTTAGAAAAAAAGGTTTTTAAAGGTGGGGGGACAGGAGATTTTTCGTAGTTTTTTTGTAGCTAGAGTATGCATTCTACCGTCACGGTGTACAACGCTTAATGTCACTCTGCGTACAGCTGTCGTCCTCGCCTTTATTTATGCAATCGGGCGTCCGCTTTCTCTTTGCCCGCGTGGCTCAGTCGGTAGCGGCGCCGCACCCTCAATCTTCGCCTTCACAAGTTCAACTCCTCGAGGGGCATCTTTGAACGGAATTTCGAGAACATTATTTTTTTCATGTCCCCCCACCTTTAATGTTTAAAAACTGAAAAAGTTGAAGTCTGAAAACAAAAATAAAAAACTTTGCGCGTGGGATTGTGCGCTTCAAGTGTGAACACCGCGACGGCAAAATACACGTTCCCTGAAATTTTCCCCGAAATTTTTGCTGTCTGGCCCCCTTTAATAAATTTTTATCTTCACGTGAATTTCTTCTTTTGTTTCTTGATCAATTTTCTAATCACAGATTTACAGCAGATGTAAATCCGTGATCAGGAAGGAGAATGAAAAACAAGCGGCTCATAATTGTTCTTAATAATGAATGAATGATAGAACTCTGGTTTTTTGCATCTTTTTTCACAGAATATTATGGGTTTTGAAATGTGCCATTTTATTCTGTACCTCTTTTATTTTAATACCGAAAGATGTGTTTCTTTGGACAAAATAAAAAAATTTTGAAATTAGCCCTTTCTTATATTCATAATGAAACTAAAAGAATTTCAGGATATCGAAGCGATTGATCGCACATTACCTGACGTTCTCCGTCATATGGTTATGACCGTCTTCAGCGTTATCTCTACTCTCGTCGTCATTATGTGGACCACTCCATGGGCTGGATTAATATTTGCGTTCTTGGCAGTCGTATACTACCTCATCCTAGTGCGTTTTAAAAATCAAGAATTTTTCTGAGATTTATTAATTTTCAGAGGTTTTACATCAGTACGTCGCGACAACTAAAACGTCTGGAATCTGCATCACGGTCACCGATATATTCACATTTCCAAGTAATGAAAAATAATATGAAATACAAAAAATTTATTGATTTCCAGGAATCTATACAAGGCGCATCTTCAATCCGCGCTTTTGGAGTTGTGGATCAATTCATTGAGCAGTCACAACAAAGAGTTGATGACTATTTGGTGGCGTACTATCCCAGTGTAGTGGCTAACAGGTGGCTTGCTGTCCGGCTCGAAATGGTTGGAAATTTGATTGTTCTTTCTGCGGCTGGCGCGGCAGTCTACTTCCGTGACTCTCCAGGACTTTCTGCTGGACTTGTTGGTTTGTCGGTTTCCATGGCTTTGAACGTAAGTTTTTAGTAATTTCAGGCACACGCATGATTTTTTTTTTCTAGATTACTCAAACTCTCAACTGGGCTGTCCGAATGACGAGCGAACTGGAAACCAACATTGTTGCCGTAGAGAGAATTAAAGAGTACACTATTACTCCAACTGAGGGAAACAATTCCAAAGCTCTTGGTTCTCCAAACTGGCCAGAAAGAGGAGAGATTTCTATCAAAAACTTCAGCATCAGATACCGTCCAGGTTTGGAATTAGTGCTGCATGGGGTGACTGCTCATGTGGAACCAAGTGAGAAAATTGGAATCGTGGGTCGAACAGGAGCAGGAAAAAGTTCGCTAACATTAGCGTTGTTTCGAATTATTGAAGCCGATGGTGGATGTATTGAAATTGATGGAACAAATATCGCTAACTTACAATTAGAGGTAAACGAAGAATCAAATTCCATCATCATTTTTTGTTTCAGCAACTTCGGTCACGTTTAACAATCGTGCCTCAAGACCCAGTTCTGTTTTCTGGTACCATGCGCATGAACTTGGATCCGTTCTCGGCATATAGTAAGATTTTTTTTTTTCGACACTGACGACCATTTTTAGGTGATTCTCAAGTGTGGGAAGCACTACGAAATGCGCACTTAGAGGATTTTGTGTCATCGTTAGACGACAAACTCCAACATCACATTTCTGAAGGAGGAGAAAATCTGAGGTAACGAAAATTCTAAATCTACGTTAACCTATGATGTATTGTAATTCAGTGTTGGTCAACGACAACTTATTTGTTTGGCTCGTGCTCTTTTGAGAAAAACAAAAGTTCTTGTTCTGGATGAAGCCGCCGCTGCAGTCGACGTCGAGACTGATAGTCTTATCCAAAAAACGATACGAGAGCAGTTCAAAGAATGTACAGTGCTGACTATTGCTCATCGTTTGAATACTGTTTTGGATAGTGACCGTTTGCTTGTTCTGGACAAAGGACGCGTCGCAGAATTCGACACTCCTAAAAACCTCCTCGCAAACCAGGAAGGAATATTCTACTCGATGGCAAAGGATGCAAATGTTGTTTAAAATATGTTCTTTATAATTGTCATTTCCAGAACATACTCCGACAAGAATTAAATTTCCTACCGCAGACCAGCGGCAGGAGCTTTCCTTTTTAACACAGGGTCTTAACCCGCCGGCAGGCATGCCGGCGGGTTAAGGCACGTTGTTTAAAAAAAGTTCCTGTCGCTGGTCTGCGACAGGAACTTCATTCTTGTCTGTGTAATCTTTTCGAGATAATTGTTGATTTTGTCATAATCACTTAATATTACAATCTTTATTTCTTGTGCATTATAATACAAATAATACATAATTGTTAAGAATATAAGTTATTCATTTTAATGTTCCCCTCTCATCATCCGTTTTTCTATTAAAGTTTCGTTGTTTTTCACGTCTTGAATATTTAGAAGACTATTGATTATTTTGAAAAACGGATTCGACTCAGTCTCCAGTGCAGAACATTGGTCTCCAGATCTGAAATAAAAACTCTGTCAGCTTTGAACATTAGGATATTTCTCAACCTGAACAATCCCACACAACATCCTCTCCAAAGAATATGGAATTCAGAGTTGTTGATAAGGAAGTTAGTACCATCTGGGCATGCTGAGAAATTGCAAGGTCGTTTTTCCTCTTTTCTTAAAAAAACCTGATATACTTCAATCCAAACTGATTCTCACTTACCGACAAGCCTGCTTTTTGCATTCTCTCTTTCTTAATCTGTGTCCACAACCACCACATTGTTGAGAGCATTCCCCATGCCATTCTGCCCATGAACCACAGCCGCATTCTAAAAAACGATTTTTGCAAATTTTAGAATGGAAATAACCTTACCTAAGACACTGTTAATAATATCAGGAGCTTGGGTAGATGGTAACACTCCAGCTAAAGGATTGACTGGTGGAAGTCTGTAGAACCATTGTTAGATGTCCTAATATTTAAAATAACTTACATGGTGGATAACTTTGGGAAGAACGTTGCAACCGTGCTAGCAGTTGTGATTTCAGTTTCTCCAGTCAAAAATGTCGGTTGCGTTGGGGAAGTGGTCGTTGTGGACTCCGTGGTAAATGTTGTCGTTGTTTCCGTTGTAGTTGTTGTAGGTGTTGGGGTAGTTGTTGGCACAGGAGTTAGAGGTTTTCTTGTGAAGAAGTGTTTCTTAGAGACTCTTCTGGGAAGGGTGGTTGTTGTTGTTGGAGGGAGGGTTGTCGTAGTTTCTGGCTCCGGCTCCTCTGTTATTTCAGACAACGGAGCCGTAGTTGGTGGCATTGGAGTGATAACCTAATAAAATTAACATAGAGAATGAACAAAATTCAAAATCTCACCCCTTCAGGTTCTCCAAGATTGGACCAGAACTTAGCTTTGAAGCCAGCCCCTGTAGATCTGTATCCTCTCATTATAATAATCATCTCATTTTTGAATGAGATGAATCGGTTTTTGGGCAAGAGAGAACAACAGAATCTAGCTCCGGTGAGACGTTTGTCACTATGATATTTGACTTCTACATATGCTTTGTCACATGTGTCTTCACAAAGAAAATCAAAGTCGCCCTCAAACTCCATGAAAACTCGTCCTTCTGAAAACATTTGCAATTATACTAAGAGCTGTGCAACAATTACCGATTGGGGCAGCAATGATCCAATTACATTCTGTGTTGAGTGGAAATTTGTCAGGATAGTTTGGGCTTGTGATGTACTTTACTTCCTTTGTGGCCTAAAATTCAAAAATGGACAAGCAAAAAAATTGTAAAGAACAAACGAACAAAAATGACTCCTCCACATTGTCCGTTTGATGGATACACTTGCTCACAGAATTTTCCTGATAATCCTTCCGGGCAAGCACAAGTAGAGCAGTTGTTAGGATGTGGGTATCCGTTTCGCAGACAGGGCAAGTCTGGGCAATGTTCTGTGCAGTCATATGCCATATTGATCTGAATATTTAGTATTTCTTTGAAATTGCTTTTTTCAATCTCACTGCTTGATAGTCCAAAAAAGACGGGCCAGCTCTTTGACCAATTGTTGACTGTTGAATTCTTTCTAATGTTCTGATAGTTGGAGTATATGGATCAGATGCAAACCCATACGCACCATAATGCATCACACTTCCTGAAAACAAAAGTTCTTGGATTATTGTGAACGTACAAAACCGAACCTGTATCGTATGGGAGGTTGTATGTTTCCGCGTGGTTTTCTCCGACAGCTTGGAAGTTATTCCATCGAGATAATGGAATATTGTTGTAGTTTATAGCAATATGTCGTTCCTGAAAATTTCGAAGTTAATTTTGGAGACAAAAATACTCACCTGGTCGGGTCTAGCCTGTTCATGAAATATTCCCAGCGAGTGGCCTATTTCGTGACTGATAATCCCAATAACATCACATCCGGGAGTTGAAATTGAAATTCCCTGCAACGAAACATAGAACTTCTACCAATTTAATCCAGTTTCATAAACCCCAAAAAGTAAATAAGAAAATATAACTTACTTGAGTTCCTCCAACCCTCCCGACAAACGATGAGCAACCACCACCATCAAAGAATTCTAATCTGTCTACGTTTGGACCGCCCTCCTCAAATCTGATGCACGTATGTTGTTGCCATAGAAGCATGGCACTCCTAAAAAATGTTTGTTTTTTACAAGGGAGAGTTTTTTTCATTTACCGTATTTTCTGCCTGGTTTGAAATGGTATGCTTTCTGCATAATCAAAACTTATCGGTCCACCACGTGAATCCCATTTTTTGTATAGGGGGTTTCTTCCAATCTAAAATAACATAATGCTCACACGGATCAGTTGCCACGAATCCCGCATACCTTTCTTTTCTCTCGTTTGCCCTCCACAAACTGATCCTCAATTATTTTAACTTGTTGTTCTGACAAATCAACGTCGCCTTGAAAATACTCGTCAGCATTATTCACAGCCAATTCATCCTGTAGGCATATGAAAAAAACTGGTCTTAATGTGTGTCAAGGTGTGGTTGCATATGGAAAGGTGACGATTTTTTCGTTCGGATTAGATTACGGTTTTGAGATTTGAAAGCCGCAAACAAAAAAAGTTGAAAGCCGCAAACGATTATTTACAGAATTAACAGATGACATTAATTTTATCACTTAACAAGTTTTTGGTAATTTTTACAGAAATCAAGATATCTGAGCTCGCAGTAATGTTGGCGTTCTATTAGAATATTTGACGGTAATTCTGATTAGAAGTTTTTTATCCTAAAAATTGGTCTTGTTTTGATAAAACTTACATGATGTGTTCCTGCGTTTGGATTTCTCCGGATGTTGTCAAAAACGTCAACTGAGTCACTTTGAATTAATGCATTGTTTCTAAAATCGAAAATGAAATAATACAGTTCCAGTTTTTCTGAAGTTTGAAGTTAACTTACAAATCGCATCTCAAAAATCATCAGAACTCACCTTTCAGCTTCCGAGTTCAAAAGCTGCTTAACTCTCGCTAAATGTTTTTTGGATGCCTTCTGGACTCGCGTTGCCGAAACTAATGAAAAAAAAAGGCAACAAAAACAGGCGATAATAAGAACATGGCGACGGCTACGCATTGGAAAGAGAGAAAGCGCCAAGCGATGGCTTCTGCCGACCGGGGCCTCTCACAGACAGTAGTTGAGTGATTGGCTTTTCGTTTTTATTCCTCCCTCATCTCTTTCACATCTTCTCTCTATCTATTCTATCTATGCTGCTGCTTTTCTTATTCATTTTTTTTATCTTTTTTTTGTCTAACATGACTCACCCCTTTATTCTGAAGATGTCCTCCTTAGTTTAGCTGTAAATGTCTCAGGTTTTCTCTCGTCACTATTTCAGTGACACAGGTTTTTTCTCAAGGTTTTCTTTTGGTTTCACTTTGTAGTAACTAACTATTGTTCCTAATAGAGATGATTCAGAATGAAAGGTGTTTATCATTATGTTTTATTTATTTATTTATTTTATTTATTTATTTATTTCAAAGAAGGGGAGAAAACCACTAACACGTGAAATGTCTATGAAACTAGGAGATATAACAGGGACATACATTTGTAGTAATTGGGAGATGAAAGATAAACCGAGTTAGTAATTAGTTGAATTCAAGACAAGAAAATGTTTTAGATCACAGGATAATAGTCGATTTTTGAAAAAAGAGAAATTGAGAAGATATTTTTGTTGAGTTTTTGATAAGTGATTTGAGATAGTATTTGTGACGTCGCAATGATCCAGCATGATTAAATATTTCGAAAATTGGAACCTCCATGATAATTTCTTTGGAAACAATAATTTTATACGTGTAGACCAAATCATTATAGAGCCTGCGATACTCCAAGGAACTTAGCTGACATTCTTCCAATGCTTCAAAGTATGAAGTGTATGCCATCCTGAATTTTTTGAAAATTCTGAAAACAAATGACTTTTGCACCGATTCCAATTTTATAATATGATCCTTTAGGATTGGAGAAGTGACTATCGTTCCATATTCGAGTAAAGGGCGTGTGTAAATTGTATAGCATTTTATAAAAACACTCCACGATGCGTTTTTTAGAATGGAAAAGAACATGTTGATCCTCTGATGTGATTTCCGAATAATCAACGAATAATGATAATGGAAACTCAGGTTACTGGAAAAGTAGATCCCAAGATCACGGACATTTTCCACAGGGGGAATCAAAGCTTGATTTAATTTGGGATTCATAACATTGGAGTTGGCATATTTTCTTGTTGCATTGAATTTGATGTATTCGCACTTTTTAGGAGCCGCTTTCATTTTCCACTTCGAGCACCAATTCTCCAATTCAATTAAATCTGCATCAATCAATCTATCATTCGTATCATAAATTTTCAAGTCATCTGCAAACAGTAGATAGTCACTTTGAAATTTGTCCCCAATACAATTAATATATAACAAGAAGAGGGTAGGCCCAAGAACAGATCCCTGCGGGACTCCGGACAATACGCGCCTCTCCTTCGATAGTATATCATTGATTTTGACTTAAAATTTCCTGTCCGTGACAAATGAATGGAGCCAATTTCTTAGTTTGGGAGATATCCCAAAGGTTTCCAACTTATGAATCAATTTGTTTAGCGGCACTGTATCGAAGGCCCTCTGGAAATCAATATAGACGCTATGGGTATCTAACCCATTTAAAGAATTGAAAACAAGCTTGTTCTGGTAGGCGATCAGTTGGGAAATTGTACTTCTCTGATTAAGGAACCCGAATTGTTTTTCTGATAACAGATTATTTTCGGATAAGTATTGGACTAGATGTTTTCGTATCAACTTCTCCATAATCTTGCATATATTGGATGTTAAAGAGATTGGTCTATAATTTAAAGGATCGGAGCGGGAGCCTTTCTTATGGAGCGGCATAACAATCGCCTCCTTCCAAGATTTTGGTATTCTTCCAACTCGATAACTTTCTGTGAATATAATGCATAGTGGAATCGCAAGAGGAGTACACGCTCTTTTCAAAAATATTGACGGGATACTATCCGGAGAAGTATTATTTCGGCCTTTCAGTTTATATAGTAATAACTCGATATTCTCCGGCGTGAATATGACATCTGAGCTGAACTTAGAAATTAGATTCCCTGTAGCAGGAAGGATATCTTTGTCAATGTTGAAAAATTCACTGAAGCAATCTCCAAATATTTCGGCTTTTCCTTCATCACTCATGATAATATTCTCATTAGATTTATATCGAATTGCCGGTATATCACTGTTTCCTTTAAATTTCGATTTCATGAATCCGAAAAAATTTTTTGATCCAGAATTCAGACGTTTATAGATTCTTTCTTCTTCAGATTTTACGAGTGACCTTTTGAATAGTGCTGAAACATGTTTATACTCGTCCGAGTTACCTGCTTTCTTCCAAATCAATAATTTCTTCTTTAGTAATTGTTTGGTTTCTTTGGAATAAATTATATTATGAATTCGATGAGTTTCTGTTGGTACAAAAGATTCAATAAGCTCCAGAATAATTCCTCTCAAATCATCAAACATTTCATCAATTGACATTGTTGAAAATCGTAAATCCCAGTCGATATTTGATAGAATATAATTCATCGATCTAAAATCTCCTTTTTTGAAATTTTTCGTTGATTTGAGGGGTGAAATAGAATTAAGCAATATAAAGGTATCAATCTCAATCCTGCAATGGTCACTGAATTTCTCACCAACAATGACATCACGAATAATGTCCATGGAATTAGTGAACACCAGATCCAATATATTTGGTTGTTCGAGTCTTGTTGGATTTTGTACAAATTGCGTCAGGCCATTATAAAGCGAAAAGTCCAACAGTGACTGGCATTGAGAATCAGATGCTGTATATGAATTCCAATCAACATGGGCACAATTGAAATCTCCAGTGATAATAGATGGATTTTCAGTTGTATGTTAAGTGATTCTCGAAGGTCCTTAAAAAAGTGGTTGTGATTAGGATTGTAGCTTACAATTAATCTTGTAGTTTTGCCATGTATTTTGATATCCACAGATAGAATTTCAACGGATTCAAGATGTGTCGGAAGTGATACTACCGTATAATTGATAGGCTTCTTGATTAGTATGGCTAGACCTCCGCCATGTCTGTTTCGATCTTTCCGGATTACAGCATATTTTTCATCAAGAGATAGCAGGGAGTCAGGATAGTTTGAATCAATTTTAGTTTCCACTAAACAGAGAATATCGATGTTGGAATTAGAAGACCATAGATCGAGTTGGAGGACTTTGTTCTTAATTGAGCAGCTATTGGTGTAACCAATTTTTAGAAATTTTCTGGGATCGAGTGTTTTTTGGCCCATGGCCACGGCTCCTGATTTTCTCTGTAGACAACTTTGACGACTTCCAGATTGCGAACCGTATAAATGGTTTGACCTGCCTCGTTGTTCTTTTGGATCACCGTTTTCCAGGATTGTCGATATTTCTCGAGTTCTGGTTTGGAAAGGTCTGGGCGGGGAGACGCATTCAAGCACCCCTGTATTGAAGCTTTGATTGAGTTGAATTTGGTGAGGACAGTTCTTGCTTCCTCCTTGGACTTGAATGCCAGGCGCACAATGGGCGGCCCTTTGGCCGGATGAGGTATGCGAAAAACCGATGGCGTCGAAGTACCGCAGTCCTTGGCAATTTTGGAAACGAATTCAGCTTTCTCAATAGCTTCTTCCGAAAGGTCGATATTTTTGATGATCACATTCGATTTCCGTGCATCTTCAGAGTTAGCCAATGAGGCAGCTCGCATGAAAGTGATTTGGGATTCTGGAGCAGAGATGGTTGAGGCGACAGCTGAAGCAAAAGTTTTAATTAATGTAGTAGGAGTTTTGGTGATTCTTTAGGTTGAGATGATAACAATTTGAGATTCTCCTCCAAGCCATCAACTTTTTCCGTAAGATTCGACAAATTGGCATTTAGAATACAGTTTTGGTTTTTCAACATTGTGTTTTGAGATTGAAGCTTGAGAATCGTTTCAGCCAGCGACTTAAACATCATTGCAATATCATTCACAGTGAATTCTTCTTTCGATTTGAAATCATTTGACAGCAGATCATATAATGGGTTAGACATATCATCCACAGATTCAATTATATCATTTACAGCTTCCTTACTGGAATATTCAGACAATTTGGATTTCTTACCGCCATTTTCATCTTTCAAGGCCGAGAGAGCTTTTCTCTTATTTCGAGGTTTATGTTTAATAATAGTTACAACCATAGCGGCCAAAAAAAAAAAAAAAAAAAATCGATATCAGAGGAATAGAAGGGGTCACCGCACGCTACAGAGACGCGGGAGGGAATGTTCGTATACATTTCGAGGTCAATTTGAAGTTAATAATGTATATGTTTTCTGGAAATTATACAAAAGTAAAAACGTTTACTGTGACTCTTATTGTTTTCACATATTCAGCTCTTCAAGGAGTACTTCTCGTTAAAAAACTCATAATAACGTCTATTGTTTCGTTCATCCGAAGACAGCTGCAACCAGACGACGACAACACCATTCCATTATTACCCACTTCAGGATATTATGTGTGTACTTGGATGAGTCTGTTCCAACTCGTACAATAGGGTCATGCTCATTCCTTATTGAACACCTACTTCCCGATTGTTGCTTACATGTCGCGTGAAAAAGCTAACGCCAGAGAAAGATGCCGACAGAAATCGTGAGTTTTTGAAAGTTTTTCGAAACTAGTTATCAGATCTGAATATTGAGAGCTTACGGTTGATATGTTCCCATTTAAAAATTAATGAAATTCAAAAAAACTCGAAAACTATAGTATAACAGACTAATGAGAGATTATTCATTTAGAATTGGAAACGCATTCAACGTTTTGCGCAACCATCTTCCAAAACAATTAAGAGATCGTAAACCTTCAAAAGCTGAGACTTTGAAATCGGCGACGCAATATATTTTGCATTTGTTGCAAATACTCGACGCGGAATTGAACGGTGAATCAGGAAATATAATAAGTGGGTCTAGTTAAGCTCCAATTACACGAATCTTATCTTCACTTTCAGAACAACATGTTGCTAACAGCTTCACTGTTTCAACCAATAACGTTGGATATCAAAAAGGTGTTTGGAATCCCCCAGAATGTATGCACGCTTGTGACTCTCATCAACCTATGAACCGAATATTATAATTATTGAAAATTTGTGAAATTATTGGTCATGCATTGTTTGTTTCTAGTCCGCGTTCTGGACACCTGAAAGAATAAAACAGTAAAAGTACCTTCTTTTTTACAAGGTCTCAAAGGCATTTTTTGAAAAATCAAAAATTACATATTGTCGTTTGTTTTAGAGAGGGTACGATTTGCTTCTGGCCAACAAGCTCACACATGAGGGATTTTAGGAAATTTGAGGTTGCGAAAAATGTTTGAATTTTCAATTTCAATTAATTAACTCGCGACTTAGTGCGCTTAGGGTGAAAAAAGTACGAGAAACACAATGATAATAAAATGCTAGCTGAGAAATTTTTAGTTTTTGAAATATCCAGATCTCAATTTGAAAAAAACCCTAAATTCTCGAAAATCCCTCATATGTGAACACGTTACAAAAATAGTTCCAATTTTCTTTTTGCATAAATCATGTTTCTTGAGATGTTTTCCTTGAGGATGTTCATTGTTTTTTATTCTCATGGGCTAGGTCAACATTTTTAGAGGCGAATGTTTTAATAAGATGCTTTTGTTCAGCTGAATGAGATACAAATCAGCTAAATCAGATTCTTAATTTTGGTGATTTTCCATCAGATTAAAATCAATCGCGTGGTAGCCAACTTTCAGAACTTATTTTAAAAATTCTCTAATGGTTTTTTATCTGAAGATTTTCAATTCATATTTTATTATTGAAAATCATCATATTTCTTAGTTCACGTTTCTTAAATCGTTCCTTTCATTGTTTTTATACCATAAAATTGAGAGTTTCATCAGCTTCATAATTCAATAGAAACTTCCAACAACAAAAATGCTTTTTTGCCACATACAAACCGTTCTTTTTCCTGAATGCAAATATGAATACAAAAAAGACACGCACACAGTATCTTTTCATTGCTCCCATGTTTGATCGAAATGTACTCTATTTCTCTTTTTTTTACTTTCAAGTCTTCATTTGGCATTTCTTTATGCTAGTTGAGAGGTCGAAGAGGTAGTTTTTTTGATTCTTTTACATTTTTTTCATAAATACTCCGATCTCCTCTGATAGCACAATCCATGCTGGCTTTGACCTAGTTTCATAATTAGGGAAGTTTATTTCTCCAGTATTTGAAATATCTTATTTAAACTGTTCCCACAAAGGTTTTTTGGTGCTCAGTCTCTATTTCATCAGAATATCAAGTGCCAATGATTGTTTATGAATATTGAACTGCAATCGCGACTGTCAGAAAATTGTCATTGCTTTCTTTTTGTTTATATGAGTACTTCTCTGTTTTCTGACGAATTTCGATTTCAAAATTTCAGAATCTCGTCTCTCGGGCTTTTCTCACACAAAATTTTCATTTCATTCTTTTTTTCAGTTTTTCCTCAAATTTTCACAGTGCCGCTCTCGTGATGTATTCGATCGAATTTGTGAATCTCTGTCCAACACCAGAAAAAGATACGGGGAATCATAAAAATGGTTTCTTCCCCTTTTCTCCCGCTTCGCATTTCTTTTTTTTTTCACCACAACTCTCTGCGAGTTTCGCCGAAAACTGCTCCAAAGTATGCAATTGGAATTCGACAATTGGCTGAGCAGTATGGTACAATTGAAAAAAATGAAATACGGAGACTGTTTGTTAGAGGAGGACGAAGAGGTTAGTTGGCCAGAGTTTTAAAAGTTCTATATGACTTTCAGACCAAGGACACCTTCCGCATAATGTGGTACCTGGAAGACAAAAAAAGAGTTATCTCAAAAAGTAAATCAAAAATTTTGTCAAAAATGTACATATCAAAAAAAGAATCCAGGGATAATTTACACAGTTTTCTGTGAGCTCTCTCCCTTCGTCTTGTGAGTAATACGTTATGTTAGTTGGCTAGAGTTGGTTAGATTACGATTTGTTTTCGTGCTAACGTTTTTCTTATCAGATTTTTTTGATTCACGATGTTTTCTACCTTCTACAAATGATCAAAATTGCATTTCGGCCTATGTTTATCTATATTTTCAGATCATTCAATGTGGGACATGTACAATCTCATGGCCATCGAACACGTTCAGGAGCTGGGCCTTCATATAAAAAGTGAAATTTCAAAGTTGCTCAAAATCTTATCTAGATGATTTTTTTCAGCTCTCTCGTGCATTGCTCGCAAAGTGGTCATTGTTCGCGCTCGTATTTTTCAATGTCTTTGTATGGATGAGTACTGCACAAGAGACTATCAAATCTACGATCATCTAAATAACTAGTCCGCAGATATCACATTAGATATTCTCCTCCTTCATCGTTACAAAGATAGACTGTTGTTCCGTCAATGCGAGACACACGTTCTTATCTGGATTGCTTCCAAGATGGACAACCCTCCTAAAATTTGTTGAAATTTTAATGTTTATTGTTGAGTGATAAATTTTGAACTTTTGAGATATTTTCGATGCTTTCTAGATTTTTTGATTTTGAAGGGTTCCGTGATCCTGAATATGTTTTATTTGTATTTTTTTTATGTCTAAGTAATCCTTAAATGTTTCAGTTTAGAGTAAAATGGAGTTTGTTCTGGGATTGGCTAACCATGTGAAATCCAGTGGATTAGAAACAAGTCAAGAACTTAATGGTGATCATGGTAAGTATGAACAATCATTCTTTGACTTCTGAACGGAGAGATTGTGCATGGCTCTATTAGGTTCAAAGATTCGGCAGTGGGGAGCAAAAGTTTTTTTTTATTTATTGTTCTTCGGCTCTTTTGGCTACTATGCTAGATCTTGGGAAAAATTCAAACTAAGTCATAAATTTGAATCATTCTACTTGCATACAACGCATTTCATCATTCACAATAATATGCAAGATTTCCTCAGCTTTCACAACACTAGGAAATGCCTGTCCTTATCCGCATTCTGTTAATGTTATGAAGCACATACTCGTTATTGTTTTCTTTTCCTTCTCCAACAAAGAGCCCTAGTTTTATATAATAAACAGTATGGAGAAGCTTGCTCTTACTTATACATATTTCCTCTGCGGATCTTTTTCTTTACGCCAGTACCTGCCAACACCTTTTCTCTCTAACGCCCATTCCTCTTCTGCACTGCGCACACAGCAGTTTTTTCTTGGCAATGTGCCAAGTGTTCCCGTCTGACCACGCCACTCTCCTACCCCTTCGGAGTCCCGTACTCTGCGCGTCTTACGGCAGCCTATACTATTTCTTTGCTTCCTCATCCATCCGATTCAATGCGTGGGGTCGGACTTCCCCCCTTCCTCGACGATCCACCATCCATCGGCACTTTTCTATTCTACTCACACATGCATAGGCCGTTGCTTTTGTCCTTTCTCTCACCCTTTCAATTGTCGTTTCCCTCTCACCGTCTGATACCACTCATTTCTTCGTAATGTCTCTTTCCCACTGGCAATGACGACACGTCGCACCCGAACTGTCCTTTTTATACAACAGCAATATCTTGCACATACAAACAGAGAGACATTGAATAATTCTTTTCATTCTTCCCATTGTTTTTTCTCGAAGATTTGGAAAGTATTGGTGAACTACATATTTTTTATTTTTTATTCATAAAATTTTCAGCAATGATTGTGTCCGCTGATCAGTTGCTCCAGCCGGATGTGAAGGGCAAAGAAGTTTTCGACCAACCGGATAACGATGAGAATATGTGAGTCGTAGTATTTTAGTCGAATTTAATTCTAAAACTGATATTTAGGCTGCCAGAACAGATGAATGTCGACCATTTCTTGTTCCTGAAGCACATTGGAAATGGAGCTTATGGAGAGGTAATCTTTAAGAGATATATCGAACTAATATAGAACCATTCATATTTTTTAGGTTGCTGCCGTTGAGAAAAAAACTGGAAAGGACAAGGGGACCATCTACGCGATGAAGGCTATGGAAAAAAAGAAGATGATGAAACACAAGGAAATGGTTGATGTGAGTTTTTTTTTTCAAATATTCAGATATAATTCAAGATTCGGCTCCGAGCCGTTCCGCCACCAGACGTTTCGACACCGGGGCATTTCGCCACCGAAGTCGTCTTAGAGATAGAAAATCTAATGGTAAAACGGTTCGGAGCATGAGATCAGCCAGAATTGATTCCATATATCGTTTAATCATTTCTGGCAGTCTGTCTAATAGCTTAAGTAAGGCAAAAACAGTTATTTGAATTTGATAAGAAAATCATGAGCATCCAATATTAGTATAAAATATATTGACCGTAACCCCCAACCTCGAGGTCTGAATAATTGAAAATAAGAACAACGGTATGCAATTCTCAAAAAGTGAGATCTGAATTCTCGTTTGCGTGCAAGTATTTTGAATTTTTTGCAGCACGAGTGGAGAATCCTCACGACAATCGACAGCCCGTTCTTCATGACCATGAAATACGCATTTCAGTCAGCTCGCCATATACTCTTTGTGATGCCATTAGCTGGAGGTGGTGACTTGCTGACAAACATCGAGATGATCAAAGGAGACAAACCAGATGATGACAAAAACAAAGAGTTGTTGAAAGACGATCAAGCGTTTTTCTATCTCTGCGAACTTGTTGAAGCGGTTGGATATCTTCACAAAAAGCGTAAGTATTGTATTTTAAAAGTGCATTGATTAAGTTTCAGAGATTGTTCACCGTGACATCAAGCTCGAGAATCTGCTTGTTGCCAACGATGGACACTTGCTCGTTACCGATTACGGACTCTCGGCTACCGGTTGCGACTCAGATACTTCTGTGGAGGGAACCGTGGGCACTCGTCGTAAGTCAGCCTTGAATATATCCTAAATATTTAGATTTCTCCAACAGATGTGATGGCTCCGGAAATCTTTCAAAAGCAGTGCTATGGACCAGCTTCCGACTGGTGGTCAGTCGGTATCACACTTTGCGACATGCGCAGTGAGAGATCAGTTTTCAACCCCAAGAATAGCAGCGAGATCGAGTACTCCAAATCTACATGCACGGTAATAAATCAAGCGATGATGAGTTGAACAATTTCTTTTTTAGAAGCGTGCCAGAATTCCAGTGGAGCTAAACCAAGGGGAGAGAGAGTTCGTCAAGAAACTTCTCGTTGCAGACCCAGTCGCTCGTATTGGTTATGGAACGAACGGTACTGATGATATCAAGAAGCAGTTTCTGTTCCGAAACGTCAACTGGGAAGATGTGCTGGCCAAGAAGGTTGGTTGATTAGAATTATTTTATACGATGATGGAATGAAACCGAGAATTTTTACCCTAATTTCGAGTATGATAGCAGGCTTGATTGTTTTCTTCCTAGTAGCTTTCAGTTAGACCCTTGAAAATTATCTTGAAAATTAGATTACCTTGAAAATTATCATCTTATTCTGAGCGTTGATTCTTGGCAGCTGAATGTGAGCAGCACCAATTTTTTTTTCCATAAGTTCAACCTCTCGAGGGTTTTTATAGGTAATTTTATAACAAGTTTTTATATGTCAGTATTGAATATTCATCATTCTACTTATCCGTGTTTTTTAGCTGATTCCGCCATTTGTGCCAAATGCTGAGCAAATCCGCACATTCGAGTGTTTGCCGTGTCCAACCAACTCCAATTGGCCAACGTTCATGTAAGGTTCAAAGTTCAAGGATATCTCATTCTTTTTAGTTGAACTTATTATACTGGAATATAAATTGAATCGGTAGACGAGAAACGGCACTTGTCGGTTATGACTATCAGAGTTTCTCTTTCACAACTGCAATGTTTTAATATCAGTATACCGTAAAACCTGTATTAGTAGGGCCTCTCTAATAATAGGGCCCTCCGGAGGAACCTTGGAAAAATCATACTTGCGGCAGGCCGGGCCGGATTTTCAAAAAGTTGGTCAAGGTCCGTCCCGGATTGCCCTGTGCGGGAGACCCGGAAGGCCCGGCGCGAGAGATCCGGAAGGCCCGGACAGTTGACGCCAGTTTCGAAATTTAGGAAAAATAGTTTTTTTTGAAAAACGTAATGTATAGCATTTGATCTAAAGCGGAATTGGGAGCATTGAATTAAAAAAAAATAAAATGCTTAAAGGTGGAGGGACATGAAAAAAATGGCTCTAGTATGAAATTCCGGTTCTTAAAGGTGGGGGGACATGAAAAAAATAATGTTCTCGAAATTCCGTTCAAAGATGCCTCTCGAGGAGTTGAACTTGTGAGGGCGATGATTGAGGGTGCGGCGCCGCTACCGACTGAGCCATGCGGGCAAAGAGAAAGCGCACGCCCGATTGCATACATAAAGGCGAGGACGACAGCTGTACGCAGAGTGACATTAAGCGTTGTACACCGTGACGGTAGAATGCATACTCTAGCTACAAAAAACTACGAAAAATCTCCTGTCCCCCCACCTTTAAAAAAATTCTGGTCCTTAGAAAAAATTCTTGTCCTTAGAAAAAATACTGGTCCTTAAGAAAAATTCTGGTCCTTAAAAAAAATTCTGGTCCTTAAAAAATTCTGGTCCTTAAATAAAAATTCTGGTCCTTAGAAAAAAATTCTGTTCCTTAAAATGTGTTAATGCACATGTATATTTTTCATCTGAAAATTTCGTAAAATCCATGAATTTTGTTGTTTTAGTTTATGTTTAAGAAGTTTTCATGGTAGACATTAAAATTTTGTTATTAGAAAGATAGTAAATGTTGCAAGTATCAAAGTAAAGTGCACCCATGGTCCATTTTCTAAAGGAACATCAGAAAAATTGAAAATATACATATTTCGAGTTCCACCAAATTTGAAAAATGCTAGTTGGTAATAAATAAACACTAAGAGGACCATTTCTACCAGATTCCGCAGGTCGATTAACGTTCTAAGTATTAAATGTGTGTATTTTGATCCTCCTTTACAGATATAAAATTTTTCATTGGACACGGTCTCCCACAGATTTGTTTCGAACTGCAAATTTATTTTTGATCTACAGATAAAAAACTTGGCGCGATCACAATTGCAGGTCTAAAGCCACATTTTCAGCATTTTTTATCTGGTTTTGTGGAGATTCAAGATGTTTCAAATGATTCTTAAAAAGTTAACTAGTGGTTATAGAATCCTGTATAGTCCTTTTCCGGAAGAGAATATTCCAAAAATGACCAGTTTCCATGTTTCCTTACAGAAAAAATGGAACTCCTCGTTCAGTTTTTGACATTTTTAGGAGTTCTAGGGCTCAAAACAACCGCAATCATTAATTCTTCATTTTGTATGGATGAATTTTTAATTCGTCTGATAAAACTTTTTTTATTATCGAAAAACACCGCAAAAATGCGATTTTGTGCAAT